CATATGAATCCACACACCTCTTTCCTTCAGATCTGTGTTGGCGAGTGCGTCAGCGGACCACTCTGTAATTCTTTGGGATATGTCGAAGGGCACACCAGCAGCAACGCTTTCTCTTCACACAGATAAGGTATGTTGACGATTCCAGAACCATAGACTGTAGTATTTCTACAACAACAAAGCAAAAGAAATGTGTGGCGCATTTAAAGTCTAGCTATAGACATAAACTGCCATGGACTTGGTAACCCATTCTCCCCCAGTGTTAACTTTTTACCAGAAAACAGCAAAGAGAGCGCCCATCAGCCAGTTGGCTTCATGGAAAATTTGTGTTACTGGTAACTAGGTTAATCAGCTTCTCACTGCTTTGCTGGCAGTACATTTAGCACCTGTGTGGCAAATGAGAGTTTATTAAGGCCCCCGGCACAGAGGAAGTTTTACCTGCTGCATTATTTTGGTCTTGTAGTTCTTAAGGACAGGAGCCCTGCCTGGAAAAGCAGTTAGAACTCTGGGTGTTTATCAAAAGCAAGCTCTGATGGTGTATTCCTGCTCTTCTCCCTTCTGGGAGCTGGTAAGATGAATAGTGCCTTTCCAGGTACTCTGTTAATAGCACAGCCTTCCAGGTGTAAGCAAGATAATGGCAGGAAGGTTTTTATAAGCACTTAATGTGATTGAAGGGACACGTTTATTCCTTTGAGTTTTCATTAGTTCTTGATTTAGATGAAAAAAAGAAATAACAGGTTAGAAGAGGTATGGAATATGAGGCACTAGTCAAGCAAGGTTTTATGACCTGAGAGAACTGTTGTCTGCCAGTTGTAAAACTGAAATGAAACAGATTTTGAAAGAGTTGTTTTTGTAAAAATAATCAGATTTGAATGTCAGCAGGCAAACATGAAGATGGGAAAAAGCAGCTTTGGGTTCAAAACCTCAAATTCACACTTCAGTCACACCACGTCTAACAAGAGTAATCAAATCCAAAGGTGGCTGGAGCTCATTCCTTTAATAATGGCTATGTAGATAGGGGTGTTTCAGCAGGTGCTCTTGTCTTAATGTTGCTGCAAGGATGAAAAACAGCCTCTACTGCCATTTTCTGTTCTGCTGTTTAAAATCACAGCAGGCCCGCCATCCCTTGCCTCTGGTAACGCTAAGTGCAACACTAAGTGCAAATACCACTGAGACAGGTTTTAGCAGTATACGAAACAACTTAAGTTTCACAACCAAACTATAACACAAAGGAAAATGACTCTTAATTTTGGGTTTTACCTTTAGCTACAGTTTTCTTAGAAGGGCAGGTGGTGGCAGCTCCATGGTAGAAATTGAGGTCAACTATCAAATTTGATTAATCAGGTGAAACACCATTTCAGCTTGTAATGCTCTCCATCAGGATGCCTAGATTGCAGAGAGATGAGTGCTGTAGGAATGCCTGCTTGCTACTGTCAGAAACTGTAAATAATAAAAGTAAATAAAATTCTTGACCAGGCACCAGGACTCTTTTCTTTCTCCAACACCTGCAGCTTTGATCCAATATTTATTTTGCATGCTAAGGAATGGACCTGTTTTGTTTAAAGGTAGCAGATAACCAGATTTCCAGAAACCTGGCTGTTTGTAGAAAAATTCCATGTATCGGGAATTACACAAAATGAGATCATATACAGTATATATTGTGCAACTGAATTTCAGTTGAACTGTGTTTCTCAAATCTAATGTTCTTTGCAGGTGCAGACACTGCAGTTTCATCCTTTTGAAACACAGACTCTCGTCTCTGGTTCTTACGACAAGTAAGGAAGGGCATGTTATACTTTCCCTGCTCTACTTGTACAGTGTAGGAGCTGCATGATTGTAACAGGAGTACAGAAATCATAATGTGGAGTACAGAAATCATAAAGCACTTTTTGCTTCAGCGTAGGGTTTGGCTTTATTCTTTTTGTTAACCTTATGTTGTCTGACACACTGGTTGATCTCGGTGATCTCTGAACGGTAGTGTTCAGTCTGATTTTCTTACCGTTACAACCTCTGGGGTATGCTATGCTTTTCTCAATTACTTAACCTAGAATTAAAGCGCTTATGAAAAGTTTGGCATGGGTGTGGAGGGAGAAGGTTGAACAAAAACTACCCGCATTTGACCAAATAGAAGAACTTGATACCCTGCTTGAGTCAATGCTCTGATTCTGCTTTCCAGATCAGCAATTTTGTATGACTGCAGAAGTCCACAGGATAACCATCGAACCTGGCGCTTCAGTGGGCAGGTTGAAAGAGTGACTTGGAATCATTTTTCCCCTCACCACTTCTTGGCAAGTACAAGGTTCCCTGTTACCTTTTTCTGCCTTGTGTTTTCCCCTCTATTTATGTATTTACACCTCACCCTAATGAAGGTCCTTGAGGCTATTTTAAACATACAAAATGAATGGACAGCAAATACTCAATTGGAACATAATGCCACCCTCAGAAATTAAACTAATCAGCAGGCTTGAGGTCTGCTATCTATTGCTGTTCCACTGTACCTACTACCAACAAGCTCTGCCAAAAACAAACTTCCACCAATGGTGATGGGCCAGACACTGTCCCCAATTTCTCCCAGAGTCCGTGCCGAGTCCTTACTGCTGCAGATACTGCTCATCCGCACCCCTCTTTTGCTTCTGGGTATGGCTTGTGTGAGGCCCGATGGCATCATTTGTGGGGCTGAGCTTGACCCACGCATTTCCAGATATTGTCATATTGATTCCTTCTGCTTTTTAACAGTGCTTGGAACTGTTTTCTCTAGGCCAGCACAGAAGATGGATTTGTATACTGTCTGGATGCTCGTTCACATAAACCAGTATTTACAATGAAAGCTCATAACGAAGAAGTATCTGGTAAATTTTCTGTTTCTGCCCCAAACAAATGCTGGGTCTCGTTTCTATATACAGTATATCCAATATAAACTGGGATGGGGTTAGTTAGACATGCCTGAGACATGCCTGAGACAAACATGTACTTGCCATTGTGCAGTGTATAAGAGATGACAGATGAAATGGGAAATCTAAGATACCTTGTTTTTACCAGATGAATGGGAAACAGTGATTGTTTGGTTGGTACTGCTAACCAAGGACTTTGAGAGTCCTCAGTGTGTGCCCTTAACTTGAAAAGGAGAGAGGGGTGTGTGTTCAAGACAGTAATGCTCCTATTGGGTCCCAAACGCCAATGTTTTTTATTGGGTCAGTAGGTCCTCTGGCAAATATCTAGCCTTGCCAACCTCTAGGCCTGCCCTTGTTATAATGCAAAACTTGGATTTTAGCTCATTGTGATTTCTTTTTAAAAAGTGCTACAGTAGAAATGTATGCTTGTGTTTTGCAGGACTACAGTTAAGCAGCCAGATTAAAGGATGTCTTGTGACAGCATCTGCAGACAAATATGTGAAAATTTGGGACATACTGGGAGATAAACCTAGTTTGGTTCATTCCAGGGACATGAAAATGGTAATTTCAATCTTTCTAAAAAAAAATAACAACCAGTCTTCTCTTTTTAGGATTGTCTGGCATATTGGTCATTCGAATGAACCAGGTGCAGATCAGTCTTAAGAATTATCTAATGTATGAAGAGTTTCAGAGTTTTAATTATTGCACACTCACAACACCCATGGAAGATTTGGAAGTGGGTGTAGAATAAAATATCAAATAAGTAGTACACGTCCACCCAAAAAGGATTGTAAAACAAATGCTAGTATTATATAAAGCACATGTATGAAATATGAACATTTAAAATACTGAAAGATCAGTAACTGCATTTAGTGGAGAATACATTGGCCCCAGGGCAATGTGTCCAAAGATTATGCAAGTTGTAGTCCAGCAGCCTTTGGAAGCCTATAGGTTCCTCATTCCGCCTTTCAACTATTGATACTATGATTCCAATGCAAAGTTTTATACACTAGCTTGAGACTGGATACGTAGCAGGAAGCTGTAGCAGCACCTGTCAATATTAAGCATACATTCTCAATTCTCTCTTAGGAAGGTAGGTAGCTGAGTTTCCAGGGGATCACAAACTAATTATGCTTTTTTTTGCCCACAGGGTGTCCTCTTCTGTGCAGCACCTTGCCCAGACTTACCATTTGTTTATGCCTTTGGAGGAGAGAGACAAGGATTACGTGTTTGGGACATAAGCACAATTTCTGCAGGTGAGATTGCTGTTTTTATCTGCATTTAGGATTTAGTTCTAGTTGGCGTGTTCAATCCTGAGAAAGCGATGTTTTGACTAGGCAAACTGCCACAGGAAAATAGGGTATAAAATGTCAGAGAAATGATCAATTTAGCACCCCCTACCATCTGTTACAAGAGATTATGCCAGCTGCTCCCAAGTGTGGTAGAGTATACTCCTAAGGCTTCCTGAATTTCTTTTGTAAATGAGGGAAGGGATTGTCAAAGGTGTACTGCATCTGTGGATGTCATTGCATTATTTCCTGGTTTAAAAGAAGTGTGCAACAAACACATTAAGATGGCTTGCAAGGCCAGAATTTATGTAGTAGTACTAACAGAACTACTCTTCTTATTTGTGTTACAGTGAATGAAGTGTTTGGAAACCGACAGAGGCTGGTAGTTGCCACATCAAGTTCTGAAGCAAAAAATTCTGCTAGTGGCTGCAGCAGTGATCCAGATGCTGTAATGGAACCATGATCTGGTATTACATTTTGCACTGTATAATATAGTGTGAATATTGATACCATGACTGTGCCAAAATGATTTATCTACACCTTGGAGGATATTGGGCAAATCTAATCTTACAATCTGTTAATGTAAAAGCTTAAGCTGCCCATATAAGCTTTTCTCTCTAATGAGCAGTGAACAGAAAGGGAAATTGCAAAAAAAAACTGGCCTCAGCATTTGGTTTTCATGCAATGTATTCATTCTTTAGGAAGTGAAGATTTTAAAATATGTATCTAACTTCATCAAGAAGTCCTTAAGTGCTTCAAGGGGGGAGAAAAGATTCCTACATGAGCAGAAAAGGTTTGAGGAAAAGAATGGTAATTAATGCATGCGTTAAAAAGCAGTGTTTTAATTTTTCCATAAGGAAACAGATTTTAAATGAATCGTCATTCCATAAATATATTAGCAGCAGAACTCCCCAAAATACATGGTTATTAGTAACCATACAGGTAATACCATATGGCACTATATACAGCAAATTGCTGGCTCATGCTAAAACCAAATCTGCATTATAAGCATGCTTTCCTGTATTGATCCCATACTGTATATTAACAGTCTCATCTGCAAATACTAGTTGTCTTAACACATGGGCAATTCATTGGCGTACAATGAATATTGATTTAAGTAAGTTCATATTGAGCCCAAACTAATGTATACATCATTTGGGGTGGGGGAGGAGTCCGGGCACTGTTCTGCTGTGATGGCATACAAATCAAATTTATTAACTGTAAATGAGGGTATCTGCTCTTGTGCCAAGCAGCTGACTAGAATACAGAGAGGTGTATCTGCCAGTTTTTCTTAAGTCATGCATTGCACTTCAACCAAATCACCAGTAGCAGTTTCCACACTTGAAGTGGATAGGTGATAAGTTTGTTTTTACCCTTCTTGAAACCTCTGAGTGCATACGCCATTTTCATAAGGGGTGAGATCTGGTCCTTGCCCAGAAATTCACTGTAGTGTAATAAACATGATTTTAGGAAGTCGAGTCGATTTATATTTTAAGTCCTCCATTTCTTATTTGTGGCAAGAGAGTGCGTCATTTGTCACATACATGTTTGTATTAAGCCTACAGGTGTCACTCCTTACAGAGTTTATCAATTCCTCTTCCTCTGAAGAATCATCCTCGTCATCTTCCTGGGCTGAGAGACTGGAGGTTGGTCCTTTACAGATTTTTAGGTGACGAGTGAGATGATATTTTGTTAAATAAGCCTTGGAGCATTTTTCACAGACATAGTCCCGCTTCCCTTCATGAGAATTTAAGTGTTTCTTTAGATGGTTTGTCCTCAAGAACAGCTTCTCACATTGGGGACATTTAAGCTGGCGTTCTCTAAACAAGGAAGAAAAGAAGCATTTGTAATTATGATTGAATGTGGACTGATAGAGATAAATATATCTATTTTTTTAAAAAAAAACAGCTATTGATCTGGTTTCCATGTCACCAGTTGAGCTAAGCTGTGGTTTAAAGTAGGGCTGGGTGATAGCAGAATTTAAACACAGCAATACACAGTGATGTTGAAACAAGCAGCTGCACTGGGCCCAGCCCTGTGAGGCACCACGGTGAAACTGTCGCTACTCTTAACAAAGGAGCTGAGGTGGTTTCACCCCAGCACTTCATGAGGCTGGGGACAGTGCAGCTTGTTCCCACTGCTGGGAACAGGCTGCCCCCACCCTGGCTCCTTGCCTGAACTGCCTTCTGCTGGGGGGGGGGTAGGAGCAGTTTAATGGAGCCCCCACAGGGCCAGAGTTGGGGCTTTAAACTGCTCTGCTGAGGAGCAGTTTAAAGAAGACAACTCGCTTCTCCCTCTGCCACCAGTTGCTTATTTAAATTACTCTATTAAGAGGTGCCTGGATGCCTGCCCCTCAGCGGAGAAGTCTTAAGACAGCTCCACCTCCAGCCTGCACAAGCGGGGTGGAGGCTTTGTTAGACTTCTCCTCCCGCCCATGCCAAGGCAGGTCAGTGCGCTTGCCTCAACCACCTCTGCCTTGGCACGGGTGGGCTACCTCTTTCTCCCAGGAGCAGCAGTAGCCCACCTGTGCGAAGGCAGCCTTGTGAACAGAGCCTGAGAGGCTTTGTGCACTTGGCTGCCGTTGCCTGGGAAGGGTGGTCAATCACCCTGGGAGTAAAGACACAGCACTATTGAACAACCACGCTCCCTCTGTTCTGCGCAGAGGAGAGGTGCATAAGAGACAACACCTGCATTTCTGTAGAAAATCTGGTGTTCTAAATTATCTTTCCCCTGCAAGTTACTGTATTTTTTTTGCTCCATAAGACACACTTTTTCCCCTCCTAAAAAGTAAGGGGAGACTTGTGTACGTCTTATGGAGCGAATGCAGGGGGAGGCAGGCAGGAAAAGTCCCCAAAAGCCGCACATAAGCTCAAGCTCCGCGCGGCTCTTGCGGGCTTTTCCTCAGGAGGGAGAAGGGACTGACGCGGCCAGTCAGTCCCTTCTCCCTCCTCGTAGTAGAAAGCCCGCAGGAGCCACGCACTCCTTAAAGGGTGCGCGGCTCCTGTGGGCTTTGCGGAGGTGGGGTACTGCCATAGCCACACGCAACCTCTCCAGCCGGGAGAGGCTGCGTGTGGCTATGGCAGATGCCAAGACAGCGAGCGGGATGCATCCTTGGGGCTCGGGGGAGGGGACCCAGACTTCCCCGGCAGCCCCGAGAAGCTTGCGGAGCAGGCTCTTCCTGACCTGCTCTTCTCCCCGCCAACCCCAAAGAGCAGGTCGAAAGGAACCCAAAGTCTCCGGCGCGCAGCGGGAACTCCTGCCACGCTCCTGAGGCTTCGGGTTGCCTTCACTGAAGCCTGGAGAGCGAGAGGGGTCAGTGCGCACCAACCCCTCTCACTCTCCAGGCTTCCAAGGCTTTTGAAGGCGACTGAACGCACCTTGAATGGCACCTTGTTTTAGAGGGGGAGAACAAAAAAAAAAGATTCTCCCCCTCTCTGCGCAGTGCCTCCTGCCACTTTGCTGAAGGGGCGCTGGGCAGAGAGGGGGAGAATATTTTTTTCTTGTTCTCCCCCTCTAAAACAAGGTGCGTCCTATGGTCTGGTGCGTCCTATAGAGCGAAAAATACGGTACCTACTGGGTATGTGTGAGCACATGCTGTTTGAGATCCTGCCGTCGCATGAACAGTTTGTCACAGTAATCACACTTGAGGTTTTTCTCCCCTGTATGGATAACCATGTGAGACTCCAGGTGGGCCTTCTGAGTAAAGGACTTTTCACAGAGAGCGCAGCGATAATTCTTCTGACCTGGAATTAGTTAAACAAGGGGTATAAGACCATTTTACACTGTTCCTTCTACATAATTGTATGAACACTTTAAAACCTAAGCCAGCACCCTGTTTGCCATTAACAAGGAATGATTATGTGGGGCAGCTGCATGTTCACATGCCAGGGAGTATGTATCCCTGAGCTCTGCTCACATTTTACTACTGACAGGACACTGCATCATCCTACACCCAGTGTGATCCATCACAGTGCCACACAACAGTCTTTCCCATCATAACACATGATCTCCCTGTGTTTCCTCTTTGGAAAAATTTTTCAAATCTGGCTAAAGGCTAAAAACGGAGCATTTAGTCAAATACATATTGAACAGAAATGGTAAATTGGGATAGAAGGATCTACAGAAAAGGCATTGTAAGCAAGATAATAAAGCTCATTTCCATATGTTCTTTCTATTTTGTGCAGGGGACTTTAAGCAGGGCTCTGGGGCACAGTATGCAACAGCTGGAACTTAGCATACAATGTTCATTTCTAGTGAAAGAGGCTTGGTAGGATGGAGGATGCTGCCAAATACCTTGGACTTTCTGACAAAGGCAAAAAAAGAACGCTAATAAAAAATTAACCAAGTCACTCAGCAACAACAAATTTGCAGTTTCTTTCACAGAAATAAAAAACTATATTGAGAGCTCATACTGAGTTTGCCTGTGGAAATTTGTCCACAGCAATACAGTTCATTAACAACCAAGGCAACTCAAGTCTCACGTTATCAACTCCAGAACTTTAACATCTTCACTTACCTGTGTGTATTTTGAGGTGTGTACGGAGATTGCTAGGGTCACTAAAGGCTTTGCTACAGAAATCACACTTGTGTGGCTTCATGCCCATGTGCCCCATGAAGTGAACATGAAGCTTAGAAGGTGAGATGAAAGCTTGAGGACACATGGAGCATTTCCACTTTCTCTCCTTACTGTGGCCTGGTCCATGGTTGCTGCTGTGCCCCTGGCTGGGAAGTGGCTGTGGATGTGACTACTCAGGTGGGCCTTGAATTCTGTGTAGGAAGCACATTCTTTTCCACAGTGACAAGTGTGCACATCAGGATGCTCAGGAACACCTTTAACGCAAAAACAAGATTTCAGAGTTTCAAGCATCACAGCTTGGCTCTGCTTAAAGGTGACTGGTCTTCCTTTTTTATTCAGTGCATTTTGCAGGAACAAAAGACAAGAAAATATTCCTGACTAAAAAGAAGGCACAGAAAAAGTTAAAAACTAGTAGCTTGTGCAAACAAATGGTCAGATAGTGATGTAAAGCCAATAATGTGCAAATTGGGCATTACAGAGTTTCTGTTCCTTGGTAACTGATGTTGCACAAGCTTCAAAGCTCATAACTGAGCTTCCCAGCCTGCAAAATAACCCAGCTTGGCAAACATTTTGTAAAATACCTAGAATTAGAATTCCACATTCTGGACATGAATAAAATTAACAATATGGAGCTAAATCCATTCAAACATAGCTCTGATAAGAGGCAAACTGAAGGCAAGTGGATGCTTTCTAAAGGATACATTCAATTAAGTGCATCAAACTGCTTACCAATCTGTCTGGCATAATCTCGACTATAGTAAAATAGAAGCTCATGCTCTGGAGGGATATCGCGTGAGGTGCAGAAGTAAATCTTTCCATCATGAGGATAAGCCACCAGATTTTGTTCTTCCCGATTCCTGTTATATGCAGAGAGGAAATCAATTTAAATGTGACATAGTATTTATATTTATTCTATCAATATTTCTGGAATGCTTAACATTCTTAGTACAAGCTAATTCAAAACAGTAACTGACTACTTTTGTAGCTGTCAGGAAAAAAAATATTTCTGCTGAATGAAGAAGTGGAGCTTTGGACCTTTCTGAAATTCAGCTTTGTAATACTACTCAATTCCATCCAGTGGTCCGCACAGTGGGTGACTTCCATCCTGGAGCAGACAGCTTCTTTAGAACAGGGATGGGGAATGTGTATCCTTTCAGATGTTGTTGGACTCCAAGCTCCCATCAGCTCTAGGCAGCATGACCAATAGTCGCATTATTCCCTTGCAAGATTCAGATGTCACTGTTTTACTTTTAAGCTTTCCCAATGTCCACCTCTGGACTCCTGGATCCTATGTCTTTGACACCCTGCATATTTTACTCCCCGCGACTTGCATCCAAACTTACTGCAGCCCATTTCAGGAAAGTCTGCTGTGAATATGCACCAAAACATTTGACCCTTTTTGCCAAACAATACAGCCGGAAGCTTAGAAGTGGAGGTTAACTAGTTGTGCAGTGGTACCGCTGGTTGCAGACGGAACCTGTTCCGGAGCTCCGGTCGGATTCCGAGGTTTCTGCAACTGGAGGGACTGCTGTGCATGTGTGCGGTGAAACACTTCCAGGTTTGCCGTTCATGTTACCTGAAGCCGAGGTGCTACTGTACTGGTGAAAGGTTTAAGTGGGCCTAAAGAAGGGCAGAGCAATCCTATGGAGGAATGGGTGAAGAATCCATAGCAGAGCTACTGCACCACAGCCTATGCCCTGTTTCCAACTATGACCAACTATGACTGTTTCCAACGATGACCAAGGCAGGAGAGGAAGCTGTCTCTGTCCCCCTCCATTTGATCACAGTAGGAGGGTATTAACTAACCCAGCCCCAAAGCTGGCATATTTTGGGGACATGTCAGGGCAACAAAGGGGCTTAGGATCTTGTAATATATAGTTACTGACTCACATCTGTGTACATGAAAGGTGAACCTGAGCTGAAGTTGACAGTGTGGGTGTGTTAGTATTATTTTTATTATTATGATTTAAACCTTCAGCAGGGAACCTATTTCAGTCTGAGGGCTGCATTTCTTTCTGGGGACCTGTGGTAGGTCAAGAGTGGGCAGAGCAGTGAATGTAAAGTTCACCTTTCTACAGTAGGCTAGTTTCTATATACACACACAAACACACCCCTACCCCTATCCTCCATTTATATAAATGACGTGGGAGTTCAAGTATACAATGTAGTGAAGCAAAATCACTCGAGGGTGAGAAGCAAGGCAAGTCGGGGATGTAGCTGGGGACAATCCCAGGGACCAGACAGCAAGGCTTCGAGGGCCACATTTGGTCCCTAAGCCTAAAAGTTACATTGCTCTAAGTGCCCCAAATTCAGATAGTGTCTCAAAAGCCAGAACATTTTCAGTTGGGTCCAGAAACCATCTGTTAACCAGTGTAGTTCTATGATAACACGTATGGTTGGAACAAGTTTTCTTGAATTACACTTTTGAGTTCAAAATATTGGACTAAAGCAGGCATAGGCACACTCGGCCCTCTAGATGTTTTCAGACTACAACTCCCATCATCCCTGACCACTGGTCCTGTTAGCTAGGGATGGTGGGAGTTGTAGTCACAAAACATCTGGAGGGCAGAGTTTGCCTATGCCTGGACTAAAGAGTGCTATTTCAAGTAAAAATGGGGGCAGAGAAAAGAGAGATAGAATGATAAGGTTCTGATACAATACATGGAGGAATGTGTATCATACCAGTATGACTGATCCACTAAGATACCTAACCCTGTCTAAGTGTATCGTTTTCTCACCTGGCTTTCCGCACAAACATCATCCAGTTACATTCATTTTCATCAGTTGTGATGATATAGAACTCCAGGACATTGTTGTGGTACATCTGATGAGAGAAAAGTAAGACAGAAGTGCCAGTTGAAATGTTTGGAAAATCTCTCCACAGAGACTGTCGCTGCAGCAGCATGGAAGAAATAATACATGGAGGAAATATTACAGCCAGGACTTTCCTGCAACAAATTTATTAAGTACTGGAAACAGTCTAAAAAGATGGGGTAAACTAAACATGAAGACATCATACTATGGACCATCCTTTATTAGAGACTAGCTTCATTTCTAGAAGCACATTCTCCCTCCCACCCCGATTTCCAAGACGCCATGATCTGAACCTTTGTAAGGCACTATGTGCTAGAGCTCCCTGACAGGGCTTCAGTTCACAAGGATGAAAGGAAAGAAGGACGAGGCAGCTATAAAGCCCATAGTGGTAAACTCAATTTTGCCTGCTGTGCAGACAAGCCTTAAACAGGTGTAGGGAACCTTTGGCCCTCCAGATGTTGCTGTACTAGAATTCCCTAGTCATTGGCCATGCTTGCTGGGACTGATGGGAGTTGTAGTTCAGCAACATCCAGAGAGCCAAAAGCTCCACACACCTTTCTTAAGAGAGTATTATATTTCTTAAGAGAAGCATTATAGCTGGGGAAAAGGAAGGCAAGTCTCTCAAGCACTTTTTCAGATCTGAAAATGGAATATGATACATACAGATACCATTTAATTCAGGATAACTTGCCACTTTTCTCATCATATGCAATGTCATGTTGCCATTTTTTGTGCATGCACACAAAAGAAGACAAGGCAAACCCAAGTTGTCTTTTTTGCACAAGGTTCAATAATGAAGAGGAGAACATGACAACACAAACTGACCTTCCAAATGTGATTGGCAGCTTTGTCTGTCCAATCTGCTACTTCCATGGAGTGGCTCTGCTGCCCAATGAGGGGTCCAAAGCAAGTGCGTACAGGAATAGTTTCTCTAGCCAACACACCTGCCAACAGGTTTAAAAACAACAATCCATTGATTACACCTAACAAATTCCAACACCACCACTGCAAAGATGTAATGTTGTATAGCACTCAGAGGACTACTGCTAAGCATCAGCCCATGAAAGCATCTACAAAATGAGATAGTCACAGGAACAACTACTATCACATAACACTCTTGGGAGTACGCTCAACTGTTAATCACTGCATCAATCTATTTTTCTTCTAATATCAAATCATTTACTTTCAGTCGAGTTGTGAAAGTGAGGTCCTGACCTCCTGCGCTCATTTAAGTTTTCAAGGCACTTCCTGCAAAAATAGAAAATTTTTATTTCAGAAACTGCAGAAGCAGCCAGGAATATAGCAAGCATCTCAGGTTGCCAATTCTTTGCACAGTTAGAATAACTAGGTTCTCCATAATCTCCCCAGTTACTCCACTAAACATTTCCGTCCAGGCTGTTAATTGTCACTCCAAGAGAGTGATGCCTTAAGGCAGAGGGTTTTCAACCAAGGGGTTCCAAATGTACTGCTGTAGGAGAGAGGTAGCTCATACTATCAGTTCAAGAAGACAGACCCACCAGACCTGGATGGTGTGGCACATAAATTGAATGTAAGCTCTTAGAAGATACCCCAGGATCTCCTGAAAGCCGTAAGAGACATACAAGGGTTCTGTAACAAGTTAGTCATTGCAGAAAGTGTCTCCTGAAGATATAAAGTCTGAAAGTCATTGGCCTGAGGGCTTTCAAGCCCTTTATGAACATTGCAGCAACAATGTCATGGCAGTTTCGGACTCAAGCATCACTCCTCCCACCGACTTATCTTTGAGTTTAATTAAACCCTTGCAAAACAGAGAAGATTAGGCCAAATAAAAGTTGCTACTTTAGCGGATCTGGAGCTGCGTTTTCAGAAGCACAAGTAACTATAATGTCACAGGGCTTGAATGAAACATTTAAAGACATGGATATAAATACAACCAATAAGTTTCTATGAATGCCCAGGCCTAATTCCACTAACTGACTGAGTCAGAGTTTCATTGCCAAAGTTTATCTAGTGGCCATACCCAAGGAGGAAGATCCAAGACATGTTGATAACTGACAATACTGCCCACCTGAAGAGAAAAGGTGACAATCTCTATTAGTGTAAACTAATGTACCTTTGCAGACATAAAAAATACGCTACAGAGAATACTACCTATTAAGAATCTTGCATTGAGTGGGAGTGAAATGACTTGCTGCTAGACTCTTGATCTTCTAATTATCAACCCCTACCTCCAGATCAACTACCTTCCTTAAGGAGCTGTGAGGCACTAAAATTTTATAGGGCTATATAATAGTTGCTGTAGCTAGGTTAACTGTTCTACATAAGAAAATGCAAACATGGTGGGGAAGCAGATGTTGTTGGACCCCAGCCAGCATGGTCAAGAGTCACAGATGATGGTAGTCCAGCAACATCTCAAGGGCCACAGTGTAGCCACCCCTGATCTAGGCAACAAGTCTCGACAATGTTATTGCTTTTCTCATTAATCACTTAACAATAAGCACTGGCACAATATAAAAATACCTCCCACCGTTCTCTGACCACAAAACACATATTCTTGTCTTGTACACCCATTTACAAATGAACTGCCCAGACCCAATTTCTTTCCAAATTCCACCTTTTAATTATCTTGTTTTCCACTATTACCATATGAGGTTTTATTCACTTGGGATTTCCTTTTCTCTCCCCAATCAACCATACCCCACCGCATAAAAATCTAGTTAACGGTATCCTTACCAACTTCGGCTCCCATGAGAGACTGGCGGATGACAAGCTGTTTCGGGAGAGAAAGCCTGGCTCGGCTCTCGATTGGGGTGTCTGAAACAAAGGTCACAGGCCCGTGATCTGGACAATCAGATGGGTAGGCCTTGTCACAGAGTGTGCACCCTGCAGTTGAGGGAGGACACAGAACATTGGGGATATTGTTACTGTAGCAAGTCAGGCAAGATGAGGGTGTCACAAATACAAAAAATCAAGTTACAAATAGTTAACACAAAGAGCCTGCAGTCTTCTTTTTCTAATCCTGCACATTTGTAAATACAGTAATGACTTGCCCAGCTTTTTGTGGAAATTAAAAATTGCCTTCAAGTGACCAGGGCAGAAAATACTACAGAAGTTGGGTTTGCTCAATTTTTAATTTATTTATTTGAGGGAGGAAATACACATCATTAACATACTGTAGGTCTGCATGGACAAGACCAATTTACACTAAATTAAAATGTGATGGAAAGACAGGTTCTTTATTCTGAGTAGCAGGTGGAGGTGAATTATTCCTATGTGCAGCAGGGATGTGCACACATGGAAGGGTGCTTACAAACAGACATAGTTTTAGTTAGAGGAAAGTCTGTTGTGGGAACATAGCCATTTAAAAGTCAAGATCAAGTTTTTCTTCCAGTTCCTGGCCCAACAGCACTAACTGGCAAAAGGGTCCACCAAACAGGAAACCACCTTGTACCTTTCTTTGGGCAGAGCAGATTTTCAAGGGACCTGCTTCTATTGTCTTCTATTCTGTTTCAATTTTAACTTTGCAAGATAATATTGCAACCTGCCCTGGGCCTTTATGGTGAAGTGTGGCTAAGAATGTCTCCAAATAAATATAAGTAAGTGCTAAAAAGGGAACAGGGCTTGTGTTCTTTTTTTAATAATGAAGATAACAAAACACCAAACAAACATGTAAGCAGGGAAAACACTTGGGACAATTAGAAAGTGGGGGGAGGGGCAAAGAACAAATGAGCTGCATTCACTTTAGAGCCTGTATGTATAGACGTGAGGGAATGAGCAGTGACAGTGGAACAACCCACACCCACTCCTGTGTCTAGGTATGTCTGTATGCACTATGAGCTGAAAAAACTTGTTTTTTGTAATCTGGAAGGAGAAATCAACTGGGCTGACAAAAAAGGGAAAAATACACACCAAAGTGTTGGTTTCTTTAAATGACAGTTCTGTACAATGTAAGATTTAGCCCAGTTTTCCCCAACTTCTGTTAGATTTCTTTTATGGTTCAGCTGGACTCTGCCACCAGAAGTAAATACGTTTACTGCAAGAAACGTTCTACCTTGCAGTGCAAAAAAATACCTAGAGACTGAGGCAAGCATACACTGACAAGCACTCACATATGGTAAACAAGGTAGCCATGTTCTCCTTGTTTGAATTGGAGTCCTCCATCTGCAGCGATGACGGCACAAAGGAAAGGTTGTCTGGGGAGACATCCACGTGAGTTTGTCCCATGGCTACTTCCTGGCTTATGGAAGTCACAGGCTCCAAACTGAGACCCACTTCATGTAAGGAGACAGATTCCAGGGATGTGAGGTTGTGTGAGGTAGAAAGTGCCACACTCACAGAATTGCTGCTCATGGCCACCGCATGAATGGAGTCGCCAAGCGTCCTGTCAGATAGACCACTGACACGGCCTGCAATGTGGTCAGGCTCCATAACAACAGGAAGCTCCAAGCTGCTACCATGAATAGGAAGGACGCCATTATGACCTACAGTGTCCGTGGCTAAGCTGCTACCCACAGCATCCACAGCTAGAGGCTCATGACTATGGCTTCCATTTGCAATCTGTGAATGATCCCCAGCCACATCACCCATTGTAAGTTCCTCAGCCATCCTGTCAGTAGAGATTGGGCTGGTAACCCTCGAAACACTTTCCATGGAGATTGTGGTATCCAGAGCTACCTCATGGCTGTCGCTGGGATGCAAGCTTTGGGTGCTGTGTGTGTTCACTGAGCGGGAATCCATGGAGACAATGCCTGGTTCGAGACCCACCGTTCCATTGGGCTGGTAGGGATCTAGGCCTGAAGGGTTGTTGGAGACAGATAAAGCTGGATTACTATCAACATTTATATTGTTGGGGTGGATGTACTGAGGTGGAGGTCTGTCAGCTAAATAAGATAAAAGACCTGAAGAAGGGGAGAAAAGAAAAGAGAAGGGAGGAAAAGAGAAGAGAAAGTGAGAAGAGGATCAGTTTGCAATAAAAAGTCAAGTTTCAAGTGGCTGAACCTAACAGCAATCTATATGTACAAATAAAAATCCAACAGTTCTAAATCTCTAATAGCCAACATGGTGAATTCCAGATGTTTTGGACTTCAAACCCATCATCTTTGATCACTTGGCAGCACCTGCTGGGCCGATGGGAGTGTAGTCCAAACATGCGGAGGGTGACATGTTGTCTACTCCTGTTCTAGAGGCTGTTGCTCTTTGAAGCCACCTTGAACTCCTTTGGGATGAAGGGCAGGATATAAATTTAATAAATAAAAACCCCAAATCATGAAAAAGTTAAGACTAACAAACAGCAATTCTATGCAGTTCCAAGATTTCTCAAGCCATGAGAGAAAGAAAACAAGGCATACAAATACAATTCTGCGAAAAGCCTGCTTCTGTATATGACTAATGGTTAAACGTTTTTTTAAAAATGGGAGAGACTTCCTTAACTTACCAAGTTTTTAACCCTTTCCCTGAAATATATATCCTGCCATCTAACCCACAGGGGCTTTTAGGACCAACATTATTACTCATTCCCCCTGCAAGAGGTTCTCCCATAAACCTTCCTGCTGAATAAAGACTTCAATCTCAACACACGTCTCCATCCAGCCGCACTACTCACCAGGTAGAATGTGTCTGAAGTAGCTGCTCTCCAGGTGAGGGTATGGCGGTGGAGGTAGGGTATAGTTTCTCTCTGGTATTCCACACATCACTCCCCGATCCCCAATGCCCATTGGAAGCATCAGGGATAAAGCAGAGGGTAAGGAGGGCCCCAAATTTGGAATTGCAACTGGTAATCCTAGCAGAAACAAAATGCAAATAAAATGCAATTATACTGCCAATAAATTAAGAAGAAGCATTGGGGGAGGGGGTTAAAATGAGGAGGATCATTGAAAGTATTGGTTTCTAACCACAATGGGGGAAATGCTGCTTAAGCTTCTTTTAATAGTTTTTCACCCCCTTTGCTGCTGTTCTTGGGAGTTGCTTCACAGCAGAACTCTGCACTGTGGGTAGTCATTGTATTTTTGGTAACATTTCAAAAATGCTCATATAACTGAAAGTATATGGAAATGCCACCAGGATCCCCAGATGCCAAGCTTTGGTAGCCGGAGCACCATAATACGAGACAAAGGACCAAAGTAAGAGCAACTTCCGTTGAATAGAGGAATGCAGGCCTCCAACCTTTCCTAGGCCTGGTCAGCTGCACACCTTCTCCTAGTCTAAACAGCACAAAGATATACATAACACAAAAAAGAGGCCCCCCCCCCAGCTTGCTATGTTACCTGGTGCTGGTATGGCATTGTGTGTTGGTGAGGAAGCCAATCCTAAGTGGCTTCCCGAGACAGTCAGGGCATTGCTCACAGAGGAAGCTGTCAGCTGCTCCATCCCTACAGGGTTCAGGCTCATTTCATTCATCCTAGACAAAAGAAAACGTGTAACACATGCAGATAAAATTCCAGCCAAGCAAGTTTTCAGACCTGCTCCTTATCTTGCCCAAAGTTTTCCACTTAATTTACATACATTCACTGCTGCAAACAGTACACTACGTAGTTATACAACAATGTGTTATGTTCTCAAGGGGCTTACAAACCATTCCCCACAGAGATTAGATCAGGGATGAGGAACTCTTGGGTGCCCCCAGATGCTGTTGGGTCCCAGCATGTGTCCAGTGATCATGGATGATGAGAACTCCAATCACACAGCAGCTGGTTCCTATCCCTGGATTAGGTCAAGCCTCAGCATGTCATTTATTGATTGTGTTCTTCAATGGTAAAAGATTCCAGATTATTAATATTTTGATTTCTTCTCTAGACTTTTACAATATTTGTTTTTGCACATTTTGACAGGATAAATCAAGAGACGTATATCAGGTCTACAGAAAAAAACTTATTTATACAGAACATTTCTGTGTACAACACAATGCAACTCAAAAACTTGAAAGAAGCCTTGCTAGATCAGACCAAAGATTAATCTAGTCCAACATATTTTCTATGGTGGCCATCCACATGCCTATGAGAAGCTCACAAGTTCAATTATTGTGATTTATTTAAAAGAATTTTCAGCCATCTAAAATCGACATCAATACAGTGGTACCTCGGGTTACATACGCTTCAGGTTACATACGCTTCAGGTTACAGACTCCGCTAACCCAGAAATAATACCTTGGGTTAAGAACTTTGCTTCAGGATGAGAACAGAAATTGGGTGGTGGCGGCATGATGGCAGCGGGAGGCTCCATTAGCTAAAGTGGTGCTTCAGGTTAAGAACAGTTTCAGGTTAAGAACGGACCTCCGGAACAATTACGGTAAGTACTTAACCTGAGGTACCACTGTATTGGCAGCATACAATTGCCATTGGATGTACTGGGGTTTTTGCATAATCAATGTTGTATGTGTAGCAGGACCTAGAAATCACATTATTTAATATTGGGTGCCTGTCCAGTGATGTCCTTCTGTGGGCAGAAGGCACTTTGATCCAATGAAGGCTTCCCTCAGCAGAATGGGAAAGGAGGCCATCTTCACCAATTCCCCCTCCTCCCCTCCAGCTTCTTATATGACCTCCCATGCGGCTCCAAGAGTTTCTCAATCCTCTGGACCAGAAGATTCAATTTTTTCCTGTTCCCCCCAATTCCCCTCCCCCTTCACACCATTTTCGTGCCATTTCTTTTTTTCCTGTGCACACCATTTTTGCATCACAAAAAAGGCAAGCGTGTATGTTAAATAAGCGCAAGTTGTAAGTTACCTGTATCTGCATGGATAGCTTTTTGCTACATGTTAGAAAGTGCAACAATTCTATCACTGAATGATAGAGTAGTAGGGGAGTTAGCGTAACAAGGTGTAGATACTGATTGAGAAATATTGCAAGCTAAATTAGTAACACTAGCAGTATCGTCCTGTTGATATTTACACATAAGTCCTTGTGGGTTCATTTGGGACCTTTGCCTACTTAAGTGTGCTTAGGTCTGCGGCATTTATTTGGAATATTTATGAACTGCTTAACATTACAAAATACCATAGTGGTGTACAATAATAAAACAATAAAAACGTAACAAGTAAGAACAGTTATAAAAAGAAATTAGATACTGCCCACAATTCAACTCCTCCTCCTGGGAAAGCCAGTAAAAATTAAGTTTATAGCATTTGAGAAGTATGGAGCCCAGGTGTATAACACACATAATGGCCCAATATTCTTTTACAGTGGTACCTTGGGTTAAGAACTTAATTCGTTCTGGAGGTCCATTCTTAACCTGAAACTGTTCTTAACCTGAGGTACCACTTTAGCTAATGGGGCCTCCCGCTGCCGCCACACTGCTGGGCGATTTCTGTTCTCATCCTGAAGCAAAGTTCTTAACCCAAGGTACTATTTCTGGGTTAGTGGAGTCTGTAACCTGAAGCGTCTGTAACCTGAGGTACCACTGTACAGGTTTTGAAGAAATGAAGCATATGAGAAGTTACTGTTCAACAAACAAAAGTAACTGTGCAGCGCTAGAAGGAAAGGACATCTTTACTTTTTCTCCTTTTTCATCCTCTATTACCTGAACACATCAGAAGCAGGTAGGTAGCCGTGTTGGTCTGCTGTAGTCGAAACAAAAACAAAAAATCCTTCCAGTAGCACCTTAGAGACCAACCAAGTTTGTTATTGGTATGAGCTTACATGTGCATGCACACTTCTTCAGTATCTGAAGTATCTGAAGAACTGTGCATGCACATGAAAGCTCATACCAGTAACAAACTTAGTTGGTCTCTAAGGTGCTACTGGAAGGAATTTGTTTGTTTCAACATCAGAAACAATGTTCTATCAATTGTTAACAAAAAGCAAGTTTACAAGACAAAACGATTACAAAATTGGCCCTCATTTTAAGCTGACTAATCAGCTAATTAAAGTTTTCAACTTTAATTATTACGTAACTAGACATACACACTTTATTATTTTCCTTCTTCCATCTCTTTGCTCATGTAACTGAATATTTAACTCTGTTACAAATGCTCAGTCACTCAAGACATTACACAGAGAAGCACTCTAGTTGCTTAGAAAGCTGAGGTAATTTTAATCTGTTCTAGTATTTTAACTTCTGTGTGTTTTAAAGTATGGTTGTAATTTTTTCTCAGTGTTATTGTCTTGTAAACCGCTTTGTGGTTTTTTAGAAGCAACTGGTGTAGAAGTTTTAAGAAATGATTTTTTAAAAAGAGAACAGAAGCAAGGAACCCCCTGAAGACAAATATTTACCTTTCCTTTGAATGCTGTCAGACAATTCTGACAAATAGTCAAATACTTCTTACTATTTCCCACAGTTTTCTCAGTTTGCTCTAAAACTCCCTGCACCTGCATAATCTCTGTGATAATCTTGAAAAGAAATCAATGTTCTGCACTTGCCTTCACAAAAACCTGAAGATGTATCACATCCATCCACAACTCTTCAAAACTGCTGATATGGACAAGGATCAATGACTTAACAGTATCCACAAAGTGTTTAAGACATCACTTTTTTGTGGCCTTAAGGTCATAGTTTGCATCACCAACATACTGTATGTCTTTAATGAACTTTTTGTTTCCAGTGTTGAACTGTTTCTTGTGAAAGTTGTAAACTGCTCTAAGCAGTGCTTTTTTTCAAGGGGTACTCAAGGGTACACAGTACCCTTTTTGTTGTTGTTTAAAAACTGTGGCACTTAATGTAACAACTTCATGGCAAGTACCGGCACCTATTTTCTAGGGGGGGAAACACCGGCTCTAAGCAATATAAGGCAAAAAAAATCATGCAAAAATAAATGCCTTTAGACAGTTCTTTTTTTCAGCCAGAACTTGCCAGAATTCAGTTCTGGCACCTCTCAGGTGGGTGCCATTGCCATTCTAAGAAAACAATTATTTTCTGTACATTACGGGTGACGTTCTTTCCCTCCACCACCCTTAAAATGAATGGTGAATTATGTAAAAGTGACATAAAAGTGCTTGAAGTGCATGGCATGGGTGCAACCTAATTTGTAAACTCCCTGTGTAGGGACCAAAGCAGCAAGTCCATCAATCAGGCAACTTAACTACAACTTTAACAGCAAATATGAGAAGCAGACTGCATTTCCAAAAGGGATTGTGAAACCTGAGGTGGGGTGAACACTCTGTGGGAAGGCACTGTTACAGCTGAAAGGCACAGCATCTTTAGTGTGTTGTGTGCTTGCTGAGAACCAGCTATGCATACCTCTTGATACAGACTAGGGAGAGTGCTAGAAATTACAGTGAATAAAAAGCCAACAGGCAATATGGAATGACTGTACTGCCAGCTTCTGCTTTTCAAACCACAAATTATTTTAATTATTCTCACACCTCGTCTCTCAACATAGTGCTGCAATATTACAGCAATGAAAAAGAGCATCAGTTATCACCTTTTGTTTGGCATTCCAATAAAGTTAACCCATCAGTATCACATATACGTTACACCATTTTATCATTTATGATCCTGCCAACTCCCAGTGTTTAATGTACCATCCTCTCCCGTTGGGAAGCTGTTTAATAAATACACAGCTGACTTAAACCAAGTCACGTCTAGTTCACTATGTATTTCAGGCAGAAATCCTCCCCAACACCTGAACACGCCAGGGATTGAGAACCTGGAAGCATCTGCGTGCAAAGCAGACTCTGAGCTTCAATGCCTGCCTTCGACCCTTCCCAAGACTTAGCATGCTAGAAATCCTGGCTCCTGCTGCGACTATCCCGTTAAATCTCCATCTCTGGGCGCTTTCCCTCCTTGGACACAAGTGCCTGCTGCAAAATCGCCGTTTGCTCCGCAGCCTGAGGGATTATCCGTCTAGCGGCACTCTGGACGCGCCCAGAGGCACCCCACGCCACATAACCCAAGGCTCAACTTCGGGGGCTGGAAACGAGGCTCAGCAGCCGGCGCAAACTCGGCCCCACAAACGCACCTGTGAGCCCTCTCACCTGTGATGCATTTACCTGGCGAGGCCGGTGGGGCTGAGGGGACCCGGCGGCGGCGGTAGCAGCAGCGGCCTCCTCCGCCGCCTCCTCATCTGGCCTCCCCGCTCAGCCGCCGCCCTTCTCCGCCCCAGGCAGGCGAGCAAGCGAGCAGGCATCGACCTAAGGCAGCAGCAGCAGCAGCAGCCGCCGCGGCCACGGCCGCCTCCCGCCCCACCTCAGCGCAGGCCCCGGCCTCCGCCAGGGGAGCCTCATGGGAGGAGGCGCGGCGCGGCAGCCGAAGGAACAGCGCCCCCTTCCGGAAGGGGAGGTGGCGCAGCTCCACAGAACAGCTGCTCCCTGAGGGGACGAGGCGCGCGAGAGCGGGGAGAGAGCGCGCGCGCGCGCTGGCAAAAGCCGGGGAGGGGAGGGAGGGGGAGCCGCGCTCAGAACGGCGATGGCTTCCGCTCCCTTCCGCATCCAGGAAGCGACCCCCCCTCCTCTCCTCAGCCCGCGCGCCGCCGCTCTTCTCTAGATTGGCCTGTTCGCCCTTCGCTGCAACGGCTGCCCTTTCGCTCAGGAGTCCTTGCGCGCGCCGGCTCCGTCCTGACGAGAAAGGGCTTCTCCGGCCGCTGCACCTTCGCGCATGCTCAGCAGTGCTTCTCTCTCTTTCTCTCTCTCTCGTGCTCTCCATTCCTGCCGCGATTGGGCGGGGGCGAGCGAGCGGGGTTGGGGAGCAGGGAGGGCTGGTAATACGCGTGCCTGGTGGTGGATCCTCGTGCTGCCTAATATAGTTACCTCGCAAGTAACACCTCCCATCTAAACACACACACACATAACTAGGAAGAGGCTTGCTTGCAGGCAAGCGGGTGATAAGCTTGCAGCTTGTTTTATAATCAGTTTACGACATGGAAGTGATCGCCTAATAAAACCTGTGTCTATTTGCCACTACGCGTCGGATATTTTCTTTGCGCAACTCTGATCTCTTCAGCTTCTCCCCCAAATATCCCCCAAAAAGCGATATATTTGGAGAATGCAATGAAAAACGATCAAGGGCATGGAAATTTTTTCCCCATGAGTATGGTATCTGGAGCTCTTTAAAAACAGGACAAGGGATGGAGGGGAGCCCGTTAAAGGTCCTTGATTACCCAAAGAAAGGGTTGGGGGACAAGGGATGGAGGTTTGTAAGATGACGTGCGGAGAAAATGGGTAGGGAGACGTTTCTCTCCATAAGACTAGATGCGCACAATGAAGCCGAGTGCTGGCGAACTTAAAACTATGGAATTCGCTCCCATGGGATGTAGTGATGGCTACAAACTTCCACGACTCTGAAAGATTAGACAAATCCACAGCTACTGGCCATGGTGGGCTGTGTTTTCCCTCCACTGCTGGAGGCAATAGCCTCTGGGCTCCCTTTGCTGGGAATTGCCAAGTGAGGAGTATGCTGTCACACTTCATTCCTTGTAAGGCTTCCCAGGGGCATCTGGTTAGCCACTGTGAGGACAGGATGCTGGGCCTGTGGTCCAGCACTGCTCCTCTCAGATTCTTAAGTAAACTCTGTTAATCTTTGTGAGGTTTACTTCTGATTTAGATGCACATGGGATTGTGCTGATTGGGGGTGGGGTGGGGAACATTAATGTCGCATCTTAAGAGACACATTTCTTTGATATATTGGCTGATTTCTGCCCCAGCTTTTCATCCAGAAGGAGTGCTCAAGAGACTTGAATGTACCTTAATTAATTATTTCTTGCCAGTAAAACAGAAACCAATGAACTTATAATAAAAAGAAGATGCACTATAATGAACAAAAATTAGAATACCTCAGTAAGAAACAGAACGACAGTAGTAACACACTGTGAGTGGGCAGTACTAAAATTTCCTTGAGAACATAATAAAACAGCAAGCTAGTGGTAAATAAAAGTTATTATCATCTTTGAAAGTGTGCATGTACAGTAGTACCTCGGGTTACATACGCTTCAGGATACATTCACTTCAGGTTACACACTCCGCTAACCCAGAAATAGTGCTTCAGGTTAAGAACTTTGCTTCAGGATAAGGACAGAAATCGGGCTCCGGCGGCACGGCAGCAGCAGGAGGCCCCATTAGCTAAAGTGGTGCTTCAGGTTAAGAACAGTTTCAGGTTAAGAACGGACCTCCAGAACGAATTAAGTACTTAACCCAAGGTACCACTGTATTTAACATGTATTGTTTTACATTAAAAATTAGAGTCTCTGGGATTTCCAACCAGGAATGGGACCACATGGAGAGTGGTTTGTTTGTTTATTGCATTTATATCCAACCTTGTTCTGCAAGGAGCTCAAGGTGTACATGGTTCTCCCCTTCCTCATTTTATCCTCGCAAGAACCCTGCGAGGTAGGTTAGGCTGAAAGGGCAGTGACTGGCCCAAGGTTACCCAGTGATCTTCATGGCTGAGTGGGAGTTTGAACCCTGGTCTCCCAACTCCTAGACCAACACTAAATGCTGTATCACACAGTCCCTTTCCCTCCTGTTGTGATTCCATTGAAATCACTCCCCGCTTCTATGCTGTTATTTCCCCCAGGAGGTAATCTGCCATTGGTGGTCTGTTGCAGGAAGCATGGAGACGGATTCCTATTGCTTACCTGCTGGATGAGAGCAGGGAATTCCCAGGCCCAAGGTAGCTTGGATGGAGTCTGCTGGAACAAGCAATGCAGGATAATTTTGCAAGCTTTATGCTCAGGGCTACGTTAACATCAAATGTGTATTTTGACCTTAAAAGGCTACTTTTTGTTTCTGGTGATTTTGTCATCCATTGTCACTCAAGTACTAAGAAGAAAAGAAATATATTATTCAGTTCACAGAGGCTGTTATAGGTTCCTGTACATTTCAAACAAAGATGATATTGGTGGAGCATCATAGATTCTGTTTCAGTATCGTATATCCCCAGCTACGTTCTTTAGAGCCAGAAAGCTGCCAAAATTTAAAACACCAACTCAAAAGATAGTGACTAAATTGTTATTCGCAGACTATCCTTAGAAAACTATGTCATGTTATTTCTTGCAATCAGCCGTCATGGTGGTGTTGTATGAACTGTAAGCTACCCACACAATCACCTACTGTACTACCAGTTGACGACGCATGCAAGTTGCAAATGCTACTTAAATCAATCCACAAATTTCTCCCAGACTGTAACAGCAAATCCCGCAAAATGTGGTGGCGTGTGCTTTTGTAATCAGCCACTGCAGTATTGAAAGGAAGTGCCAGAGGAGAATGTCAGTGCAGGAAGAAACTTGCAGTTATTCAGCTGTCTGCACTTCTACCTTTTGCTCTTATAACAGGAAACACAGGGAAAAAGCAAAACATTTTCAGAACTCAACAGATTATTTGGTGCCAAACTATCAGTTTCCTATAGTGCATCATAATGCTTTGAAAATGTTCGTGCACCTACACATTCCAGAGATGGTCCTGTTCTCAGTCACCTCCACTGGTTTCTTCATAGATATGACAAAGTTTTCCTCAAATGAATACAGAGTTAAAACACTATACAGCAAACAAAGTCATAATATGAATAGGGATGGTTGAATCTGGAGTGCTGATAGCCTGCTTTTCATTTAATATTTTCAGTCCCAGAGTGCGGAACAAATAAAGAATATATATATATATATATATATATATATACACACACAAAAATTACAAAAGTAAATAAACAAGCCCAATAAACAACAAATTGACAATTCTTTAATTAACGCAGGAGCATCTCATGCTCTCTGCATTTGCCTCGAGGAATACATCAACCCATTACTCAAATGAGGTTGGGGGGTCTGTTTTCTAAATTGGAAATCTCTATGGCTGCAATCCTAACTCCATTTACTTGGAAGCAAGCCACATTGAATTCAATATTCTGAGTAAACAGGGTTAGCACTGTGCTGTAAATGACCCAAGCTAGTTCTGGTCTATGCCTTGCAGTAGCCATTTGAAGCAGTATTTGCATGCTCCATTGACTGCTCTGCCATGTGGCAACTGCAATATGTACCCTGGTTTACTGTGCAGATCTCTACCATCACATGGGGTTTCCATGCCATGATCGGAAGCTGGCAGCTCAGATGCCTGATGTTGGCATCTTAATTTTCCCTATAACGGCAGCAATTCTCAAAGTGTGTCATAATATCAATAAAGGGGCAGCCTGGATTCTCCCAGGAGGAAAACGATCTATTCAGTACAGTATAATTCAAAACTTCCAGAAAGTTGGCCTGAACATGTGTATTTTTGTGTGTGTAAAGCCTGATTAAGGTTTTTTTAAAAAAATTTTTGCAAAAGATAAATATAACAACAAAATAAATGCAAGATTTACAATCAAAGTAGGGAGGGAAATCCGAAAATTTACACTTGGGAGCTCCCAACAACATACTTTGATCCTTCCCTGTTAATGAATTTTTGTTGCCAAAGCTCATAATTACCTGGTATGGAATGTGAATTTGCTCAGCTAAATAATGCTCAGGCACAGTAGGAATCAAATGTTACTTCCCTCAACGGTTTGTTGCAGTGTAATGCACCTTTCCTATCTTTAACCACTTTGGTTAACAACTAAATAACCATTTACCCTTCTTTCCAGGTGTGGCTTGATGAAGTTAATTATGATTTATATTGCTGTGTGAAAGGATTCCACTGCTAAGAATTTACTAGGATTAGGAACAGAGGCAGCAGCCTTATGCTGGCTCAGTACTGAGATGTTTGCTGGCTCAGTACTGAGATGTCTGCACTGGATGGCAACATCTCTGTGTCTGGGGATTCAGGCAGGAATCTTTCCCATCTCTACCTGGAGATGCTGGGGACTGAACTGGGACCCTCTGCACACAAATCATGTGCTCTGCCGCTACCGATCCATTATATCATATATATATGAAAGGGGTTGAATGGTGAAACCCAGCTCTACTAAAATAAAGCAAGGCAAGTTCCTCGCCCTCCCTCTCTCATCATATTTTGTTAAGCACAGCTAGGATTTCATCCAAAAAGGAAACTAGGGTATTAGGAACACAGAAGAATGTGGGGGCCAAGATGCAATGCAATGCATATTTGCTCAGAAATGTGCCTGCTAACTTCAGAGAGAAGTTAGTCCTTGGTAAGTATTGCCTATTCTGAAACAGGACTAGCCTTGTTCAGATTAATATCTGGCACAATGAAATTGCTTGTGGGCTTTCTTTTTCTTTTTGTATATTACAGCCTGGATAGTCGGTTCTTGCTCTCCCCCACCCCCCTTCATAAGCAAGAGATGACATGCCCAATGGGGCATTTTACACTCCAGAGTAATTACTTTCATTTCTTGGGGGCGATAGAGCGCTCCACAAACCTGTTCAAGACTATTTTCTTTGTACCGCTTGCAAAAAGAAAAAGACCATATCATTTTCTCTAATCTCACAAGATGACACCTTTATGCTTACATTAATTTTCTTGCAAACATTTATAAACCTTTTTTTTTAATGGAAAATGTAATCATCTTGATCGTGGGCTAGAATTCAGCTCAGGAGTAGTAGGTGAGTGTACAGTCTACACTGAAGTAGGGCGTCTAATATCTAGAGAAAGAGAGAGAGAGTTTACACTACAATAATGAAATGTAATTCTGGCAATTGACTTCTGGCTGAAGGGTTTGGAGAACATGGTCCCACTGCAGCTTAAGTTATTTGCACTATTAACCAGCAGCTACTACTAGACTGTGTATGGGTATACTCTCTACAGTATCAGAGCTGTATACCTTTGTTGTTGTTTAGTCGTTTAGTCATGTCCGACTCTTCGTGACCCCATGGACCACAGCATGCCAGGCACTCCTGTCTTCCACTGCCTCCCGCAGTTTGGTCAAACTCATGCTGGCAGTTTCAATAACACTATCCAACCATCTTGTCCTCTGTCATCCCCTTCTCCTTTAAATACCGGTAACTGGGGATCACGAGTGGGAGAGTGTCCTCCTCCTGGACTTCCCATAACCCCATAACCACCCACTGTGCTTCCATATTTCCTTTTTAGCTGTTGCACAAACACACCAGAATACAAAACAATCCCCAACTTTGTACACATTATCGCCTTAAAATGCAGCGAGGTAATTTCCCTCTGCTGTGTTTCAAACTTTTGCATGATGTGTTGTACACATCCATACAGAGGGATGTATTTTCAACTCACCTGTCTGTCCACACCAGCGGGTGGAGAGGCAGTGTGGATGTCTTCATATGGCTTGTGTTTTCAAATTGGATTGAAGCTGGTTTGGGGGAAAACACATCAAAATGCAGTATTTCACAAGAAACTGCAGCAAAGATGTGGATTATGGTTAACACTGTGTGTTCACAGCTTCACAAACCAGTGGTAAGAATGCATTGAATGTAGAGTAAACCAGATTGTGTTCACAGCCCCTCTGGTGTTTGCAAAGCACATGCTTCACCTGACAGCTTTCAACCACAAGGGAGCACTCTTTCCCTTGATTTTCTATATCTCCGAATCCTACTACCCCCCACTCTTCACCCCAAAGTAGTCAGATAATGGTATAAGTTTGCAAACTTTTCTATAAGCTTCTTCAGTTTCTTTAGAACAGCGGAAGCCAGAAAGGCTGACCTTACCCCCTTTGGATTTTTGGTATCGAAAGCCCTTGGCTAATTTTTCAGCAGACAGGAGATCCTTGCTTCTTGAGAAGGAGGAGCTCTGGCAACACTTGGCAGCTGCCTGTAAACTTTTCAAGTTACCCATCCTTTTGGAGATGGGTAATATCAAAGGGCACTATGGATTACAATACATGAGGAGTGTTTACAGCCTGGAAGATTATTTATGTTTGGCTTTGCCTCTATAGTCACACATCCAAGCTAGGAGAAAAGAAACACAGGAACCCTCTCATTATCTTTTGAAATATGAAGATCAGAGGAAAACCTGGGTTTAACGTGTGGAGTGATGGTCCTAGAAGCCTGCTTATAAATTAGAAGCCATCCTACCTCTATAATAACAGATCCAGGAGCAGAGCTGATATCCAGACACAACAGCGGCTTTCTGGAATCGTTACTGCTGCTACAAAAGAAACCTTGGGCGTATACTACTGCTCTGACCACCACAAAGATATATCTGGTCCATTTGGCCTTCTCATCAATGGATTAACTCCGTAGAGCCCGTGTTGGACGTTGGCACAGCATCACTTCAAAATGGGAAGTAATAGCGACGAGGGGCTACTGAACAGGATCTCATTCTCAGGGCCAGCATCCCTCGGAAACGGCCACCCCAGCCCCCATGGGTTCCCACTCCGAGAACCATTTGGTGTTCCTTTCCATTTTGACCCAGCATACTGGGACCACCAAGCCTGCGGTGGATATTCAGGAAGGTTCTCTTACTTGCCCTTTTCTGGGTACGTAGGAGTCTATGACTACTCTTTTGAGCCTGCCTTCATTCGAAAGAGGAACGAGAGGGAGAGGCAACGGGTTCGTTGTGTGAATGAGGGCTACACGCGCCTCCGAGACCACCTGCCCAAGGAGTTTGCTGACAAGCGTCTCAGCAAAGTGGAGACTTTGAGAGCTGCCATCACTTATATCAAACACCTCCAGAACTTGCTGGACCATCAGCCTTTAGGGACAATTCCTAAAATAGTAGTCCCAGCTGCGGAGGCCGCTGGTGCTTCTGATCTTAGCTTAAGAAGGGAATGCAACAGTGATGGAGAATCAAAAACTTCATTGGCTTCATCGCCCTACAGCGAATTTGAAGAAGTCTGCAGTTAAGAAAACATCTTCAGAAATGGACACCTTCTTCAAGCCTGCCTTTAACTATTAATATTAAAGAGCTACATTGTTTTTCAAAGGACAAAACTAGTCCCCAGCAAAGGGATGAAAAAGGTATCTTCATTACTTGTTCTGCTCAGTTTTTGGCCATAGGAAGAAAAAAAATCTGTATTCTTCCTAAAATGTTTCCTTTTTGTTCCTATTGTTTTCTTATTTATGCTATTAACAACTGTGTGTGAGAGAGCAGAGAGGGAAATAATAACTGACCTTGTTTTTTGAAATCTGAAATATTCCTCACTTTCTGTGATCTTTGTTCTGTCTGTCAGCCAAAGGGAACAATAAAACCAAGTGAAAGAGTTGGTTTCAAGATATCTATATGTGGGTATTCATATATGATAAATAATTAGTAGGGCATTTTTTCCTAAATACATATTCACCCCGATCCAGAGAAAGTTAGTTGAGCTTGAGCCTCATTGAAATCCATGGGACTAAAGCCACAAATATAATGATTTCAATGGAACTTAAATTCATTGTGATATACTTATTCCATTGATTAGAATGGCATTGAAACACATTTAATCCCACACACATCGGGGCATTTTCATCCAAGGTGTTTGGAGGCTGGAAAATGAGAACAGAGATTCCATTATGTTTCATCAGGCTGTGATTTCAATGAATGTCATAATAATAGTGATGATGTCATCCTTACAGACACTTATTTAAGTAATAAGTCAGTTAACAACCAACCCAAAGTCCCTTTAGAATCAGTGCACATTTTATCATTAACATACGTTTAGCTATTATTTCATTATAGATAATTCTAATTTAGAAACATGATATATTTTGCTTCTGTTGCGGTGCCTCGGGAAAATAACATCAGTTACTGTGAGACGGATTCCATGTGCATGTGTGTCAAATATTGGGGCAGATCTACTATGAAACTAATTAAGCTTCAGGGTCCTCAATCCCAGAAGGGCCCCAGAAACAACTTTAGTCGCTTAAAAAATCTTATTCACACCAATGACTTTGACATGTGAGATAATCCAGAGCGCCAATTTTAATCAAAATCTGAGATGTAATAGTTTTGTTCTTTTAATGTGGTGATCTGTTGTGGAACAACCCCACTGAAGCAGGTAACAGTTATTACCCAGACCTCATTGCTGGTTGTGAAGCGGTCCCCCAGGACAGTTCAAGTTTCAGGGCCCCCCAAAATGTAGGTTTGCCACTGTGAAATATGCCAACACGCTAGCATGTAAAAGTGAGAGAAGGAAAACAGGAAGAAAAAAACACTCTATTTGGTGTGGTTTGTTGGTGGATGATATCCAAAATAAATAGGTGATCAGAAGTCTAAACAAACAAGCAACTTGTATGTGATTAACTAATGGGAGTTGTTCTATTGGGGAGGGTCACAAAGTGAATTTGAATAAATAATTATTCTGCGTAATTAAAATGTCACCAATGGAATTCTACAGGAAAAAACCCCACATCTTCTGTATGAAAATGTGGGCATTTTAAAGATTAGAAATACTTGCTAAAATATAAAGCCTAAATGTGCTATGGTTGAATTTAATGTTTTGGCCCTTCAAAGTCATGACTTAGATAACTGAGAACCTACCATGGGCTCATGGCCTCTCTAATGCTAACTCCTGCTCTCTCCTTTCATTGTGTGCTCAGATTAAATTATTTACCTTTCAGCACCAGCTATACTTTGTTGTTCCATCCACATCACCAAACTGTGATTATCACTTGCCATGCAGCCCAAAACTGCAAACCAGGATCAAGCCAATCACTCTGGAGGGCAAACACAAACCCAAGTTTACCGGTTGTTGGGTTACAGTGCACTATCGTTTGCATCCCAGAGCCGGTGCACTGAGCAGGCCTTGCCCTCAAACAAGGTAGAGAGAGCTTAAAAGCTCTTGCCAGGTAACCCCAAGCAAACCAGGTACAAAAAGAGCTTTTAAGATCTCTACCTTGCCTTGGATTTAGCTTGCACAATTTCAACCAGCCTGCCTTCAACCAAGTTTTGTTGAATTTGTGCTTTATCTGTAAAAAAAAAAATTTAAAAAATGGTAAAAAGCCCCTGGACGGCTAAGTCCAGTCAAAGACGACTTGGGGGCTGTGGCACTCATCTCGCTTTTCAGGCCGAGGGAGCCGGCGTTTGTCCACAGACAGCTTTCCGGGTCATGTGGCCAGCATGACTAAACCGCCTCTGGTGCAATGGGACACCATGACAGAAGCCAGAGCGCACGGAAACACTGTTTACCTTCCTGCCGCAGCGGTACCTATTTATCTACTTGCACTGGTGTGCTTCTGAACTGCTGGGTTGGCAGAAGCTGAGACAGAGCAAACTGTATGGTGTATGTGCAGCCTCAGTGGTGCTCTCTGTACAACTCTGCAAAGAGGAGGATGGGAACAAAACTAGATTTAGGGCATGGACATGTTAGTGGCTTAAAGCTCAGTGAGGTCGTTTCCTAATTGCTGCATTTCAAGTCGCATTTTACTGAGCTGTGCACACATTACCCGGTTTGTTTCTCTACACCTTTCTATTCAATGAAGTTGTCGCCTGATATCTGAAATGCGTAACCCTCCGCTTTTTAATTGGATGGAAGCTAGTTTGAGGAGAAACGCTTCAAATGCCACCATGGGAGTGCACTGGAGCCAGAGTAATGTGTAATCGGCCTTAGCTGGATCTGCCTGTCATTAGCTCTGGCTCCACCTACTGTTGATCTTCCGGCCTTCTGCCTTACCAGTTCCAATAGGTGCCAGCCATCACTGGGAAGGGGCTCCCTAAAACCATTATGTCTAGAGTACAAGGGTTCATCCACACATCCGCTTGTCCTATGCTTAGAAGCACAGATCCAAGCAGTTTTGTCTTTGCCCCACTTCTTCTCCCCAGAAAACCACTCAGAACAAAGACAATCCATGGGGAACTTGACTGCCATTTGCTCTAATTCAGTGCTAAATTGCAGGTTTTCCCAGGGGAAAGCAGTTGGGCAAACAGCGTGGATAAGCCCTAAAATTACCTCACTGTGCCCACCTGTATCCGTAAGCAGTGTAGCTCAAGAGTGGGTTTCTACCACTGTTTTGTTGCATTATATCTAAAGTGAGGATTCCAAGTCACACCCACAATTTTGTGTACAATGCTAAGGGTGGTGTTTATCCTGGATTAACGTGGACTACCTGGGAGTGAGGTTGTGTGTGTGGCGCGAATCACATTTTACACTTAAACAGCCGTGCTGAAGCTGCCTTTCATCGCCTATGACTAATGGACATTTACATTCAGAAGCACAACAGGAACGTTCTGAGGCAAAATTGGTAGCTAAGTGCCATAAAGATGAAAAGCCTTAGACAAGTATAATTATCTTCGTTATTAGCTGTAGTAGTAGTAACAGCAGCAGCAGCAGCAGGAGCAGCAGCAGCAACAGAGTCACTGGAAGAAGCAAACCACTAAGCCTCATGGTAGTGGAAGTTCTTGAAAAGAGCCCCTTTGGGCGCTGCCTCCTTTCTGGGCAGCCTGCTGGAGACCCAGGGGGTGGGCCAATGAATGTAAATGTTGCCTTTGTACAGCACTCTCACACTCCTCTGTCCTCCATCCAGGCAATACAGTGGTACATCGGGTTACATACGCTTCAGGTTACAGACTCCACTAACCCAGAAATAGTACCTCAGGTTAAGAACTTTGCTTCAGGATGAGAACAGAAATCGTGCTCCGGCGGTGCAGCAGCAGCGGGAGGCCCTATTGGCTAAAGTGGTGCTTTAGGTTAAGAACAGTTTCAGGTTAAGAATGGACCTCTGGAACGAATTAAGTACTTAACCCGAGGTACCACTGTATCAGAAGTCAAGGACCCACAATGAGGGATCAAAGCAGAGTTGGTGAGGGATTTGGTTTAGGGAGAGGGTGTGCAGAGAAGGTGTGGCCTGGAGAGAATTCTGGGAGCCAGAGAAAGAGAGGCATTTGGCCCCAGGGATAGGATTCCCCAGACCTACTCTTGAAGATGGTTATAGGAAATAATCCTGGCTACATCATTCAGAAGCCAACTTGCCTTAGTACTGTTCATTTGTTTCCTAAAAATTATACACTGCTGGATTGCAAAAAGCGCAATATTACCTCTTAGCTACATGAAAGGAAGTCACTGACTCTTACCCAAGCATTCTAGCTTTATGCATATAACGAACAACCTTTTCTGGGTGTCTTTTTGGTTACTTTTAATGCCTTGTGATTATTATTACAATTTACCTGCCTTTCACCCTAGAGTCCTAGTGTGGGTTACATCAATTAAAGCACAACATTAAAAACAGTTTAAAACAACTTACTGTCATAGAAATAAGGGGGGGGGGTTCCTAAAATATACATCTCAAGTGTCAAAAGCCAGACTAAAGAGGTATTGTGGGTGGCCCAGCCTGAGCACCGTTTCTTAGCCTGCAGACCTAAATCTGGAAGGAGGGAACTGCTTCGTCCAACCCCAGCAGGGCTGTCACCCGTAAGACTGGTGTGTGGGTGGAATAGCATTATTGTGCTTCTTTCCATTAAAAAACCAAATAAATTATTTTAAATAATAATACATTGGAAGAAACTGCACTAGCCCCTGGGCTGGTGTCAATACCTGGTTTGGAGGCATGCTGGGGGACTGAGAAGACTATGGATCCAAGCCTTCCTCTGGCCTTCCCCCCTTATTCTGCCCCACCAATGTTGCCATGTCAGAGCAGGGGCCTTGGAGTGGTGGGGAGGGGGAATCCAAAGCCCATTCTCCGTCTCCAGGTTCAGAGCTATCTCTCTGGCCCCCGCTATCCCTAATTCAGATCAAAGCTGGTTTGGGGGGGAAATACGTCAAAACACATAGCAAACAACAGGCTAGATAAAAGATAGATTTGGATTGTGGCTTATCTCATGTGGGAGCACAGTGAGGGTGTGCTAGAATCAGAGGAGTATGAACTTCTGTTACTTTCAATGGGGCCATGGTTGTATTCATACCATACATTTAAAGAACATTTCCTCTCCCAAAGAATATTGGGAACTGTAGTTTGTTGAGTGTGCTTGGAATTAAAGCTCTGAACAGTAAACTACAGTTCCCACAATTCTTTGTGGGAGGGGAAATGCTCTTTAAATGTATGGCGTGTTAAGCCAAGGTTAAGACTAACTTTTGGTAGATTGCATTTTGTCAATTTGATCTGCTTTCTTGCAGTTCAAATGCCAAAACCCTGAGAAAGCACAGTATATTGGCCCCTAAAGATCTCCCAAATACAGATAATTCCAGCCATAAATGCAACGAAGTCAGCAGAGGTTTCAAATAAACTGTACATTTTGAAATCTTTCCTAAGATGTCTTTTGTCTAGACAAAGGTTTTCTTCAAAGTCTGCAGAGCATATCATTACCAAACTTTAAAAGATAGTGATCCAACTTGTCACTCTTGGAATTAATGTTTTAATAAAAACAGACCAGGAGATGTTTCTCCATGTGGTGTGATTACTGGTTACCATAAAAATACTTCACAGATATTCTTAGACACATGCTCAAGAATTTTATCAGCTTTCTGCACACTTTAATCTATCTATCAAACATGGGTAAAAAAGAAAAATAAATCCCCATTAAATTACAAATCAACCAGCACTTTGATACTATCACTATTTTAAAGATGTATAATCCGAGCCATGAGATTGTTTTGAAACCCCTAATAGCTTATAAAGTTGACTTCCCCCTCAGGAATAACTAGCTCCTTTCAAGTTGCATTACTCAGTGTCAGTAAACGGCCAAAGAAAAACAGAAGGAGCCGTAATAAAGCACTCAAAAGTAATTAGTCACTCAATATCTATTTAGAATTTGGGAATGAGCAGGGTAAGCTTCAAAAGGAATTCATTTTTGTATCCACACAGAACGTATGTCCCTGGAAATCTGAAATAAGGCTTGAAGAATCTTTTTCATGTGAGACAGATCTGCTCCCCAAAAATTTGTTTGCCAGATTTTTTTTTACACTAACTTCATTTCCCCCCACAACTAGAAGACAAAAGAATACTGCTATGAAGAAACCACTCTATCTATCTATCTATCTATCTATCTATCTATCTATCTATCATATATGAATGTGGTCTCAATTCCCCAAGTGCCAGTAGGCAAGAAAGCATCACTCACATGAAAGAGGGAGTATCAGCAGGTTTTGGGGGAGTACCAAAGCTTGCAGAACTATGACCAAACTTTGGGGGTAGGGGAGCTCAATGAAGACTGAGCATGTTCAGTAGACCTGTAATGCCGATTGATGGCATGGAGAACCAAGAGGGAGCGAGTAATGAAATGGAGTAGTCTGGAAGATGGCTGGAACTCTGAACTCTGGAACTCTGCACGGCAACTGTTTCTTCCAGTTCCACTTGGCACCTCCATATTGAATAGTGCAGGAGGTACCTTGTTTCAGACAGAACCTTGAGACGACACCCAAATGGGAAAATCAAACCCATCCATTCTTTTCTTCTTTCCTTTCTTCTACGGTTTCTCCATGGGAGGGATTCATTCTCTCATGAAAGACCTGGCAGCTCCTCTAAGACCTGAACCTCATCCAAGTGATAATTACATCCGTTTGAAATTCCATGAACTGAGAACCAGCCTCCAGCTATTCAACGAACGCTCCTGCAGACCGCATGCTTTTGCAACATGCCCCTTCTCTCTTTGCATTCCTGGCAACCACAAGTTCTGGGCTACCACTGGTTGCCCTCTATTCCTTGGGGCCACTATGGCAACTGGGATCCAACTCTGCAGTGTTTAGGAGCCCTTCTGCTGAAAGTGTCATTGGACTTCTGTCTCTTAAGGTCTACCCTGAGTGTACCTCTGCAAAGACCCTTGCAGAACTGAGGCCCACCCATTCCCTGAGTCCTGCCTTGAGCTTGCCAAAGGTATTGGAGGCCAAAGCAGGCTCTGTCTCTCCCACCGGACAGGAAGTGAGAAGTCCTGCATTCTTTTGTGATGTGTGGGAAAGTGTCTCAATTCACAATGGGCTTTAGGGGCAGAGAGTCCACTTCAAAGAGGTTTATCATTACTGCTGGTGACCAGAATTGTTGCTCCCTCTCTCAGCAAGCTCATACACAAGGCCAGCCCAAGACATTTTACTTCCTGAAGTAAACAGGTTGGTACCCTGATGTTGCATTTGCATGTGCTTATACCTCTGAATACTAACCATGCTGGGCATGAGGGAGCTATTGCAATGCATAAATATGGCTCAGAAACTAGATTAAGGTCTCATTCAGGATGACATTTTATGTGGGTGCATTCTGCAACCTGTTTTTGACACAATAATGGTGCATTAGTGGTGGGTTCATTCTGCTTTGGTTTGTACTGCAATGCTTTCCCAATGCTACCACATTGTTGCTGCTGGGAGGGGTTATACTGCAACAAAAGCAGGACAAAAACGAAACATTTTTAATGTTTTACAGTCATACCTTGGGTTACAGTTGCTTCAGGTTGCATTTTTTCGGGTTACGGATGCACCAAAACCCGGAAGTACCAGAATGGGTTACTTTAGGTTTCAGTGGTCACGCATGCGCAGAAGTGCTAAATCGCACTTTGAACATGCGCAGAAGTGCCGAATCGCAACCTGCACGTGCCACTGCGGGTTGCAAACGTGCCTCCCGCACGGATCACATTCGCAACCCGAGCATCCACTGTATTACCAAACATTTGTGGTATAAAAAGTTATGGCGTTTGAGCAGGGTGTTATGGGATATGCACGGACTGGATATGCACTGACGCAGTGTGACCACCCCAAACATTTGCAGATGCCAGGAGTATTGAACATGGGGTTGTGTGGGGCTGCCCAGATAGCATCATGAGAACAAATACTGTAATCACAAATGCACAATAACAAGGATCTCTGGAGGAAGCCCAACATGTCAAACTATCATGCGAGATCCAGCAGTGGCTACAAGCCACTCTGGTGCTCATCCCGTAAACTCAGCAGTGTGGAACATTAGTAGGTATTTTCCTCTGCCACTTCCAGACTGTAAACAGTAACAGATCATTTACTCGCGAATGAAAGCAAGCTATCTACTTACTTGGGGGTGTGGGTTGTTTTTTCTTTTTAAAGGAGAGAGATGAAAAGAAAACTCACTTCAAAAAGGGAAATTTCCATTTGATGTACTGACAATTCAAAGCAAAGGTGAAGTTCCTTCTCCAAAGCAGCTCTTTCTCCTTGGCACCTCCCGTATCAGTTTCTTCTGACAACATCATTGCTTCAGGTCAGGATAAACAAACACCACTTTGCTGGTATTATGTATTATCACTAGCATCAAATGAGTGAAAATTAAGACAATGAGTCACTAAGGAATAGACAGAATGTGGCTGCAGAACACAGCTTGATCTAAATAAAAACAGATATACTGTTCTAAGGTGTGGTGGAAAGGCAGCATGTCTTGGTAGTGGCAACACCGCGTCATGTGTGGATTCCCGTAATGCACTCTGTGTGGGTCTGCCTTTGAAACCTGACTGGCAACTGCAGGGGGATTCAAAGGAGATCGCTCCGTCAGTGCAAGTGTTTCTGCTTGCCTGATGGAAGGACTTCCCCTCTTCTCCCCCTTCTGCACTGTTCTGGGAGGTTCTACACACCCCCCCATTGAGCCTATTGGGAATGCACAAGGGGAGGAGAAGGGGCAAAAGCCGGTTGCACTAGCGGGACTCATTGCACTGGCTTCTGCTAGAGCAACTAACTACTTGAATCTGACCCTGCGGCTGGTGCAGAATGCTGTGACCAGCTCTCAGACTGGAACTGGGCTCCTCTGGGCTCCTCCAGATGACCTGCTCGTTCAACATTCTTCCCGATTTGCTTGCACAATGCTTACAGGGTAGTTAAATTTTGCTTGGTCTTTAATGAGCATTTCTTCTGCTTGTTTTTATGGAGCAGTTATATAGGGATAAACATTTGCAGGGGTAGGGCAGGGCAGGTGGAAAGGTTTGCCCCTTGATTGTTCCAGCAGTATCCCTCCCCACACCGTAGCAATGTTTCCCAGGCAATTCTAGTGTTGCCCCCTGCTCCTCCCTATGGTGATCTCTGAGGGCAATGCTGAAACTGAGGAGGAGGAAGCTTGAGGGATGGGTTTCAATAGGTAGGAGAGGATATATTAATTGCAATTTATCTCTCCAGGCGTGCACGTGTGTAGGTTGAACAGAATTTTAAAATCCCATCCTTGGAAGAAAAAAAATAAAAGCATAGGAGTTAAGCTGCAAAGCCTTGTTTTGAGCAAGAACAGCTAACGAAGTAAGCTGGCTTCCCCCTTCTTATCCCGCTTAATCAGGCAGCAACTTGTAAAGTAAGTTTTAAAATAAGGTTTATTTACTTACCAGCCTCCAAAGCTGGTCAAAGGAAGAGAAAAAGGAACAGGAAGTACTATGTGGTCCTTCCTCTCCAGGAGAGGAGGGGAAATGACATCACACAGAACCCTCTCTACCAATTGTATTCTTATGGTCTGAGTAGCTGCCTATCAGCAAGACAGCACTGTTATTAGCTCTTTCTCATGAATTTGTTAGGCTTGGCTGCTAATCTTCCACAAAACCAGGGTTTTTTTTTTCAAACAGCTGAAACTCACTGGAACTCAGCCCTGCCCCTCAGGTGGGTGTCATTGCTATTATAAGAGAACAAGAGAGGCATTTGTGGTGAGTTCAGGCACCTCTTTTTCTAGACAAATAGCATTGCACAAAACTGACAGTCAGGACTACCCCTTGGCCTGGTTAAAAGGAATAAGGCAGGCTGGTGTGGCAGGGCAAACTGTGGTTGGTGGGGAGCTGCCCCCTTTGCCCCAGTGGGCCAGCCTCCATTGCTGATATTCAGATAAGAGATTACTGTATTGTCTGAAAAAGAATGATTTATTCTTTAGGCAAGAAGGCTAGAATTCCCCAAGTGACAGGAAGTATTGGAGAAAAGGAAGGGACATATTCGGAAGGAAGTCAACTATATTAGCAGGGAAAATATATCCATTGTTCTCCCCCTCCATGGTGTTTTTTTTAAACTGCATTTAAAAAAATGACGCGTGCCTCTGAACAATGTGCTTCGTGTGTCTTTTTCAGGAATTGAAGCTGGCCAGGGACAGCATTGCTCTGAGGAGCTGCCCCTGGCAAACTCTTATGTAAAACAGAGGGTAGTCTGGTTTATTTTCCACCAGGAGCATTATTATGGCTTTGAATTTTAAAATTAAAGTTTCTCCAGGGTGGGGCAGGGGGAACCCAAACTGGAACACAGCAGGATGTGAGGTGGGGGCTCCTTCAAATATGAAGCAGGAGCTGATGGGAAGAGTGGTTTGCCTAGAATCTGAACCGTTTAGGTTTGTTACTTTAGGCTGCAGGCTGCACATGGATCGATCCAAATTAATGCCACTTCTCCAAATGTATTATTTATTCCATCCCTAACCTTAACTACCAAGACCACGCATAACTCTAAGAAAGCGGCCATCATTTCCGGGGGGGGGGGGGGCGGAATCTGTATCTTCCCTTGGAGACATCCCTGGAGGTAATTTTTGTTATTGCTGATAGTTATCAGAAAGTTCTAGTGCACTTTTTTTAATGGAAAGGAGGCCATATGCTTCTCACTGAAGATCTTGTCTATTTCTAGTCTGGTAACCATTAACGGAAGAGCTATGAGCTCCAGCCTGAGGATTCCATGGAAGGAGGATGTGACTGTTTTCAAAACACAAGTGCTTGGGGTTCTGACTTTCATTTGATGTTTTCTGAAACCAGAAAACAATTGAAAATTATTCTAATCCAGTTTATGCTGTAATAGGATTGGGGTTATTTTTGCTCTGATCTCTGATCAAGGGTTTTCCAGCTCCCCCATCTTCCAGCTTCCTTGACATGTTCTCATTTATCTGACTCTCAGCGTATAAAGGGAACAGGCACTGATGTGTCATTATCACCAACTATTATATTTCCCCTTCCACTAAACTGCTGATAAAAAAGTGAAATAACAAGTTTTACTCTGCTTTTAGTGTGTGTAGTACTTTATAAGAAACTGCCTTTATTCCTGTGATGGACTAGAGAATCTGTGGCTCTCTCTATGTTGATGGACTACATATCCCGTTGGTCATATTGGCTGGGGCTGATGGGAGTTGTAGTCAAACAACTGAAGGGCCTATTAGCTCATGAGTTAGAAGGGATTTGAAGCACAATGTTCCCTACAAGCAAGGATGGGGAACCACCCTCTAGGGCTTGGTGGACTACCACTCCCATCAGCTTCAGCCGGTATGACCAGTGAGGATGAGAATTGAAGTTCTGCAGCATCTGTAAAGTTTCTGATTTCTGCCTTTAAAGGACTGCAGTGAAGGCCATAAAGCTGCCATTGCCGTAAATCTTAAATATGGTGACAGCTTCCTTCCCAAGTTTTCAAAATGAAAAATGTTACTCTCTTGCTGAATAAGACACTTAGGTTTTTCATTTTGTAAACTTGGGAAGGAAACTTGTGATGCATTTCCTCTTTTTTTACCGCTAAATAAGTTTCCAGCCTAGAAGCAACAGTTCAGTGGCAAAGCACCAAAGGAATCCAGTTCTCCTTTGGAATATTCCAGGCCCTTTCACTGAATTATCACCTTAATACAAAAACGTCTCTAGCCCTTTATATATAAAGACAGGCAGCAAAATGTCAAAATTCTCACCAATTGTTCACTAAGAAGGAAGTCTGTTTCTGCCTTCTGGGATAAATGATGAGCATTTCTTTTAAAAAAATTACAGAATTAAAAGTTTATTTTGTAATTAATATTTAATGCAATTAACTTGAAACCTATTATGCTGACGGTCACAATATGTCCTACTATACAGTGGTTGGTTCTCTGTTTTGAAGGGCTGTCAGAGGACATTACTTGAGGGGATTCTCTGTTTCAGGGCTATCTGGTCCAAATCTGGTTGAAAGATATGGAACCATAAGAAGGGAGAGCAGGAGCCTTAAAGCTGCCCATCCATAATTAGCAGAACCTGGTCAGCTGACTGAGCAGGCACACAGACCACCTGGTGTCTTTCCCACTACAGTCATCCCTTCTAAATTTGCATCTACCGTATTTTTCGCACCATAGGGCGCACCGGACCATAGGGCGCACCCAGTTTTTAGGGGGGGGAAATATTTTTCCGCCCCCAGCCCCAAAGAGCAGCGTACAGGCTGCGCACAACCTCTTCCTGCCAGAGGGGTTGCGCGCGGCTATGGCACAAGCCAAGGCAGCGAGCAGGATGGATCCCGCTCGCTGTTTTGGCTTCCCATTTAGCCCCGTGCAGCCTCCCCTTGCCGGAGGGGTTGCGTGCAGCTATGGAGGAAGCCAAAGCAGTGAGCGGGATGGATCCCGCTCGCTGTTTTGGCTTCCCCTTTAGCCCCGTGCAGCCTCTCCTTGCCAGGAGACACTGCCCAGGGCTAAAGAATCCATAGCCCCGTGCAGCCTCTCCTTGCCGGAGGGGTTGTGCGCAGCTATGGAGGAAGCCAAGGCAGCGAGCGGGATGGATCCCTCTCGCGGTTTTGGCGTCCCCATTAGCCCCGTGCAGCCTCTCCTTGCCGGAGACGCTGCGCAGGGCTTCCTGGCTTTCCTGGGAGGTGGGGATTCCCTCACCTCTCCCAAAAGCCCGCAGAAGCCGCGCAACCCCTTTAAAGAGAACGCGGCTTCTCCTGGCTTTCCTGGGAAGTGGGGGAATTCCCCCACCTCCCGCAAAACCGGCAGAAGCTGCGCGCACTTTAAAAGGGCTGCACGGCTTCTCCTGGCTTTCCTGGGAGGTGGGGGAATTCCCTCACCTCTCGCAAAAGCCCGCAGAAGCCGCGCAACCCCTTTAAAGAGATCGCGGCTTCTCCTGGCTTTCCTGGGAGGTGGGAGAAGGGACTGATGCTGCCAGTCAATCCCTTCTCCCTCCTGTGGAAAAGCCCGCAAGAGTGCACAGAGCTTGTATGCGGCTCTTGGGGGCTTTTCCCGCCTGCCTCCCCCCTGCATTCGCTCCATAGGACGCACACACATTTTCCCTTGCTTTTTAGGAGGGAAAAAGTGCGTCCTATGGTGCGAAAAATACGGTATATATAAAAATGACTGCATGCAAATCTGTGTCCCTTTTTTTTGCGATGCAACCCACCTTTTTTGTTTTTTGCCAATGCATAACTGACACCCCTAATTAGGCTGCATGTATGACCTTAGAACTCTACATGCATACATGTTTGGCATGCATAATGCTCCAGGTTTGCTCCAGTTTAAGGATTTAAGGTCCCAGACCTAAGGCAGTGAGGACAGGGAATAACAAGCTGCCGAATGGCCCTTTGGATCTGCTGATTACAAGGCAGCTGAGCTCCTTCTGTTCCTGTTTAGGATGAAAAGACTTCTGTGTTAAAGTTACGGCAGTCTCTGAGCCCAAATTGTTTTTCTGCACCATTAAAAAAAGAAGCCCAAACCAACAGTTTGGCGCTTAGCATAATCCCCCGTAATGATCAGTGGCAGCTAAGCATGCAGCTTGCAAGATGACAATTAGAAAGTTCAAAATTATCACTTTTATGTTCTACTCTAGGAAGGAAGGGGCAAAGGATATTGTTTGTGGGTGGCAAAAGCCCTGTAATAAAAATATGTGCAACTTATATTTGGCTTCTAGCAGGTAAAAAAATAAAAAATCATAACACTTTTTTCGTTCCTTTGCATGGAGACCAGCATGGCTCATGTGTGGCGACCAGAAAAATGTGCCATCTAGTCCTTAGAACTGGTTTGTTCAGCAATGTTAGGAGTAAAGGAGAAGTTATATGAAGGGACTGTTGGGTCTTGGCCTCCAAGCAGTGTAAAAGATGGAAGATAGCCGTCTGTATCTGAAGCACAGGAGCAGCACTGGGAAAGACATTTTGCTGTCCGAGACTGACCAACCAATGAACCTCACCACCATGCTGGAGTCAAGGTGCATACTACCAAAGGCCAGCCAAGTTATTTTGACACCTGAGGCATTCTACTTCTCTTAAATTTTTATAACACCCTTGTAGCAAGCATTGCTTGGGAATTCTAATAAACCATTAAAAAAAATCAGTGGTTTGGAAATCAGCAGTTAAAATCAGTGCAGTTTCGAAATATTCCACCTGCCATCTTGATTTCTAACGGCGTCTCATTGTATCCAAGCACAGACAAAAAAACCACTCCTTGATCTCAGGAACCTCTATGTAAAATTTTGGTTGTGACAGCTTAAATTCAGAGAACAGAAGGACAGACAGACAGCTTTCCAAAATATATAGATTTGCCTTGTGCCGTTGGGTCATATAATTATCATACTTGAAACATGCCAGGCCATAACATAGCACATTTCCCCCCTCCATTAATTTCTCAGCACCCCATCATGTTTTCTTTTTCCTTCTTTTTTGCATTGAAGCTAAACTCGTGGCCGGTTAAGTTTTAAAAACCGCTTTGAGGATGCTAGCAGCTTTGGGTCTCCGCCATGCCTTAACCCATCACCGGAAAAGGACAAAGGGAAAGAAATACCAGCTACAAACCAGGCTCTCGCTCTCTCTTTAATGGAAGGTTTCCGGCTGAAGCCTCGCACACATGTTGATACATGCTTGAGGCAGGCGCTCTCTTTGAAGAGAGCAGGGAGCTAGTTGAGCATATTTATAATATACAAGAACAAAGGCAACAGTGCAGCTGCCTTTGCCAAGGAGGAGTAACTGCACACTCCTAAAAAGGACTGTGCAGAAGGACCACCAGCTTAGAGGCAGGTGGTATGTGGGCTTGGGAGAGTGTCTAGGATGGCCTGACCTGTGGAAAAATATCCCCTTGAAGAGCTGGAACGGAGGGAAGGGGCACATGGTGGACACACCAACAGAATTGCTTTCTTCCCTTTCTCAGAATACAGGCTTGAGATCAGCCACGGTAACGGACAACTGTTCAGAAAGCTGTTGGGAAGTGCTTCTTTACTGGAGGGGTTGGGTGTATTGGGATCTACTGGAGATTAAGGCTTTCCAACTGGCAACAATTCCAACAATTATTTAACAACTGGCAAGAGAGACATTTTTTGTTCTTGCTGAACTGGGCTGTTGGAACCCCTATCTGTAACAACTCAAATACAGATTTGTTTCTCATATTCATCTGACATATGGATCACAGGGTGCAGTAAGCGTTGGCCCCCTAAGCTACCATTTCACATCTGGTTTTCTTCCCTCCTGAGCTACAGTTTGCACTTGGCTTTGGTTGATTGGTAGACTTCAAGTCTCTAGCAAAGACAAACACACACAAAAGAGGTCCCACAAGCCTGAAGTCTGTTCAGTCCTATTTTACACAATGCACGATTCTCCGCAGAACTATCATGTAGGACCTACATTTGGGGGCCCTGAAGCTTGAACTGATATGGGGGCCCCTTCGCAGCCAGCAACAAGGTCTGGAACAAGGTCTTCAGTGGGGTTGTTCCACAACAGATCACCACTTAAAAAACAAAAAACAACAACTGCTCCATGGCACAATGGGTCAGTGCATCTGGATGTTAACCAGAAGGTTGGTGGTTCAAGCCCACCCAGGGACAGCTGTGATTGCAAGGGATTGGACTAGTTGCCCCTTTAGGTCCCTTCCAACTTCACAATATAATGATTCCATGATCTCAGATTTTGATTAAAATGGATATACAGTCATGCCTCGGGTTGAAGTAGCTTCGGGTTGAGCGTTTTCGGGTTGCGCTCCGCGGCAACTCAGAAGTAACAGAACGTGTTACTTCCGGGTTTCACCGCTCGCGCATGCGCAGACGCTCAAAATGACGTCACGCGCGGAAGCGGCAAATCGCGGCGCGGGTTGCGTTCGCTTCAGGATGCAAACAGGGCTCTGGAATGGATCTCGTTCGCACGTATGGCCCTTTGGGCTCTGGAATGGATCTCGTACTGGATTACCTCACGTCAAAGTCACTGGTGTGAATAAATATTTCCTATACCTCAGTTTTCAAGTTTTGTGCAGTATGCATGAGTAAAGTCACTCCTAGGGACCCACCAGAATTAGGGGCTGTGAAGCTAAACTTTTTAGTTTCATAGTGCATCCGCCCCTGCCTACAATGGATCCTCACCTCCTGCTAAGAGCGCTCCTGTGTAGAGTTCCAACCAGCCATGCCATCCTGTAGTAGTAGACTGTTTAATCTCCATTTTCCTGCTCTCATTTCCCTTTTGCAATGGAGCCTTAGTGTTAGTCCTGAGCAACCTCAGTCCCTGTAGCAGACAGCAAGTTGAGCCACCAGTGCCGTCTCTGCCAGGAGGAATAGGTGGAAGTCGGCGCAATGCAAACGCACCAGGGGAGCTGTAATCGGATCTGTTTAAAAGCCCATCTAATTCATCACTTTGGGATGCAAGCTTGTAGGGCAAGCAGGCTAGGCGCCAGTGTCACAGAATTGTAGATCTGAAAGGGACCCCAAGGGTCATCTAGTCCAACCCCCTGCAAGACAGGATTTTGTTTTGCCCAATGTGGGGCTTGAACTCACGACCCAGAGATTAAGAGTCTCATGCTCTACCATCTGAGCTATCCCAGCAGATACGTATTTATGGTTTACTGCAAAGGTGGTGAACAGTTTTTTCAGCCCAAGGGCCACCTTCCCTTCTACATAACCTTCTGGGGCCACATGCCAGCGCTGGGCAGAGCTGGAGGCAAAGGGGACCAAGTAATGAATGTGCATTTCACTTCTGCCCAGCAGGCTAGTTGATTCACACTGACCCCTGCTTCCCTATCCTCCATCCAGGAAAGGAGGAGGTATCGCCAGACTTCAAGAACGTATTCCAGCCAGGTGAAAGCAGGGCCAGCAAAGGGTGTAACTCAGGAAGGTGTGTGGCCTGGGGAGGGGCCCAATGGCCAGATAAAAAGCCACACTTGGTCCCTGCCCCCAGGGTCTCCCATCCCCAGAGAATGGACAGGATATGTAAGTCTTAGTGAAGATATCGCACTAGCGTAGGGCAGAACTGCTTTCACCAAGTTGTCAGCGTGCCACATTTGCTAGGCTTCTTCTGCCTTCTTAAGTATGAGAATGTGCTCAACGCCACTCTTAAATAGTAGTGCTAAGCCAACATAAGGGGTGAGGCAATTCAGCTCGCACGTGAGTCATCCTAGTTCCCTGGAGGGTAGATTTTATATAGCCATTACAACCATTTTGTTGTTGTTTTGGCCTGCGTTTCAGCAATATTGCATTTTATTACCCCCTTTTAAGTTAATTCCAAGTCACTGCTGACATCAGCAAGCATCAGTTAGAACAATCTTTTCCAGAGGAATCCACGGAACAAGAAAGGGCCAGGCTGGATTCTTTACCAAGCGGCTTGTTTCAAGCTCTCCTAGAGAAGTTACTCCACAGCTTCTGCATTTCTTACGTTTCCCTTTAGCTAGATGCCCCCTATTGACTGTAGTTGGATTTACACCATTTAGCTGGGGGAAAGTAACAGTGAAATCCTACACAGGCCTACACCCCACTGAGCACACTGGAACTTGCTTAAATGTAAACAAGTATAGCATTGCAATCTCAGATAAGTAAAATGCAAAGAGGTGATTTGCAAAGTTCAAGGTTAACTATTTTTCCACAGCATCTGAGGTAAGTGTGAGGATCACCAGGTTACTCAAGCAAGACATCCATCTTATCTCTAAATTAAATGTAATTTTCTTTACATGAAATATAAATAATGACACTTTGCAGTGACTTTCTTGCATTCTCTGTTTATTTGTCAGTTTTGAGACCTCTCTAGAAAATCACTTCCAGAATGTCAATAAAATTCAAACAATGACTTTGCAAATCATGCTTATTGTGGAATAGAGCAGCCATCACTGTTACTTCATGAGAGGATGGCAATAGTGTTTTCAAAATCTAACCATCCAGTATAGGAGCACTTTAATGTAAACAGAAAACAGCAGCACCAGAAGGGGGAAAATAACCTATGCTGGTCCTGCTGAAATCATCCTAATCTGTACCTAAACAGAGGTAACTTTGCTGCTTCCCCACCCATCTGCAATGTGCATGTGCGAACAGGAGCCCATGAGATGAGGAGTGAACAATTCCCCCTTCTACATAGTGAGCCAGTTCACACATAAATCAAAGTCAAACCATGGTGAGAACCTGTGAGGAGACTGCCAACACTATGTCTTTACTCCTGCTGTGAGCTAAACCATGGTTTGGCTTAGCATGTCACCTGAACCTAGGATCGTGCTTTGTCTCCTTTAGACAATCCATGAGCTATGAACCCCGGTTACAGACTGTTGTTTATGTGAAGCGAGACAAACCACAAGCTTGTGTACAAACAACACTAAGCCATGCCCAGGTTTAGCTCACAGCAGCAGGACTTGGAGGAAGGAGTGAAGTGGCTTCAATCTCCTCTCTGGGAACCCACATTTTTGTGGCAAGTGGTTTGGCTTTGCATTTTATGCGCACAGCTAACTGACATGCTCCTTTGCAGTTTTAAAGAGTAATCTAAAGCTTTACTCACTGAAAAGCAGCAAGACCGCTGCTTTAAGAGGCAGTGTTCCTTACCTTTTGAATGACCAGGTGCAGTGGAAGACAGGACTTACGTACCTCAAATGGTTGCTCAGCTTATGTTTCTCATTTCTCTAGTGCTAGGACACAATCTGTCCATGCCAAAGCAATTACAGCTTCTATAGCATCTGGATGCCCTGATTCATGAGGGACATCAAGGGAAAGTTGGCATCTCTTCAAGGAATACCAACTTTTCTCTAACAAAGTTTTCCAGCTGAGCTGTAATCAGGGATTCCAGGAAACATACATACATAGAGAACCTGCTGCACCAAGTGAATCGTGGGCAACACAGCTTGTGCAAACTTACCACCCCTCATTCAACAGAACCGCTATGCTAGTGCACTTATGGGAGCAACTATCTGATCATAGACTTTTAAAGTAGAGTACTTGTGACAGTAGTCATGCCACATAGATGAATGATATTGTTCAGGCTTTATTGCAACTCACAGTGCAAAAAAAGATTCCCTTTCTATCTCCAATAGTACAGATTGGTACATTATAAAGGAGATCAAACAACTCATGTCAGGAGAAAAATACAAAAACAACAAAGTGAAAACAGTAGCATTTGTACTTGGTCTACACCAGAGAAAGCCTCCTTGCAAATTGGTGGCTATCAAATCAACATTGGTCAGAATCTCACCATGAAGGGCACATATAATTTATTAAGAGCGAAGAATCTTCTGAACAAGGTTGCTTTTAGATTCTGCTAAAAGAAATTCACCCAATTTTAAATACCACTCTAGAAACGAAGGGCTATGTGTCTTGATTTAGCTCCTCTTAGCAAAGAGAGCCCCTCACCCCCAGGCACAAACTTACTTTAATGAGTTCTAACATAGAGTCTGTGTCAGTTTGTATTCTAGATGGAAACAACCTTCAAGCACTCTGGTGGGAAAAGGTCTTCAGCAAGAACAGTGGTGGCCAGTTCAGGGAAAGACTTCCTTAGCCTTTGATCACTGCTATGGGTCTCAGTTTAATAGCTTTCTTGCTGATGCCAGCTGCATGGCAGGTGTTAACCACATCCGTCACATTCTTGTAAGATTCAGGTGCCTGAGATAAATGAGATGTAAAAGGAGAGTTAAGAATATATTTTGAGGTCTTTTTTTGTTAATATTATTATTATTATTATTATTATTAATAATAATAATAATAATAATTTAAAAACTATCAATTTCTATTCCACATCATTCAAAAAGCTACCAGGCAGCTTGTAATACATGAGGCTCTCAATACATGCATACATTCATAAGATTAATATAATGTTAGAATAAAAATCATTTTAACTATGTGATTTAATTTCAAAAATCATCTAAGCAAAATCACTTAGGCTTTCCTTGATATAAGGCCAGTAATCTCAGATAAACTCTCCAAAATGCGTGCTTAAAAGAGTAATGCCTTCCTTTGATTTCTCAAGACTTGGGTTAAGGGGAGGTTCTTAAAGAATAATTAAGCAAGATTGGTGCTACCACTGAAAAGGCTCTTCCTCCTCCTATAGTAGCTCCCTCAAAAAAAAAGGGGGGGGGGGCTTTCATCAGATCCCATATTACCAAACTTAAAAAGACAGGAGAACTTACACAAGGCAAGCACCTATTCCCCCCCATTATTGTTTATGAAAGACTATATTAAGTCCTTTTGAACAGGTGTACTGTAAACCACCCTGTGATTGTCTGATGAAGGGTGGTATAGAAATGTAGTAGTAGTACTAGTAGTAATAACAATAATTTTCAACAAGCTTCCATCAATGTTTAGGGAAAAAACTGTTTTTTTGGGCATCAGAAGAAATAACTGAAATGAAATGTACAACATTCGCTTGCCTTTCAGACTCTATTAGTGATACAAAAGGAATGTTCTGAACAATGACATGGGACACTGGATGTTCCCAAATGAGGGAAGGGGAGAGAAGAGGAAACCATTTTAGCCTGGAAGAGGTTTAAGGTTCCTGGAATGGCAGAGTCCAATGAAGTGTTGTGTCCCCTTGTTGCTGGCAGACATTAATACTTCACCAGGAGAGGAAGCTCACCCCAGAAGTAAATTCCCACAAAGAAGTTTATAAATCACTTACTTCTTCCATAACCAGTTTGGGGGATGCAACCCGGATTGCAATCCCCATGTCCGCCAGCTTGTCCAATACATCCTGGAAATCCAAGTTGCGCCGAGATTTTGCACGTGACAATGCACGGCCCTAAAAACGACAATCACTGTTTCAGTTACTGCCATATACCCTTCAGGGAAAATAAGACACTGACAACAGGCATCCAGAAAGTGTCAGCTAAATAGGTCCCTGGCCATTTTGTGCCAATGAATGCAACAAGCCTAACAACTTTTAGGCCTGCATATCTTTGTGTGCCTCCTTCAGAAGAGATCCAGAGGGTTGCAACATGAGAACAGGCCTTTCCGTGGTCTGAAAACTGCATTAACCACAGTTCACACATATGCACATCTATTTAAAGGTATGAGGAACTTGGATGCTGAAAAGGTGGTCACACATGAAGTGATTTTATTTTCATACCCTTGCTGTTACCATCTTCAGTTAGAGAAAGAAAATGTCCTATGCAATTCAAATGAAGTCAATGTACATTTTAATTATTGGAGATTAAACAAGCAGCATTTATAGATAGGATTCTTGCAAATGCTGCACCTTAGTCCTACAGGCATATCACTGAGCAATACATACTGTATTTTTCGCTCTATAAGACACACCAGACCATAAGACACACCTAGTTTATGGAGGAGGAAAACAAGAAAAAAAATATTCTGAATCCCAGAAGCCAGTCACTGACGGGCTGCCCTTCTCCCTCCTCGGGGAAAAGCTCCCAAGAGCTGCACACACGCTCCACACGCTTTTTAAAGGGAGCACTGAGCAGAGCCTGGGATGCATACATTTTTAGGAAGGGAAAAGTGCGTCTTATGGAGCGAAAAATACGGTAAATGGGAAGCGAGGAAGCACTTGAGTAAGAGCAGTGATGGGCAAAGTAAATCTGGATCCACCAGTAAATCACTGGGTGTTTGAAATCTACTTGCTAAATCTACTGCCTGACTCCCAGCTATTGTTCTCCTGCTGGAATTATTTCATTGGAAGCATATGGGTTCTGCACAAGGCTCCAGTTGATGGAACTTGGGGTTCTGGTAATAAACAAAATATATCCCACTAGATGGAAGGCTGCCCACCCCCAAGCTAGATGAAAGTTGCTTTGTTACTCACCGCTCCATGGCAGGTGGTACCAAAGGTTTCAGTCATGCCTTGTTCGGTACCAGTAAGGACATAGCTACAAGTTCCCATTGTTCCACCAATCAGGACAGGCTGGCCAGTCAGCTGCAGAGGCAAAAGAAGGGTGCAGAATCAATATGACACATCCCCCCAAGCTGTAAGCATATGCTGCTCAGCAAGGATCCACTGAAGATCACTACTGATCCACTCAGGGTCAAGCTTCCATAGTGAATCAAGGAAATGTCAGACAGGAGACAGGCAAAATCTGAGCAATCGGGATGTTTTGATTGCAATACAGCAGTACAGCAGACACTGAGAAATATAAGTCCTGACAGCTAGAAGGTTGTATTGTTGCATGAAAAGGAATAAAGGTAGAAAGGTGCACCAACACAATTGTAGGAACATGAGCTGTTAGGTGTGGAAGTCCACGAGGAGTAACAAATATACTATTTGCAGGACCTGTTGGCATTGGCAAGAAAGAAAAGGGCCACAAATTCGTACCTGGTAATCAACCGCAATGAGGGGGTGGTGAGGAGGGAAAGCTCTGGTTGTTCCTTTCCGGTGCACCAGCAGGGTCCGTTCTTTTCCATCTACCACATGCTGCTCTACTTTGGCAATGTTGTGAGATACATCATAGATCACATGCAGATCCAGATCATCAGGGGTGGTATTGAAGACTTTAGCAAAAGCCTAGAAAACATTATAGACATAAGGAGCAGTCCTCTGAATTCAAAAAAAATTTTTTAGGGCTGGTAAGAGCCCAAATAATCTGATGAACACATAACTTATGGCTGTTACCATGATGGCAGTGGTGGAAGCCCACCTCCAGCATCTATTCTCTGCAGTGCCCTCACATTGCTCTACTGAACGTAACTCAGCAGTTTAAAGTTCAAGGGGAAAGTCCATTTTCCTCCCAAAACTCATTAATGGGGCCCAGCCCCATTCATACATCCTGTTTATGAGGAAGATTACAAGGCACTGCACCACCAATCCACAAGCCAGTTAAGCCAACCTCTTCCTACCAATGTGGAGTGATATGGATTAACTTCTGGAGCAAAATAATTTAATTGTTCCAGAAATGTTACCCAGGTGTCAATCAGTCAGAATGCAGCTGAATAGATCCCACTGGGGCTTAAAGAGACGGAAGTGAACAAGTTCATGCTCTTTCTTCGCACCTGTCTGGTGAGGAAAGTCATGGAAGAACGATTGACCCATGCATAGTTTCCAGCTGCTGCCATTCCCTTCAAGTAGTCCTGTCCCTCCTGGGAAGCAATCCTGGCACATGCCAGCTGGCGGTCGTTCACTATGATCTTGTCTCGCTTCATAGCTTTTTCCATAGCCACTAGGGCATCTGTAAAAGGGGGTGGGGGTGGGAAGAGAAACGAAACACAAATTCAGTGTAGGTCTCCATTAAGCCCATCTAAACTAGCACACCCAGAAACTGGACATATCTGAGGCTTCCACAAATGCCAATGGCATGCATGAAGATTGGGAGGAAATAACGCATAAAGCAGTAACTGGAGTCTGTAGATACCTGCAAGAAAGGAGTAAAGTTTCAAGGGCTAAGAAGAAGAAAGGAAGAAAAGCCTAGATACCTGTAGCTACTTGGTGGCCAAGGCCTCTGCTGCCACTGTGGATCATCACACAAACTTGGCCCTTGTGGTCTATGCCCATCTTCTTGGCAGCATATTCGTTAAAAATTTCATCTACAACCTGGATCTCAGCATAATGGTTTCCTGCTCCCAAAGTCCCCAGCTGTCGAATAAAACAAGAAAGCTTAGCTATGATTTGAGCAGATAGTGAAATGAGAAGCAAAATGGAAGACAACTGGTTTCCCTTAGAAAGGTTGAGGCAATGGCTTGCCAGTCTTTGATGCCATGTGGCATCTCACTAGAGGAAGAGATACTGCTGAGAGCAAAGGTGTCAGCTATAAGCCTGAAATCAACCTGAGTGTTACAGTTAACTGAACTGTACACTATTTGCCTCAGTTTAGAACTGTGAGAATATAAACTTCCTTGTTGTGTTCACACTAGAAAGCCCATGTAGTCAAGGCCCAGTGCGTATCTTCATCTGCAGCCAGACACCTCTGCAAAGCTCAAACCCAGGACATTGATGCCATGACCTCCATTGATCAGATGCTGAGGAAGGGTTACTGTATCTGTACATGGAGGCTTCAATTTTTAGCTATTATCCTCCTACTTGATATTTCTTGTTGCTGTTTGTTTCATAAGTTAATCATATATTGGACAATGCAAAAATTGACCATTTTTTTTTTACATGGCAGCTCTAAGATGAGGAACTTATTGCCTTCAGATTATTGTGGGACTCTTAACTCCCATCAGCTCTAGCCAGCATGGCCAGGGATGAAGGGAATTAGAGTTCAACAGGATCTGGAGCAGCATAGGTTTCTCATCCTTGTCCTAACAAAGCAGCATGCCAAGACATTGGTTTTCAGGAAATTCCTTGAGCTTACTCAGAATTGAATGATACTTGAACATAGATTCTGCCTTCCCTGGCTACCAGCAAGTCCAGCACCTTTAGTCAGTGTAAGTTGTTTTAAACTGTTTTTAATATTGTGTCTTAGTTGCTGTAACCCCCTGTGGGATACTGGGATATTGTGACTGGGATAGCAATAGCAATAATAATAATCCTCTCATCAAGACTTATATTCTCACTCTGCTGAAATGTACCCAAGAAGTTAGCATGAAGTTCTAAGTAATAATGCAACATCATCTCAGAAAACCAATTACCTGGGGCAAGCCCCTTTTCTTAGCCCTCGCAGAGACTTTATTTGGATCAGCTTGCAGCATCCTCCCATATTCTTCACAGTGCTCTTTATCCTCAGCCCAGGCATAGCCTTCTCGGAGGGACCAATCTACCCCCATCTCCAGAGCCTCCTCTAAATCCCTGGGCAACACAGAGAGATTGACTTCTAGTAATTGACACAACTGATTGCTATTGTTGTACTGATTACATAAGAAAAACAATCCTGAACTTTTGTAGATATCCAGATTTTTTTTGTTGCTCTCAGTTAAATCATTTCAGACTGCTGATTGTGGACTCTTACTGTGTATTTTCGCTACATACATTGCGATTTTGGTTAAGGGGTGCTATTTTTTTTTTTAAAAAAACAATTAAAAAAATACAGGACTGAATTAACAATGACACATGGCTCTTTATTTCCTTTTTTTTTTTTTATAAGATATTTATTGGTTTTACAAGAAAAAATTCCAAAAAATACAGAATTACAAAAATTCAACAAACAAAGAACAACAATAACCATGACAGAAAACAAACAGAAATGACAATATCCATAACAAGAAAGGAAAAAAAAAAAGAAAACAAAGAAAAAGAAGCAGAAAAATTTAAAAGATATTTATACTTTCATTTAGCCTTCTTATCTTTACCTAGTTCTTTGACTTCCCCGCATCTCCCCGCTTGCACTTCCATTTAAAAACTCCTTTCAGCAAATCCTTACCCTCCTTTCATTATCTTAACTCAAAAACTTAATCTATTTATATATAAATATTTTTACAACCTTATCCATCAAATATTCCATACTCTTAATCACAAAGCTTTTGCCAATACCAGTTATTTTCAATCAGACTTCAATTTAACATTCATTAATTTTATAGTATTTCTGTAGATAGACTTTAAATTTCTTCCAATCTTCTTCCACCGACTCTTCTCCCTGGTCACGGATTCTGCCAGTCATCTCCGCCAGTTCCATATATTCGATTACCTTCATCTGCCATTCTTCCAGAGTGGGTAAATCTTGTGTCTTCCAATACTTTGCGATGAGTATTCTTGCTGCTGCTGTTGCATACATAAAAAAGTTCTGTCTTTCTTTAGCACCAATTGGCCAACAATGCCCAAGAGAAAGGCTTCTGGTTTCTTTAGAAAGGTATACTTAAATACCTTTTTTAACTCATTATATATCCTTTCCCAGAAGGCCTTAATCTTTGGGCACGTCCACCAAATGTGAAAGAATGTACCTTCAGTTTCCTTACATTTCCAACATTTATTATCGGGCAAATGGTAGATTTTTGCAAGCTTGACTGGAGTCATGTACCACCTGTACACCATTTTCATAATATTCTCTTTTAAAGCATTACATGCTGTGAACTTCATACCTGTGGTCCATAACCGTTCCCAGTCAGCAAACATAATATTATGTCCAATATCCTGTGCCCATTTAATCATAGCAGATTTTACCGTTTCATCCTGAGTATTCCATTTTAGCAGCAAGTTATACATTCTTGAAAGTGTTTTAGTTTTGGAATCTAGCAATTCTGTTTCCAACTTTGATTTTTCCACCTGGAAGCCAATTTTTCTATCCAAATTATAGACCTCTCTTATTTGGTAATAATGCAACCAGTCTCGCACTCTATCTTTTAATTTTTCAAAACTCTGCAGTTTGAATTTGTCTCCTTCTTGTTCCAAGATCTCCCAATATTTTGGCCATTTGGCCTCCATATTGGACTTTTTAGGGCCTTTGCCTCCATTGGTGATAGCCACCTTGGGGTTTTATTCTCCAATAAGTCTTTGTATCTTATCCAGACATTGAACAATGCTTTCCTGACAATATGGTTTTTAAACATTTTGTGAGCTTTAACCTTGTCATACCACAGATATGCATGCCACCCAAACACATTATTGAAACCTTCTAAGTCCAATACATCAGTATTTTCCAGAAGTAGCCAATCCTTCAACCAGCAGAAAGCTGCTGATTCATAATAAAGTTTAAAGTCTGGCAGGGCAAATCCCCTCTTTCTTTAGCATCAGTCAATATTTTAAATTTTATCCTAGGCCTCTTGCCCTGCCAGACAAACTTAGAAATATCTCTCTGCCACTTCTTAAAACAGTCCATTTTGTCTATTATTTGTATCGATTGAAACAAAAACAACATTCTTGGCAATACATTCATCTTGATGACAGCAATTCGCCCTAACAAGGAAAGCTTCAAATTTGTCCATATTTCTAAATCCTTTTTAATGTCCGACCAACATTTTTCATAATTGTCTTTAAATAAATTCCCGTTTTTAGCTGTCATATGAATCCCCAGATATTTCACTTTTTTTACCACTGTTAAACCTGTCTCATTCTGAAACCTCTCTTTTTCAATCGGTGTTAAATTCTTCTCAAGTACTTTAGTTTTAAGCTTATTCAACTTAAAACCTGCCACCTGACCAAACTCTTGAATCAGTTCTAATGCTCTTTTCGTACTAGATTCTGGCTCCTGTAATGTCAATACAAGGTCATCTGCAAATGCTTTCAATTTATATTGTTTCGCTCCGACCGTTATGCCCTTAATCAGATGGTCCCTTCTTATCATATTTAACAAAACCTCCAGAACAGAAATAAAAAGTAATGGGGAAATTGGGCAGCCTTGTCGTGTCCCTTTCTCTATCTTAATTTCCTCTGTTATCACATTATTAACTATTAATTTAGCTTTTTGTTCTGAGTAAATTGCATTTATACCATTTTCAAACTCTTGGCCTACCCCCATCCCCTGAAGATTTTTTTCATAAAACTCCAAGAAATATTGTCAAAGGCTTTCTCTGCATCCACAAAAATCAAAACTGCTTTAGTATTGATCTCCTCTTGCAGCTTCTCCAGAATATCAATTATGTTCCTTGTGTTGTCCGAGAGATGTCTATCTGGAAGAAAGCCAGCTTGGTCCTTGTGAATCACTCCTTTTAGCACTTTTTAAAGCCTTTTTGCTAAAATGTCAGCAAAAATTTTGTAATCCACATTTAACAGGGATATGGGCCGGTAGTTCTTAAGCTGTGTCTTTTCAGTCTCGGCCTTTGGTATAAGTGTAATAAATGCGTCTTTCCACGACTCTGGCGCTCTTTTCCCCTCTAAGATTTCATTACAAACCTCAGTTAAAGGTCGAATTAACCAGTCTTTCAAAGTTCTGTAATATTTTGAGGTTAAACCATCCGGTCCTGGAGATTTTCCCAACTGCATATTCTGAATGGCACCTTCAACCTCCTGTTCTGTGATTTTATAGTTCAACAATATCTTGTTGTCCTGAGAAATTTTTTGTAATCCATTGGTTTTCAAAAATTGCTCTATCTCGAATTCTTTCTGAGGCCCTTGTGTGTATAGTCGTTTAAAATATCTCTGGAAGCATTTCCTAATTTCTTCTGGATTCTGGATATTTTTCCCTTCCACTTCCAAATTAGTAATAGTATTAAGTTTTTGTCGCTTCTTCAACTGCCAGGCCAGCAGTTTCCCACATTTATTTGCCGATTCAAAAGTCTTTTGTCTCATTTGCTTAATTTTCCATTCCACTTCTTGATTTATCAATTTCATATATTGCACTTGGTACAATTTTATTTCCCTCAGAATCTCTTGTGAATTGGGCTTCACTCTCAATTTCTTCTCGCCCTCCTTTATTTTTTCCAAAATTTTTTCTTTCTTTACGTTTTGGGCCTTCTTCTTAATTGAATTCTGTTGAATCAGGAAGCCCCTCATAACAGCTTTGCTTGCATCCCAGATTACTCTTTTTCTACAGTTGTATTCAAGTTTATCTCAAAATAGTCCCTCAATGTCTTTTGGGCCTTCTTAATCACCTCTTGATCTCTAAACAAGGTGTCATTCATCCTCCATCGGAAGGAACCAATAGGTGTTAACTTCATCTCCATTCTCACGGCGTTATGGTCGGAGCATGTTTTTGGGCAGATCTCTACCTTCTTAACCTTGGGTGCCAGTCCTCTAGTAGTCCAGATTTGGTCAATTCTTGTCCATGTCTTCTGGGCTTCAGAAAAAAAGGTTCCTTCTCTATCAAGGGGGTTCTTAGTTCTCCAAATGTCAATCAAATCCATATTGTCAGTTAGTTCAAAAATGTTTTCGGTAGTCTACCATCTTTAGTAACTACCTCTCTTTGTGACTTGTCCATATTTGTAGAAACCACCCCATTCATATCTCCCATGAAAACAGTATTATAGTCCATATAGTCCATCAAGGTCTCATGCAACTTTTTGTAGAATATAGATTTCCCCTCATTTGGTGCATATACACCTACTATCAAAAATTTTTCTCCTTGTACTTGAATTTCAATTGCTATGAATCTTCCTTGTTCATCCTTAAAGACAAATTTTGGTGAGAGGCTCTCCTTTGCGTAAATTACCACTCCTCGTTTTTTAACTTTGTCTGATGAGATAAATTCTTGGCCCAGTCTCTTATTGATCAATATTTTCCTATGGAGCCTCGTCACATGGGTTTCCTGTAAGCAAATTAAGTCCAATTGTTCTTTTTTAAGTATATGAAATACTTTCCTTCTTTTTCCGGAGAATTCAGACCACAAACATTCCAAGTTAAAAGTTGCAGAGCCATGATGATTTCTTTATTTCCCTCCAACTGCTCCCAATAACTCTTCTTCCTCTGTTGGTGGTTTCGGCTTCTCTGTCTTATCCTCTCCCAACGGTGGTAATGTAAGATCCAATCCTGTTAAAGGGGCTTCTGGCTCCAATCCTTTTTGTAGGTCCTCTTGGTAGTCTCTCAAAAGTTCTGTTTCTCCTCCACAGATTTAATTTTAATTTTTTGCCTCTAAAACTGAAAGATAGGCCTTGAGGGAACTCCCACCTGAAAAAATTCTGTTTCCTCTCAGCAACGTCACCAGGTCTCGATAGTTAGACCTAAGCTCCAAAAGAAGCTTTGGAATGTCTTTAAATATTTCTATCCTTGAGTCTTGTATTGTCAGTGTATTTTGATAATGTAGGCTCAAAATTTTATCTCGTTCCTCTTTTGATCGCAGGGTAATCAGGCAGTCTCTCACTCTATTTTTCCTTGCTCTTCTTCCGAGCCTAAAAGCAGACGTTATCTTGAAATCTTCCTTATCATTCAATTGCCAAAAGTTGGCAAATTCTTGCGTCAGAAAGTCTGCCAGGCTCTCTTTTTCAATCTCAGGTACTGCTCTGATCCTTAAGTTGGTCTGTTTCTCCTTTAACTCAAGAAGAGATAACAATTCCTGGTGCGTTCCCAATCTTATGTGGTGCTCTTGAACTTGTTTAATTAAAGGTGGTAGTTTTTCTTCAGCAGCTACCGCCTTTTCTCTGGCTTCCAAAGCTGTTTTTGGGTTTCAGCAGATTGTTCCAGTAGTTTTTAATCACATCTGTATTTTCATTAGTCTGTCGGGTCAACTTGTCAATACTTGCAGAGTTTTGTCTAATGGCTTCTAGAGCCTCGGCATTTTGTTGACCCAATTTTTCAAAACCTTCATTCACAATTTTAAATAAACTGGCCAATCCTTCTTCCTCCCCTTGTGGTCCAGCGATGGATTGCCTACGCTGTTGCTGTTGTGCAATGTTGCTCTGCTGCCTGCCTTTCCCAGACCTCAGATCTCTTCCTTCCATGGCACTTTATCTAAAAGTCAAGGTCACTCTCACAGTCAAAATTGTTTTGTTATTGTACTTTCCCAGGCTGCTGTTAGGTGGAAAATTCCTCAGTCAATTAAAGACTTTTTCCCTTTTGGCCTCCAGGGGACACAAGTAATAAAGTATCAAGAATAAAGACTCTCAAACAGCCAAAGAGGCAACTTTTTCCCAAAGTTGTAAAACTGTCCCAAAGTTTCAATTTTGTAAAGTTAAAAGGCAAAAAGATACATTGTCCATTTAGAGTGCTAACAAAGTGTCCAATCTTTCCAAAACCTGGCAGTCTGTCCCCAGGGATTGAGAGGTGGTCTTTTATTTTCTTATTTGCTCTTTAAATTACTCAAAAATAACAGGAAATAACAAGAAATACTATCTCTTCTTCCCCCCCTAGTCCAATTATGGGGGGGGAAATTTTACATTAGACGTCTGTGTTTCAGTCTCTTTTGGCATTCATTGGTATCGAACTCACACAGTCTTTGCTTTATTCTCTGTGCAAACCGGGAGGTGGACTTCCTTTTTGCACCATTCCCGCTTCAGCCGAATAAGTTCAAAAATTTTTGTTAATCCTTATAGCGTGAAACCTACTCACGGGTTGTACTTTTGACAGCCGAATTGTCAAGGAAGAAAGGTCAGCGCTCTCCAGCAACAGCTGCACGGCTTCACTCCGCGAAAGTAGCAGACGACTCACAGTGCCGCGCTACCCCCGTCCTGCTTCGGAGCCCCTCGCGGGGTTCCTTTGCCGTTTAGGGCGCGCTCCAGGCACCCGCCGAGTCCCACGACCGCAGGCTTCCTCCGCCTGCGGGTTTCGGAAGGGTCTCCGCTGCGCCGTAGCGGATCGACCCAGTTTCCGCGGAGCCTCTCCTCAAGAGTTATGAGGAGATCGCCATTACTGTTGGCGCCGCCTCCGGAAGTCTCATGGCTCTTTATTTCCTACTACAACATGGCTAGATACCTTACTGTTAAGGTACAGTTAGGGCTTATTAAATTTATACATTGCTTCCCACACAAAAAGACAAGGGTGGAGGGAAGACACCCTTCCAGTAAGGAGATGCTGCTGGAGAAAGGATAGTTAACACTTACTTGGCGTTCATAGGAATGACACCCTTTGACCCCACACCAACAGGAATGTGGTCAAACATGGCCTGAGCAAGCTGCTCCTTCACAGGTTGGACATCACTCTCATCAAGATTGGTGCGCAAGAGCCGTACGCCACAGTTAATGTCGAATCCGACACCACCTGCATGAGTAAAATAAATACAAATGCACCCTTCAAAATTCATACATACAATTGCAGAACTGACTCATTACCACAATCAAATGTTCTTCAAGAGAAGTTATAGTTAAATATTTTTCAGCAAATGTCCCCTGACGTGGGACAAGTAAAAACATCAACCCCTCAATTTTGTTAGTCAGAAGGAACACAACTTATCTGCACTGGTTTGGAAGGCACAAATTACAAAAAGATAGCACTTCATGGAACTTCTGCTCAAGGAGCCTGAATATGCAGAATTCATAAGGGTTATTTTATTATTAAAAACAAATATACCCTTCTTACTCCAAAACAAGCATTCTTAAATTGTATTTGTTTTAAGTTTGCTTCAGGGTTGATGACTTAATTGCTACATTACATTACAGTTAATAGTGTCCTAGGCTTGGATTTCAGAGAGTCCAGTGAGACAATAACTGTAGGTTAATTGACAATTTACATATTCATCTGCAATGTACCTCCATCTGAATGAGTACAGTGGTACCCTCCGGTTGTGGACGGGATCTGTTCTGGAGCTCCCATCGGATCCCGAGGTTTCCGCAACCGGAGGGACCGCTTCTGCATGCGCATGCGGCAATAGACCGCTTCTGCGAATGCGTGACTTACGTATGCTGCTTACGTATCCCGAAGTTTACGTAAGTGGAAGGATACGTAAGCAGAGGTACGACTGTACTGTGAAACACATTTTGTTTTCCCATCTGGCTTCAATACATTGCACAGATCTGCAGAATAAGGGTTCTCTCCCTGCACAGAGAACATCACATTCAAACTGCTCATACCTGGTGATACCACTGCTTCTGGGTCATTCATATCAAAGGCAGCCATGTTACCAATGGCAAACCCATAGCCTGAGTGGACATCTGGAAGTCCTATAGATCTCTGAAATTCATTTTAAAAATCAACAAAAGAAAGGCAATCAGTCATGTGAACAAATGAGGATTCTATAACTGCATGGACTCAACTTCTACTTGCCCTGCCACACAGTCACTGCAAAATGGGCATTTCTTTAAAAAAATCCTTTGATCCTAGCCAAAAACTCAGCAGATTCATGAAGGGCAGCTCACAAATGTAGAAATTGGCCAGAATAAGTTGCATGTAGGCCCCCTTCAAAAGTAAGTGGTGAATGTAAACAACTGTCATCTTGCCTGGGGTTGCTGGTGTTTAAATGTCAGGAAATTGTTGTGATGGGTCAATTTAATGAAGGCTGAATGCTACAAATACTGACAATGCATATGGGGCTTCTATTTTGAAACAATGGGTCAACAGGATATAAGAACAACTCTTTAAAATCACTCACATGAACAATGCCAGGCAGTGCAGCTACATTTCCGATTTGTTTCATGGCTGGGAGGAAGCCACCAGCTCCTAAAAAAGATGGATGATGAGAAGCACAATCATCCTCCTTTCTTGCAAATTTGTGGTTGATGACATCACACCATTACATCGACTTTCCTTTAAATTTGCATGACCATGTTACACAGGTGAAAACTTCACTGTGAAGCACATCTACTTAGAGGTGGCATAAGACAAGCTGTGACCAAGAACACAGATGTTTCAAAGCCAAGATTAAGGGGTATTTGGTTTCATTTCAGTGCAGTTAAGATGCCTTTTGACAGACCAGAAAGTACTAGCTTAAATTAAGCAAGCAAAATTATGCAGCATGTTCTACTTCTAAATGAAGCCTAAGTCTTAAAATAAGTTGTGTTTCACCATAGTTTGACAAGTGGCAGATTAATTATAGAGGGAACATTTTCATGAAGGCTTATAATATTTTTCATCAATTAAGAATCACTCTATGGTGCCTGAACATATAGGCAGTCCTAAACTCTAAATGCATTGGTTGAATCTATGTGAATTCTGGATTCATCAAAAGTGAATCTGGACCTGGCATTCCACACACAACAAACCAGTGAGATTGGGTGACAACAACACATACTAACCTCCACCTCTGCATGAATTTCTTAACTCTTCAAACATTAACTTCTCTAAAGGATCATTCACGTAGAAGACACCTTCCACCTACAGACGGAAGAATGAGGAAAAAGGGAAACAAAATGCATCAGTTCTTACATAAGGCCAGTGACAAAGATTTACCATTCAAGCAGAAGCTGGAATGTAGCTGCATCTAAGCAGGCTACAAGGCTTAGCCACAATTAGGGAAACTTTAGACACTTCTAGTAAAGGTTTAGATGGACTAAAACTTGGAATATAATAAGCTTGGCTGAATACTTGTTACAGAAGCTGTTGAGTTTCAGTAAGAATTTCACATATCTTGAATCATGGAACAAAATGTATCTTCTGACCCATGAATGACACCAATGCTGTAGTTAGCAATCTTCAGTTAGAGATCAAAAGTGAGAACTTCCTTGAGCAGTCCTAGAGACTCTCATCTAGTTGTGACAAAATGAGAGGTAGCTTCTCAGAAGTACCTGAAGCCCTAAACATTTCTAAAATACAGTTTCCTTCTTATGGGGCAATCTGGGAAAGTCTGTATCTTAGCTCTAGGCCACAGAAGCAACCCAGACAACGGCAAGAATACAGCAACACCCAGCAGTGATGGAAACCTGCTTCAGGAGGCATTTTTTAAAAAAAGATTTTATCATGCATATAAAATTTTACTTTAAAGCAGTTTTAAAACCGGTTGAATACCACATTCAACTCACTAGAGAAAGGTTTCAGCAGTGTCAGACTTATGCTTTAACGCTCTACATGCATAAGTAGCGCAATCATAATGCTACAGTACTAATAATCCGAATGTGGCATAAACTAACTTCAAACCGGGATTTGACACTAAATGTACTGAAGGATGATGTACGTCAGAAGGCATCCCCGCCCAACCAGGTACGGAAAGCAGTTGGCAATGCGGTGCTTAAATCTTGAGGCAGCGGCACTCTGCACATGCGTAGGGGAAGTCTTAATTACTTCATTTAAGCAATAAAAGCGAGCCGGGGGGGGGGGGCTAAGCACCGGCTCAGACTGAACACGCCCCTACGTGCCTGTCCACACACCCCCGTCCTCCGACCCACTCACGTTCATGTTGGGCACGAAGCCCTTCTTGATACGCCAGCAGTGCTTGTCCAGCTTGTCCAGGTACTGCAGCTCATCGTTGTAGCTTCGGCTCATGGCGGCGGCGATTCCGATCAAGCTCCGCTCTCTGCCGTGGCTCCGTGTCACTGAATTCTGCCAACAGCGCGCACACGCTCCTCTTCAGCGCCGCTACGGAAGCCGAGGAGGCCGCGCGCAGCCTCCGTAAGGCAGAAGCTGAGGAGGACGAAAGGATTGGACGGCGCCCGCAGAGGAACAAACTTCGTTCGCATTTCGCGAACCAACCAGTGGCTTTCTTCTTTTTTTTCCCTACCTCCTTTGCAGCGCCGGCTAGTGTCCAAAACGGGACAGCGCGTTGAATTAAGCTGGTTGTGGAAGGGACTGCGCTTGGTGTGGGTCAAATATCAAAAGGGAAGAAAATCAGAGCAGCCGAGGGTCTTCTTGCGCCGCTTTAAGGCTGCAGTTCTTAACGCTGCTTTCCTGGTGAGTAAGCCCCACTGGATTCAGCAGGGCTTGCTTCTGAGTAGACATGGTTAGGGCTGCGCTGTAGCACATTTTTTTAAGGCATGAGATGTTTACTGCAAAAGATGGATGGACAAAACCTTTGGAACCTCTCTGGTGCTTTATTGTGGGTATATTCTGCAACATATTCTTGACACAACTGTAGTATGTTAGTGGTACGTTTCTTCTGCTTAGTAGTTATGCAGGGTGGATTTGATTTAAATCAAATCAATTTAAATCACGATTTAAATCACTAGTCAGTAAGACTTGGTTTAAATCATTTTATTTTTATACAGAAAAAAAATTCTTGCTGGTATAATAATATTTACAATCTGATGAAGGAATAATAAATTTTCAGAGTAGTTTTTACAGTTATATCAAAAATTGCTGATTTGGTTATACTATTATAATTACAAATTATAAAACTATGAAATTATTGTGAAGTTTAATAAGTTAACTGTTTATATTTGGACAACTTTTCCGCTATACTTTACTGGAAGGAGAAAAATAATCATTAGTAACAATTTAAACAATTTATTTAACTAAAACAATTAATATTATAGCATACGTATCCATGTTTGTTAACTGATGTGGTTGAACGATTTTTTTTAAAAAAACCTTTGTGTTTTAGCATACAGAAAAAACTTAAAACAAATCCTTATTTCCTGATGAATAGCCATTGGACTATAATGCAATTTAAATAGAAAACTATCTTTAGAAAGATTTTTCCTCCAAAAGCATTTTATTTTTAAAATCCGATTTAAATTTAAAAGATTCTGATTTTTTGATTTTAAAAAAAAATCATTGATTTTTATCCACCCTGTAGTTTTGTGATCCTTCTCCAATGCTCCCCCATTATTGCTGTCCAGAAGGACTATAATGCCCAACATGGAAGACATAGCCTTTATGGATCAAAGTATTATGCAGGCATGAAGTTTTGAATACTAAGATAACCCTACTTTTTCAATAACTATAATGCTAAAGTGGGATTATGGGGGGGGGGAGCTCCATGGGCATTAAAGGCAGGTTCCAAGAGATTAGGACAAGTGTCCCATTACAAACAACACCTGGTGATGCTTCAGAGAACCCACAACTTGACTAATATCTTTTAACAGGCTCTTATTACTTTGAATACCTAATCATTTAGGTCTTAACACAGTCCCTGCAGAGGGCATTAAGAAACACATTTGTATAATTTTTAAATTTGTTTTTATTCTGAAAAAGTACAATACAAAATTGCATATAAAATTGTGTGTAAAAGATCAATACGTAACAGTATACTGACATTCTAAGAAACCTCTCTCTCATTCCTTCAATTACTCAGTAATGAATGTAATATCTACAGCATCATTGAATCAATTCCCAATTCACTCTTGATGTAATGCACAACTGTGTTCAAACTATTTAATATATGATGTAATATAATTTTCATGATTTTTAAAACTTCCCTGTAAAGTGAATAGTTATTAGGTGTTCCCACAAAATCCCAAAAAACTAAACTTTACCATGTTTCCAAGTTTCTTTCAAACATTCAGTTAATGTAATTCTGGCCATTGTAAATATATGTAACACCTGTTTCTGGCATGCCCATGGAAAACATTGTTTAATATAGTTCAGTAGACAAATGAAGACAAACTAGTGTGGTATCTGTTTGTAAAAGATAGTGCCAATTACCATACACCATAAGCTTACTACAATATTTTGGGACATTCTCACCACATAATAGAAATGTCCTTTAGCCTTCTTACAAAATGCAATGTCTACCATCCCTTTTTACCTACTATGCTATTCTTCCATAATATCCAGTGCCACTATGTGGCCATCTTTAGTGTTTTCTTTACAGTTCATTGCAACTGAAAGGGATGGTCGTCTGCTGAGTACCTGTATTGCAACTTTCTGAACTCCCTAAGAAGTGTGCATTGAGTTACATGCAGAAGGGAATAGCCTACTACGAGGCTTCCCTTGCAACACTGTTCTTGGTTATATATAGGAATCAGAAAACAGTCCTGGCTTCCTACATCCAGACTGGGGCTGCTGCCATCTTCCAGCAGTGCAGTTAGGAAGGCTCCCACCATCTGCTTTGCATGCAGAAGGTTCAATGACTGACATCTCCAGGCTGGGCTGGGAATGTCCTCTGTCTGACACCCTGGAGAGCCTCTGACAGTACTGAGCTAGATGAGCCAAGTATATGGCAACTTCCTATGTTCCTTGTCTGCATTCCTTTCTGAATGTTTTTTGCTGGCCCATTAACAGATATTACTTCACCTATTCAATGTCTTTCAAAGGCACTTTTACACACACACACACACACACACACACACACACACGAGACCACACAGAATGTTTTCAATCATTATTCACTTTCTTGTTACATCTTCCCTCTTGAAACAGAACAGAAGAAATTTTGAGGTTTCATGCATCTATAACGAAAAAGCCTTCGGAATCTGCTTGGTCCCCTTCTTCATCATACTCTAGGTCGGTGGAAATCAGCAAATAGCCCTGAGAAGATATACAAACATTTATTTGAAGTTGCCACAAGCTGCAGCTTGCTAATGGCTTGGCCATGGCTAATACACCTTCAGAGGCATTGTGAACTGAATGTTAGACATACATTGTCATTTAACAGAAAGAGAGTAAGTACTGCTGATGCACAACTGGCATGGATGTCAATAAAGTGGAAGGCTGTTGCACAGCAGCTGTGCTTTGTAGATTGCTCTGAGAGGGAGAAAATATATTAAAAAGCCAGTTGAGTCAAACAGATCCGTTGGGGTGGTGGATGTTTCCCTTCCATCTACTGCTTGCAGTCACTTCCCTCTTTGCTAAGCCTTCCCTAACTTGTATGGTCCAAGTGAAGCCTGGAAGTTTGCAGGCTTCGAAAAAGACTTCTATTAAACACACAAAGGTCTATAATCCATGTTTACTTTAGCTGGGGTTACTGGTTGCTCAGAAAGTATTCTAGGGTTCTTGTGAAGATACCGTCATGAATAAACTAAGAAATTCTCTTTAGGTTATGTGATGATCAGAGAAACAATGTAAAACAGAGCTAATCAACTAACGAGAGTGGAGAAGTCAAGATGTAAATATGGTGGTCATCAGAAACTGTTGATCAGGCTTTTTGCTAACAATACACTGCTTATTTGGTAATTATTGTTTTTAGTGTGTATTGCTTGTTTCCTTACAGTTCATATGGATTTTAAAATACGAATTATGAACATTGGCTTGTTTACACCAGGATACCAACAAATACAAAAACACAGGAAAGTGTTTGTCTTTCTTCCACAATGAGTCACTTTGAAAAATGCTGGCCAACCTTTCTCTGAATTGCAAAGAGTTCGTCGAAATGCTTGTCTCTATGTACAACCTTTTTTCCCTTTTATTTAAAGGGACTCTCTTCAGCCTGTGAGTCAGGCAGCCTGAAGACCCTAGGATGATTTAATCCGGCCCCTGTGGCAGTATACAACTTTGGTCAGCCCTCAGTTCATCAAATTGGCCCTCTTTGAAAAAACTTTGGGCACCCCTGCCCTAGGATGTGAGAACACGGCAACATTCTGATGACAAGTCCCACCAGGATTCAGAACTTGCATCACATCACCCTAAACAACTCTCTCTCGGCACACAGGACAGACAGGTGTGGGCACTGCAGAATTTCACCTGGTGAACTGTGACAACAGGTTCCACAAGCATCATGCTGTCCATTTTAGAGAGAGGAAGTCCTTCCTTCAGTTTACCTTAATAAAAGAGAGAAGAGATTCTAAGCACTATTGTTTTTTAACAGCAGGCCCTGCAGTTATGATTGCAGTAATACTTTATTATTATTACCATTAGCCTTATACCCCATCCTGCGTCCACGGAGCTAAAGGTGGCATAACGTGGTTCTCCTCCATTGATTTTATCCTCACAACAACCCTGTGAGGTAGGTTAGGCTGAGAGAAAAATACTGACCCAAGGGTATTCAGTGAGCTTCATGGCTAAGTAGGGATTTGAACACTGGTTCCCCAAGTCCTAGTCCAACACTCTAACCATGCTGGCTACACAGTTTAATCCATTGCTTTCATTTAAAATCTGATCACAAGTCATATATTACTGCTGAAGAAAGGGCATTTTAAAACATCTTTATTTTATTTTGGGGTTCTTTATCTTGCTGGGAAGCAGAGCAGTACCGTTATCCTGATTTTACACTTTATATGCCCAGTACAATTTTGTTATTCTGTAAATGCTGTATAAACCATAAATGGTTGTTAGAAATGCAATACAGACAAGAACTGCAGGAGTTATCTCTTGTCACGTAACTACATACTCATCAGAATATTACAGTATTAACTGTACAAAGAGTCTCCAGAGCCAATGCCTCCAGTCATTAACCAGTGATAACTTTATTGCCTTACTCTGAAAGGAAATATACACCAGATCCATTGAAGGAAAGGAAAGAAAGAATAAGCACTCCTTTATCAGCAGTTGTATGTGGACATGTTCACATGGTCTTGTAAATCCAAATTACCAGTAGTTGACAGTATGTACTGGGTCTTCTGACAAGACAACCAGATTGACATTCTAGTGCAAAGCATCAAGCATCTTATAATCTTATTGGAGCAGTATGTTCCTTAAAGTATTTGCCATAAAGAATGTGATACCAATCACGACACGTCACGCCAGGTGACGAAAATACAAGCTCTATCGCTACTACTTCTCATTCTCCAAAAAAGATTTTCTGTAATTTCCAGAAACTAGGACCATTAAGTAACAGTGGTGATGGGGAAACAATCCAAACACAACACTTACCATTGGCTGCTGGTATTACTCCATTCCGTAAAATGTAAGACATGAAGTTCTTCAAAAGCGAAACCTGCCATGTGAGAGAATTTGGATTTAGTGGCACAGGCTGCCTCTACACTTGAGATTTATTGTGGATTTCTCACACTTTTGTCCTCTGTTTTTTGTGAAGCATCTGCTTGACATCATGAGCAAAACACCCTCTTTCCATGTTTCTCCTGTTCAGTTTCTGTTATTTTCTCCCAGTCTCTCAAAATTTGACATTTTAACACAACAAAGCAGCTGCACTGCCTAGAGATGACTGATTCAGTGGTATACAAATTGTTGAAATAATAATAATAATAATTCATCAGGCGGAGATGATTTATCTCACAGCTGTTCTGGCAGATATAGGCCAGTAAAGACCTATATAGATTGTGCTCCAGATATTTCATTTTCTTTGGTCTCTCTCTCTCGTAACCAGCGCTATTGCCTTCCCATTCCAAATTGCATTGCCTTCCTATCAATTATCTTGCCCCTCTCCTCCAAAATTGCAGGCAGCAAGGAAAAGGGGGAATTCTTAACAGCAGTTCAGTTGGGGGGGGCACATTTAACCCTTTCTCCACACACAATAGTTCCAAGGACAGTTGATTTGCTTTCAAAAAATGCAATGATTAGGTGCTGCTATGAACATTCTGTATCTCTGAAGCACCTTCTTTTCCTCAGAGAACTCTGGACACCGTAGTTAGCCCCTCACAGAGTTAAAATTCCCAGTAACCCTCAATAAACTACAGCAACCAGAATTCTCTGAAGGACATAATGTGCTTTGAATGTGCTTTAAAGGTATAGTGTGTACTCAGCCTGAATCATCCATATTTGGAAGCACCCAGAGTAAGAACAAAGAAAATGTTATGTCAGTTCCAGTTAGAGAACCGCTAAGAGATAATTTTACAAGGCCCACTCTTGCTTTTCTTATTGATGCAGTGGTTAAGAACTTAATTCGTTCCAGAGGTCCGTTCTTAGCCTGACACTGTTCTTAACTTGAGGTACCACTTTAGCTAATGGGGCCTCCTGCTGCCTCCGCGCGATTTCTGTTCTCATCCTGAGGTAAAGTTCTTAACCCCAGGTACTATTTCTGGGTTAGCAGAGTCTGTAACCTGAAGCGTCTGTAACCTGAAGCATCTGTAACCCGAGGTACCACTGTATTGTATTATGATGGCTGTGGGCCACCCCCTAGGAAGTTTTGTAGACTGAAGGCAGCATCTAGATGTAAGAAAGAGAGAGAGGGACTGGTTCCTATGTTGTGATTTTAAGTCATTTCTGATGGGGATCTAATCATTAGCGCATAAGCACTGCATGACATGTTATGCTCACTGTGCGCCTCCTGCTTTCAAAATCATGCCATCATTCACCACACAGATCAGACCATTTTATTTGTGCTATTGCAGGTCTTGAGTGCAGTGAATTTTGGCAAAGACAGAAAAACACAGTCAGTCTCCACAGCAAACAGCAGCTGCACACCAACAGCTCAGCCCATGGTTATGGCCGCTCCGTGGAACCATTTAAAAGCAGGAGATTTGTGATCGTGTCTCCTGACACTTCTTTTGCTTTGTCGAAAGCAGCTCTGGAACTGGTTCTGGAGGGGAGGGCTATTTTACCCTTTCCCTCTGTGCTGTTTTCCTGAACTAAATCGCATATATCCCACACAATGAGGCTATTTACCCCTTTGGGGAAAGCCTGTTTTCTCCAGAAGGACAACCATGGCTTCAGAAAAGAGGTTAGATCAGAAAAATGGCAAGGACAATTCAGCTCTATCTACAAGCTGCATCTGATTTGTTCTCTTTAACTCCCCGCCCTCTTTATACCTTGAAGAAGCCAACATTGGAGTGGGTCAAGGATAGGTGGAAACTGTGAAAGGAAAGGAAATATTGGAAAAAAACATTACTTATTTGTACATATATACCCCACTTACAAGCAGCTCAAGATGGCATACTTAGATCTGCCCCTCCTCTTTTTCCCCCTCACAGCAACCCTGTGAGGTAGGTTAGGCTGAAAGGCTGACTGGTCCAATTCCCAAAGTTCCCTTGGAAGAAGGAATAATTGTTAAACCACTCTAGGAATTGTAGTTTTGTGAGGGGAATAGGGGTCACCTAACAAATCTCAGCACCCTTAACAAACTACAGATCCCAGGATTTTTGGGAGGAACCATGTGATCAAGATGGATTACTCAAACAAGCACAGATATAGCTAATTGACAATAATTTAGATGCTGTTGGACTCCAGCTCCCATCAGCCATAACCAGCATAGCCAATGGTCAGGGATGATGGGAGTAATAGTCCAGCAACATCTTCTTTTTACCTGTAATAGAGCCATGCCAACATATTAGCTGGAAGATTATTTATTTTTACATAATTGCTTTTTTAAAAATTACCATTCAAACAACCATTTAAATTTTGTTACCTGTCCAGACATAGAGAAGGTATCAGTTTCTGTTCAAATATATTCAGGCTGGCATGGGTTTTGGCAGTCTGTGTGAAAGAAATATCTCTGTTTACCACCTAGAGTATTCCTGTTGTATAGACAGGTAAAAATGCAAGGCCTTTTTGAAAGGTAAAAGGGGGAAGGTCAGTTACTCTACCTGCTTCATCCAACTCCCCACCCCAATGTTACCTCTCTTGCTTTTCCAAGCAGAGCAAGTTTTGCAAAGCCTATCCTGCAGATTGCATTTGTACTTAGAAAGTCTGAGCACCAATTTGTACTCAGGTTTTTTGGTTTCTGCTATGATTTATGATGAGGAGCTATTAAAAGGGGCGAGCAGGAGCTTTTATGTTGCCCAACCAGGTCAGCAGAGGGAAGAGCCACACAAGTCACCTGCTTTCTTTCCCACTGTGGTTAGATGTATTGCATTTCTATTTAAATTATACACTAGTGGCCAGAATTGTAGAAACCTTTTGGGAAAAGTGTGTTCTCATAACACCTGATTGGCTCTCTAAACACTCATGCTCATTGGCTACATTCAAATGAAGGAAAGCTACTGCAAATCAACCTAAGCAAGCTGTGCTTCCTTTTTCTGGTTATTTGGCTATAACTTTTGATAGAATACAGATAATTGAACAAACTTTGTTGCATTGCATTCTTCATTAAATTATCTTTCCACTGATATATAATTTTATGGTATTACGCCAAAAAAGTGGTGTTATAAGCCATCAAACCTTTTGGAAAATACACTTTTTCCAAAAGGTTTCCACAATTTTGGCCACTAGTGTAGAAATATTTCTAAATTTGCATTTATACATGTAAGTTACCATGTGTATTTTTATGCAAATCACCACCCCATTTGTCCACTTTGGTGATGCAAACCTTTTCTGGCAATGCATAGCTGGATGCATTTATGGAATAAATAAAGGTTTGAGGCTGTTTTGGTTTTGCTATTTTTTTTAATCAGTTAGGAGACCCAAGTCCTTGCCAGTTTACTGCAGATCACTCAGATCACTCCTGATCAACATTCCGCACACCCGTTGCTTGTGGTGCCAATTTCTGACGTTGACCCTAAACAGCAACAGGTCATGGCAGATAGGGGAGGGGAGCCTATGACTTGAACATTATTCTGCTTCTGTGTGGCACTTACTATGCTCAAGGTGAACATGGATTGGGTGGTTGAATTCTTCAGGACTACCAACACCTCCATGGAACCAGCAATCTCCAGAACAGCACTGCCATTATGCAGTCTGATCACAGGGGCTGCCGTTGGTTTTAGATCCAGGATTACTGGGCATGGTGTTTTGTAAGAACGGGCGATCTGTAGAAGTTTAAAAGCAACCAAGAGTTTGAGAGCAGGATTAGATTGGATTAACGGAATTACATAGAGAAAGCAAAACAAATCTCCCAAGGTTAAATCCAAAGAACAAAAATAGACAAAAAATTTAAAAACAAATCCAATATTCCCAAATCATTGTTTCATCGACCTCCTCATACCTCCCTTTTTTGTATTCTAGTTGTTAATTATCTCAGCAAATCCTTTCCATCTTTCATAATATTCTGTCATTAAATTACCTTAATCTATTTTAACCGTATCTTACCATAAAAGGCCGTAAAACTTAAAACTTAAAATCTTATTTGTACCAAATTCTCTTAACCATGACATATTCTTACATAATTCTTTTTAACATTTCTGCTAAAGCCAAATAATTTCATTCCAACATTTTTCTAATACTCTTTACTTTTACAAAATTTTCCTAAATAAATTGTTTAAAACTTTCTTCCAATCTTCATCCAACGTTTCTTTCTCCTGGTCTCGGGTTTTGTCAGTCCTTTCTATCCCATCCATCTAGTCCATCAACCTGGTAACCTTATATCCGAGGCCCTTGGATCTCTTCCATGTCCCATCCGCAGATCTTCTTCATATTTATACCTTTACTTTGTCTTCTGCTCCTTTCACTCGGGGAGACTCCAGCTTGACAATGTTTTTGTCCCTTCTCGACAGATCAGCCCCTTTTCCAAAGTCAACACTGAACTCCATATGGTATTTAAAAACATGTTTCAAAGTCCCTCCAAAGTTAAGGGCCCGCACAACCCCGGACGCCTCCCAGCCCAAAGCCAGACTTGAAAGGTCAAAACATCCCTGCATAGGGGGGGTCTATCCAGCCCCCCATCTCCAAACCAAACAGAACTCTGTCTCTCCAAATCTGGCTTTCTCCAGGTTCATTCATCAAGTCCAACAACTCATGTTCCTGCTGGGCCACAGTTCCCTCCATCTCTGCCTCACTAGGTCCAGCAACAGCCTCCTCCCTCATCTGATCTGTCAAAGCACACTCCTGAGTTAACTCCTGAGTGGGTTCTATATAAGTACCCACTGCCTGTCCAAACTTTCCGATCCCAACAGTCATCAAATCCATCTTCTCATGTAACTGTTCCAATAAAGCACTTGTCTTACAAAAGGCCAACACCAGAGCCTCCGAATACATTATTGTTGAAGGTCAGAGTCTGTTCCCACGATCTTAATCTATTGCAGCTGCAAGGCTCCCAGTTCGAATTTAATAACAGTTTCACAAGCTCCCTCTAGGGGAAAAAACTTCTATTTGTATCCATCTCTCTCCTTTTTTTTTTTTAAAAGCAAATCTAACAACAAAGTTTCCTTTATCAGATATTTTGTCAATATTTTGTTCCTTTTAGATGCGAAGGGGAACAATGGAATCAATATGTTTCTCTTCTTTGAACTATCTGTCAAAAACGTTTGTCTATAGTCAATGAACTTCCCGAAGACGTCTGTCCTGACACCCCGCTCCCAGGTTCAGAACGGTGGAGAATTGCTTTTCTTTACTTGTCTTCTGCAAGTTTAATCAGTCCAGAAAAAGTTCCCCCCTCTTCTCCTGCTTCCAAGGGGGGTTCAGTAATTTTAAATGATGAAAATTGATCCTTTACAATGATTTTCTAAGCTCTAGCTTGCCGTGTCTTTGCTTCAGTCTATTTACAAAAAGCGGAAGGCAGACTTCCTGTTTAGACCTTCCCGCTTCGGTGCCAAATTAAAAGAAATTTCTTATTCCAATTTTCCGTTCTACTCACGGACAGTTATTTAAGCTCCAATTGTCCACAGGAAAAGTCAGCGCTCTCCAGCAACAGCAATGCGTCTTCACTCCGTGAAAGAAGCAGTCGATTCAAGGCACCGCGCCACTCACCCCACGTCGTTCCGGAACCCCGAAATCGGGTTTCCCCGCGAGTAGGGGGGGCGCAAAGGTGCTGGCCGAATCCCACGTCCACAGGCTTCTCCCGCCTGTGGTTTTTAATGGGTCTCCGCCTCGCCGTGGCGATTCAGACCCTGTTTTCCACGGAGTGGATTCCTCCCGATCGGAGGAAATCCGCCATTGCCAGAGGCGCCAACCCAGAAGTACATAGCAAATAAATTCTTCGTCAGAACAGTTGCTTTGAGGCAGGCATTCTCTGTTGCAGAAGAACTCCCACAAAACATTTCCCTTAAAACAACGGTTATAGATATAAAGGTGCTTACCTTAGGGATAATGGTGCCAAAAGAATTTGTAGTTAATCTGAAGTAAGAGGAAAGCTGTGGAAAAGAGAATAAAATTAGGCTACCCAATTAGAACTTTGTGACAAGCAAGTATTATTATTATTAAAAGAAGCAACTATGGTACTAAATCAATTTTCTTACTAGCCTGCAGATAATATTCATGTTTGCAAAAGGAGCTCCATTGCTGCTTTGTCCCTCCCGGCATAATGGTCTTCAATATGTGAATCAAGCACATTGTATGGCCATAACCTAATCATGGTCCAGGCTATTACTATTGTGCAGCATTTTCTGCCCCCATCCTGACAGTTTCAGACTTTCCTAGGATCAAAATACCCTCATTCAAAGGGGGAAGGTCTGGGACAACCCTGGGATAGGGATGGCATCACTTCCCTACAGTCCGGTGTGAATCCACATTTTGTACCAGTGTGGATAAGGAGCTAGTTCCATGTGGATTGAATTTCTTTTAAACTGATGAACATTCAGTTATATGAGCCCCTTACCTGCTATTGGGATAAAAACAGTAAAAGGGGAGCGAGTGGCGCTGTGGTCTAAACCACTGAGCCTCTTCAGCTTGCTGATCAGGAGGTCAGCAGTTCGAATCTGCTCAACGTGGTGAGCTTCTGTTGCTCTGTCCCAGCTTCTGCCAACCAAGCAATTCAAAAGCACACCAGTGCGAGTAGATAAATATGTACCGCTGCAGAGGGAAGGTAAACGGCATTTCCGTGCGCTCTGGTTTCCGTCACGGTGTTCTGTTGCACCGGAAGCGGTTTAGTCATGCTGGTCGCATGACCCGGAAAGCTGTCTGCGGACAAACGCCTGCTCCCTTGGCCTGAAGCGAGATGAGTGCCGCAACCCCATAGTCACCTTTGGCTGGACTTAACTCTCCAGGGGTCCTTACCTTTTTACCTTTTACCTTATCTGGATATAGGTTCTCATCACCTTAGTTAGATCTAGTTAGTCACAGGCTATATAAACAGTCTTTCAAAAGACAACAGTTGGTGCCTTTGAAATACCACCTTCTACAACTTGCTCTCACCTCCTTTGCAATAGAGACATCAAAGGCCCCAGCAGCGTAATAAACGAGTGAAGCAGATTGCAAGAAATATTCTGAGATTCCTATTTGGAGCATGGAGTTATTCTCATCTGGGATATTGAATGGTGCAGGCTTGAAGGGAGTCTCTAGGTCATTTCCCACCGGGGAGATTGTTCCCTGCAAAGAATTGCATGAATGACAAAATAATAATAATAATAATAACAACAACTCTCAGACTTTGGATTTCAGAACCAGGGACAAAAGCTATCAGAGCATGGATCATCAGTGACCCTTGCACATAGGGACACACTGGCTGAATCATTGCTAGCTGAAGGATTAATACAGGTCAAGCACAGGAAACCTGTGTAGCCCTCCAGGTGTTCCTGTCCCTCATCACTTTCTGGAGCTGACGGGAGCTGGTACATGGGAAAGGTAATGCCATCATTGCCATTATAGGTTGCTTGTGCATGTAGGTGCTTGAAATGGTAGCAATCACAAGAGGGGACTCAATGCACAAGCATTGCTTACTGTGAGTAGTCCAGAGGCTCGTTCTTCCTGCTAACCCTCTAGACTTTGTTTCTGCTGCTGGCAGCCTTCTCTCCATCACACTCAAAGAAGTGTTTTTAAAAATAATTCTTTAACTAAAGCCATCACACCCATTCATTCAAGAACAGAGATGCCTCAATGCAGTTCCCCCCCCCCCAAAAAAAAATAGCAGCCAGTTGTGTTACCTTTATATCAAAGTTAATAGATGTGTCAGAGATCACCGGAGAGTTCACCAGCGAGTAGTCTACTTGTGCAAAAGAATCAATCTGGGCTTGGACTGTTAGAACAGGGGGCAAAACAGCCGTGATGAGATAGTGAAACGAATACCTCTATTAACTTGTTAAGCAGGATCCAAAATGGTTTTGACAAGACCTTTTAAAAGTAATTTTATAAGGACTGTCTTCAAATTATATTTCCTTCCAGTGGGAAGGCACACAGTTCTGTGCACGTTTTCTTGTACGTACACAACCCCACTAAGCTTATCCAAGCTTACTCCTAAGTGTGTGAACGACTGCAGCCACAGCTACTCAAAGATTAGCACCTGAATAACTTTTGCTGTTATCTGTAGAATTATTATTATTATTAGACAAGAGTAATACAATCATGGGTAAGGAAGCTGAGACCCAGGGGCCAAATCTGGCCCTCCAGGCTTGTATATCTGGGCCTTGAGACTTTTTCCAGGTCACAACCCTTATGGCTCTGCTTTGTTCCCTCCATAGGTGCTTTTGCCAGGATGGAATGTGTCCTTGAATTGTGATAAAGCCTGGATGAAGGCAAGAGAGACAGATAGCACACGTAGAAACTAGTTTACTGTACAAAGGTAAAATTGGCATGTGTCGCTCTGCCCATTCTGCCTCTGGCCCTGCCCACTGCTAGCATGTAGCCCCTGGAAGGTCACCTCAAGGGGAATGTGGCCTCAATCCGGAAAAAAAAAAGTTTTCCAACCCTGAGTTGGCTGTACAAAACACCTTACTATGGCTTTTAGAAGAGGGAAAAGCAAAGCAGAGCATGAAACTCTGAGGTCTGTCTGTGCACTGTATTTTTCGCTCCATAAGACGCACTTTTTTCCTCCTAAAAAGTAAGGGGCAATGTCTGTGCGTCTTATGGAGCGAAAAATGTGTGGACGCTCGCTGGCTCCCTATCCAGCCCGCCCCCTTGCCCAGGCCTCCATTGTTGAATATTCTGTAGACAGAGGCTGTTTGTTTCCCCAGCGACATGTGACTGGCTGATTAGATTAGCTGTCTGGAAACTGTAGAAACGACTCCCTTTCCTTTCCTAAAGAAGCTGCACAACTGTGAGCTGATCCCCCCAAAAACGGGGCTTTCCCTGTTTCCTCCTCTAAAAATTAGGTGCGTCTTATGGAGCGAAAAATACGGCATATGTAGGTTCTAGATATCCCATATGCAGGGACATACCTTGCACTGCTGTTGAAACTGAGAGCTAGGAACATGCAGTATCTTTTAAGAGAACATGCCGAGACCTGCTGCAACAATTGCATAAGCATGTGACCAGGGGCTTTCCTGTGCAATCTGCACTGGTCATCCATTTGTTGTGCAGACCTTAATTCGCTACTTGAATTAGTATTGCTTTTCCCCAGCACTGAAACTGTGTAATATTGTTCCTGGGGAAATGTGGTTATTGTTGAATAGTGGGTAGACATGGCAGACGACACAGCGATTTCTCCAAAGCAGCTCTTTATTTTGTAAGCTGGAACAGAACTGCCCACAAACAGCTCAGCCGGCCTGCTTTTATAGGCAGCCGGCTGTCAACATTGTAGTAACAACAACCCAGGGTTTCCCACCTAAAATAACTGACGTGGACCTGAGTGAAAACTATCTACAGTATCCCCCTGCTGGTCCAGGGTGAGAACTTCAGTACATAACAGTTATCACTTAAAAGCTCTAATGAAATTGGGATACCCTTTAGCTTCTTTTAAGAAGCCATGCAAGTAGCAAGGATGAAGCATGTGCAACCTACCTTTGTGTTCTCTCAGTTCTGCATTAATTTTTTCGATCTCAGAACCAATGAATGGGCAAATCTGTATAAATACATGTAGCAGTTATTGCTCTGGCCAACAGTTACTGAAGGAGTGATGGTGATGGAAGGACACTATAGTAATACTTGAAGACTTACATTCTTGCTCAGACTGTCACAGATAGGCTTTTCCAGATGATTAACAAAGTATTTGTACAGCCAGCTGGGGGGAAAATAAAAGAAATAATATTGTTACAAAATCCCGGTGCCCGCCCCTCTCTCCACCATGGCCAGAGCGCATGGGGTCACAGGCACACATACAGGGTCTGTGTCCCTTTGGAGAACAGATGACACGGTGGGTGGAGACTTTGAGAAATAGGGTTTATTTACGTATTTATACCTTCAGTCTGCATGGCGGGGGTCCAGATCTTACAGCATGGCCCAAAGCATTGCAAGTAGTTCTTCTTTCCTCCTTGGCAAGATGGATCTCAAACTTTCTTCCTCTCTCTTCTTCCCAGAAGCACCTTGCCCTCCCCCCAGAGCAGTTACCCTGACAACCTTCCAAATCTCCAGTCTCTGGTCACACCTGGACAAGAAGTTCTGTTGTCTTCTTGATGACCCTCAGTGGCTCTTTAATATAATGCTAACAGTCAGCCAGCCAGACTGGTTTGCATAAGTCAGCCCAGGAATTCCCTGTCTGCCACAGCCCTGCAGTTTATGTTTGACTCCATTCCCCAATTAATCAAAAACTCTGGCATTTATTAATTTCTAGGGTTTACCCCCAAATCTCTAACAATATTACTGTGTATCAGTTATTAAATCACTCTAGCCATTTCTTTCTTTATGGTCCATCTCTCCTCTCAAGGAATCAGTATCACTTTAATGCTTCTCTTTCCAAACAGCATTGTCTTATTTCTTTTTCTATCTCCTCCCCCTCCCTGCACCTGCCAAAAAGAAATACAAGTGGGGTGTTGTCGTTTAGTCGTATCCGACTCTTCGTGACCCCATGGACCAGAGCACACCAGACCTGAGCCCACTAGGAAGGAACAGTGGGTTATGAATTTAACTAATTAGTAAATACATATTTACACTTTTCTCCTCACACCAAGGTCCCAATGAAAATAGCTGCTTCACCATTTGAGGCTGGAAAATAGGGGGTGGGTTTTTTTGATGAATTGGCTGCCAAATGTCCTTTGGATTCCAGAAACCTGGGAGCAGAGATGTTCTTCCACTTCCAGCTTAAGGCAGAACAGCCAAGAATGGGCTGTTGCTTTTATCATCTGCAGCTGAAAGAACCCCTAAAACAGGCACATATCTGTTTTGTTCACATATTACACTGAACACAGGTACAAGGTGAACACCCCGAAAATCCTTTTTCTACCTTACCTAGCATCTTTATCCAGTTCGATGTCAATACTGTCAACTTTTGCCTCGCAGCTTTCAATCAACAGCACTGCGTGACTTGCATTGTCCCGAGACACTGAAACAACAGCTGCGAGCGATACACCCAAAATGTGGACTGTCAGTGTTCCAGAATTTCTGCTGACAAGAATGGAACATAATGCATCTGCTTAAACTGTTTCCTTTCAGGTACGTGCCAGCGTTGCTAAAGTTTCATGCTCAAACTGACACAGATTCTTTGACCAAGGATGAAGTGACACACAAATGACAACATTTCCCAGGTCGCAAGGTGGTTAGGTTGGTCTCAGCTAGGGCCAGGGCCTTTTCAGTACTGGCCCCAACTTGGTGGAACGCTCTGTCACAAGAGACTAGGGCCCTGCGGGACTTGACATCTTTCCGCAGGGCCTGCAAGACAGAGCTGTTCCGCCTGGCCTTTGGGTTTGGACTCAGTCTGACCCTTATGTTTCCCTCCCCTTATGGTTTTGACTTTTAAAATGAGGCTGCATTTTAAATTGCATTTTAACCTGTATTTTAATATTTTTTTTTCTTTTCCTTTTTCCTTTTCTTATTATGTTTTTACTGAAATTTTATTGGTGTTAGCCGCCCTGAGCCCGGCTCTGGCTGGGGAGGGCAGGGTATAAATAAAAATGATTATTATTATTATTATTATTATTATTATTATTATTCCCCTGCTTTCAGTAAATCCCTGTATGTTTCATGTAAACAGCCCCACCTCCATATCTCACCCTATCTCGAAGGAGCTCGGGGTGCCATACACTGGGGGCTGTCTCCCTTTAATCTTATTATCAGCCTATGAAAAGGGATAGGAAGTGGCTTGGCCAAAGTTTCCCAAGAAGATTCAAGGCTGCAGGAATTTTAACTCACAATATTGACTCTGCCTCTGAGGGCCAAAAAACCCCCACAAGCGTTAACTGCATGGCAGCATATGCATGCATGTTCTTATGTTCACTCATTTGTAAAATTGCAAATTTCATCAGTACTTTACTGGCAAGGAAAGGGTTAAACACTTCCTCTCCTCTTCTTCCACCTCAGTGGTTTCATTGCTGCTTGGGGTTTCCTGAAGCCTGCTGCCTACTTTCCTTTCCTTTATTAAAGCCCATTTTTATTTGGATTACTGCAGTTAACATCACCACCTCCAGTGCCCTGCACAACTGTACTTACAACAGCCAGGACCTCACTCTCCAGTGTGCACTGACGGTTGCTGCAGCATCCTTGATCTCTAGGTTAATCCCAGTCCCAGGTATCAGAGACACTGATGCATTTGGGAATTCAACAGCATCAAATTTTATCCTGCAAAACACAGAGACACGTTAGCAAAGGCTACGTTCCAGGAAAATCTAGGAACATAAATCTTACATGTTTGAGCTGAAGGTACATCAAGGGTGAGGAACCTTTTTCAGCCTGAGGGACACATTCCCTTGCGGGCAACCTTCTGGGAGCCACATATCAATAGTTGGTGTGGCCACATTTTCCATACAGACAAGCAAGAGACATTTATCACCTTTCCAAGACATATTACAGTCATTAGAGAAGTGGCACAGCAGAGCCAGTGAGAGATGTGGATTAGGCAGAGGTCCCAAGGTCTGACATTTCCTGCCCTGAGGTAAGGTAAAGGTAAAGGTAAAGGGACCCCTGACCATTAGGTCCAGTCGTGACCAACTCTGGGGTTGCAGCACTCATCTCGCTTTATTGGCCGAGGGAGCCGGCGTACAGCTTCCGGGTCATGTGGCCAGCATGACTAAGCCGCTTCTGGCGAACCAGAGCAGCGCACAGAAACGCCGTTTACCTTCCCGCCGGAGCGGTACCTATTTATCTACTTGCACTTTGACGTGCTTCTGAACTGCTAGGTTGTCAGGAGCAGGGACCGAGCAATGGGAGCTCACCCCATCCCGGGGATTCGAACCGCGACCTTCTGATCGGCAAGTCCTAGGCACTGTGGTTTAACCCACAGCGCCACCCACGTCCCTGCCCTGAGGTAGATCATGCATAATACCATCCAACATTCCCAGGGACACCCTGGGAAAGGTGGGAAGCACTCAGTTTTAAATTGCTGGCTTCATTAGCGCCCCCACTTTATGGTAAAATAACACTCTTTTGCTAGAAATGAGATAACAGAAAGTAATAATATTATTTTCCCTCTCCAATGGGAAATAAAAGATGATTAAAGCACTCTTGATATCCCCCATTGGTGTAATAATAAATGTGGGAGAGGATTGGCAGGATTTTGCATCTTAGCTGTGCCTCCTGCAAACTAATGTGCATAAAGTGCTATGTCCACAGTGCTATATCAGGCAATATTGAGAAGGAAACTTATGCATGTACAGATAAATACATGCCCATAGGCTCCCTGACACTGAACATATGGTCACTGGGAGTCATGGCTGGCATTGTGTTGGTGTGCCAGGTGTGTGGCTAGTGGTTACAAACCAGCTACTTTCCCCATCCCCATTTAAAACAATGGGGAAAAGGCTTAATTAAGCGGTAGTGCAACCAAACAGGAAGAAATAAAAGACGTCACCAACCCGGAGGAAGCTACTAACTAACATTGCAGGAGCCTTCACTAAATGGGACCTACGTGTGAATAAACATTACAGAGGAACTTAACCATAAGGGAGGGCAATGCTGGATAATAGTAAGTGCTGTGTGTTGTAAACAAAAACCTGCCCTTTTCCCCTTATGGGGTATCCAATAGCCCATATAGAGTCCTTACGTAGGTTCCCTATTGGTAGGAGAAAATAACAGAGGCCAACCAGAGAATATTGAGAAGCAAAGCAGCTAGTAAGCCTGGTTTTTATTGATCTGTTGCAATCACATGTGCAAAACTACTATTTTAATTTTCTGAATGCAGAAAAGCAATAGTTCAGCTGTGCTAAAGGGGCTTAGTGTGGAAGCAACCTTTCTTACTCTGAAAGCGTGTAGTCGACGCCACTATATCCATATGTCTCTTGACCGCTCACATTCGCAAAGGTTTGCTCCTTTAATCTTTGCTCCAGGAAATCTATTCCAAGCTGTTTTCCTACAAAGCAAAGAAGATATTTCACTTACTTTCTATTTGGCTGGAAAGATGCGTAGAATACAGAACAGAGAAAGCTAAGTTTTTTATGTCTGTTTTGCCATCTCCTGCTCTGCAGATCAGTTTGGAGTGGTTGCTAGCAATTACTTCTTTCATCCAAGGTTAATATGGAGGCTTTCTCTCTCCCCCCCACTCCCCATGGGATATATCTGTCCTTTGCTATGTTAAGCCAAGCGTCTGTAACTTCCAGGCTTGATTAGTGCAGCACTCTGCCCTTGAAGATGATTCAGACGCTCTCATGCTGCTGTATATCTTTTATCACACACTGAGAGTCATGCATTGTTCCCCACAAGATACAATGGTTACCAATTTACCTCTTGATCCAATTAAGGGTGCTAGTTTTAGCATTTAAAATAGGAACTGGAGGCTTGCGGCACTCCAGACATTCCTGAACTACAACTCCTATCAGCCCCAGCCAACTGGGCAAGGGTCATGGATGATCAGGAGTGGCTCACCTGGTGGGGTGAAGCTGCAACAATAGCCTCCCAGTAGCAGCAGCAGTACTGCTGTTGGCCAGAAGGTTAATTCGGACGCTTTCTCCCCCTGCGGGATATATTTGCCATTTTATCCCTTCCCCTCTAGGTGAATGACAGTGTGAACGCTACAGTGAGATTATTGCTGCACCACAGGGCAATCTGCTCCTGGGAATGGGCAGCAAAACACTGCAAGGTGTTAGCGGGCTAATTGCTCACAAAAAAGGGAGGAACTGTACATTTGGCTTTGTATCTCGGGTTCTACAATGCCTAGGAACTTTCATTTAAAAGCTAGGAATCTGGGGATTATGGTTCATGCGTGCACCCATGGAAGATGCCCATATCCCTGGGAAAGACAAAAGTAATACAACATCATCTAGAGGAACAACAGGTTCTCTAACCCTATTTTAAAGCCTTTCATGGCCTGAGACCTTCACAGGTTAAGGATCATCTCCCCCAAATCCATGGGTGCACTTGCGGTCTGAGGTTTAATCAGCAACTTTTGTTGTTCCAGGTTAGGATATTTACCAACTAGATGCCAAGCTTTCTCAGTTATGACTCCCAAATTATAGAACGTTCTTCGTTTAAAGAGATTTAAAGAGTTACCTTTTTACCGAGCTTGGGGGAGTGAAAGGAGTCTGGAGCCTGTGACCCTCCAGATGCTTTTGAACTACAAGTCTCACAATCCCTGATTTGCTTGCACAAAGGTTGTGTGGAGACATCCGCTCTTTACTGAGCTCACAGCAATGAACATCTTGATTTGTCTGTGCAGATGCTATTCTTTATTCCGTCAATCAATCATTATCCCACACCTTTAAGTATACTTCCTTATCATTTTGTTAATTGCAAAAAAGTCAGTTTGTTAAACACACCCACACACACACACACACACACACGTGTTGTGTTAACAACACAGACAACCTGGCATTGGCAAGCAAATAAAAATGATTTAAAAAGCAAACAAACCATTGTGCTGATTAATGAGGGTCATTTCCTTTTTGTTCTCAAAATGTATTTGGTTCCTTCTAATTTTTTATTTTAATAATGAATAGAGGCATGGAAGAATAATAAGTCTGAACCTGTATATTTCAAACTCACCATAGTCCAAACCTTTCTGAGTGATCTTCACTTTGATTCCAGGCTTAGCATCAAGCCGGGGAGTGAACAAGCTCAACAGGAACAAAAAGCCACAAACTTTCATTGTCTCCTTCTCTTTTCTTAGTTTATAGAAATCTGTTAAGACACATGGGACCAAATATGGGTTGTAGATCCTATGTCAAGTGAGTACAAGATGAGCTTGAGCAATAGATGTTCCTGTCCCCCCCCCCGCCCCCCTGTACTCCTCCCTCAAGATCTCTCCATAGGGAGGGCGGGATGACCAGGCATGCATTGAGAACATGCAAGCCTGCAGTGGGAGGGGGAGAATCTTCCAAATTCAGATTTCCATGTTCTTGTATGGCATTCTGTGTGTGCTGAATATAATAAGGGAGAAGAGCAGCATGGACTAGGACATTCATCCAGTGAATAGGTAATGGACCTAGGGTGAGTTAACCTTCACAATAATTATAATTAATTGATTGTATTTGTATTCTTCTTGGAAGAATATTCCAAGTATTCTTCTTGGAAGAATTCTTCATCTGTGCAGAAACAAATGCTCTTACTGACAGTGGAGCAGCTGGAGTTGGACTTGGGGCCACGGCATGTTTACTGTTCAGACAGAGAAAGCAAGCCTCCTTTTATTCCTGTGGTCATGATGGTGCTATGATTTAAGTGAATTTAAAATACAAAACTGCACATGCCCATAATTCCCTACCCCCCAATCACGTTTGGCAAACTTGTTTGCTAACATATCAGGAATGCAGAAGCATGGGATGGTGGGGGTGGAGGAGACAGGAAGGGGAATGTTGTGCCTCATAGCCATTTAACGTGGGACCCCATATGACTATGCTGTACATTGTAAAGGACCTAAATTTAATTAGAAGCACCACTGGATATTGCAGGTATCTATAGCCACAACCGTACACACACCTCATGCACAACAGTACATAGCTACATTGGCTTCCGGTCCAACTAAGTGGACAGTCTACCTTGCTAATGTGTTGCTCAGCTTCCACACACATAGGATTGCACTGTAATTGAACTCAATGGGACTAACTGGGTAAACATGCTTAGGATCACATTGTATTTCCATTCAGTTCTAGTATGAAAGAGTTATAATAGGTTAAATATTCATCTACATCCTATTATAACAATTCTAAGGGACTTAAATAGGCATGTAATGTGTTTTTTTTAATGTCTCTCTCTCACACAACTCCACATATACACACAAAACATCTTTTCAGAAGACAGCGACTGTCCAGAAGTCAAGACACAACCACAGTTGGCACATCAAATTAGCCTACATCTTCAAAGTGCTCCACAAATGTTACTTAACACTAGAAGAGTAAATTATCAACCTGTGCAAAACCATTTGGCTGTTTCATTGCCTACTGTTTTCAGAACTCAACATTGTTTGCTTTTTGCCTGCCAGGTTAGGATCTTGTCAGACAATATTAATGATCCATTCAGTATCTCATGATGAATTGGCCTAATATTTAGAAACAAATGAGTACACATTGTGATCCGTTTGTCTCAAGAGGCATGCTTCTTTTCTGAACAGAAATAGCAGTGGTCAACTAGTGGGCAAAAAGAAAGCTGTGATTTTCACAGGACTTTCCCACAGGACTTTTCAGAGAAGAAACCAACCACAAATTCACAACACACACACACTCATGCACACCGATTTCCTAGCAGCTACTGAAAGGCAATAGTCTTCTAAGCTCTTGTTCACTTTTGTTCCCCAATTAAGCAAGAACAAATATTTCCCCTGAAATGAATAGTTATTGTCCCACAATTTCAGATATTTTCAGAAATCATTGGACCCACCCAGCTATCCACCAGCTTGTGGTGGATATAATCACCAAACCAGTTGATTGCCATTACCTCAGTTCTGTCAGGCTAAATCTTGGTGGGCTGCAGACAACTCTCACTTGAACCCCAGCCGAGCTAGACACTTATAGAGCTGGACATCATTAGGGGGTCTGCAAGAAACCTTTAATTATGTTCAAGCTAAACATTAACCATCCCTTAGGACACACAGAATTGATCAGATCATCAAATGACGTATATGCCAAGGATAGAAGATGACTCCTTTATTTCCATGCAAGTGGTAGATAACTCGTGGTGGCTAACTTGGACAGACTCTTCTCTATCTCAGTGATACTTGATTGTTCCTTGGAGGAAGTGTTAGATAAAACTTCTAGTAAATCAGTTTCATTGAAACCAGTGCTCTACCACTCACCTGTGACCCTCATGACTGTGCTGTAAGGAGCGACCTAAATAAATCACAGCCTTATCAGAATGAAAGGTCCTTCCAAAGGCTTCTGGAAGACCAATAAGCATGTTTGACTCCTACAGTGCCCAGATGGACTCTACAGACCTCTAAAATGTTTGCTGTTGGTCCAAAGGGACTAGGGGTTACAGTATATAAACTGGAGTGCCAAAACAGCAATGGCAGCAGCAAACATTTGCACTACTTATGTTCCCCTTTCCACAATATGACACTGCCACTGCTGACACAAGTGGTTGTCTCAGAAGATTGTAAAGAAGAGTTGAGCTCCAGATATTAAACCAACAATTAATAATGACCAGATATGGCAGCATCTATGAATGGCATGTGTTATAAAATAAACAAAACAACATGAACTAATTGGAAGGAACTGACACAATGTGCCAGTTATGTAGTCCAATTATGCAGTCACTTCATCCTGTTGCACTTGGGCTGCAAATACTGTAGCACATTCCCCACCACCACCAAAGAATTATGGGCATGGTAGTTTGCTAAGGGCTGATAGGAACTGGAACCCTATGAGGGGTTAACTACAGTACCCAGAATTATTGTGGGGGGAATGCGCTTTGAAGGCAAATTGTGTACACAGCCATAGTCCTTAGTTTTATAGTTTCTTCACTCACAATAAATGTAAATCATGAGATGGACACAGAGCATGGACACCTCCACGCACAATGGGTCCCTGATTCTGACTTTTAAGCATTACTACAATGACAAATGATAAGATAATCAGTGAGCATGTGCGTTTCTTGAACGGGAACTTCCCATCATCCTGAATGTCACAATCACAGGTCACAACCTAATCCTTTGCCGAAACTTTAAAGATGGCATCTTCGGTAGAATCACATAAGGGTTGTGTCAGGTTGCTCTTGGTTAAAGGGTGACAAGATAAGGGTGTGGTCCGAAGACCGAGGCTGGATCAAACAGATCAGGGTCTATGGGGCCAGAGACAGGGTTGTGATCCAAATAAGGCAAGGCCAAGGATCCATTTTCAGAGACAGCATGGTGCGGCGGGGCAAAGCAAGCCGAGACATCAAGAAGCTACAGTACTTGTTGCAGCAATGAATCTCGGAAGTCAAGGCTTTGTATATGATCTTTCTACATCTTCCTTTTTTGTCCCCATACCTATATGTGTTTGTGTGTGCACATACATGTTAATGTATGCATCCCTGACAACTGAGGGCAATACTTCATGTATCAAATGAAGTGGATATTAGGACACAATTATGCCACAATAAATATATTGTTTTTAAGATGCTCCAGGAGTCTTTAGTTGCTTTTGTGGCAATATCTAGCATAGAATTTTTATCTAGCATAGAACTTTTCCCACCACATAGAAAGGAGTTGGTACCAGTGAATGAAGTGTGCGAATAAAGTGTTGAACCTTCCTCTGCCTGCACCTGATTTCCTCACAGTCTTCTCCCTCTGGCCCCATAGTTCTGCCCTGACCACCACTGAATATGCCATTTCAGCTGGAAGAAAAGCTCACGGCAAAGGACTATGGAGATGTAAGCAACAGATTAGGGGAGGTTCCAGTGTCCCTCAAAACTATACCCAATTTGCTCTTATGAGTACAAATTGTTAGGGCTCCGCCAGATTTGTTTACTGAGCATGCATCTTGAAAAGGTTACACTAAGGTACATCCACATGATACATTTAAAGCACATCCAATGCACATTTAAAGCAGTCTTCCCCCAAGACTCCTGGGAACTGTAGTTTAAGTGTGCTGGGAACCGTAGCACTGTGGGGGGGAAAGCCGAAGTTCCCAAGATGCTTTGGAGAAAGCCATGTGCTTTAAATGTATGCTGTAGAATGGCCCTATGTCTGGTTATTATTGAGCATTCAGTCATATTTGTCTGTGAGTTATATGACAATGAGCATTCATTCTGATTTGCTTGTTAGCTTCTCATTTTTCAGGACCTATCCTGTCACGTTCCTAACCATATAAAGGCTACGGCTTTTTTAAAAAACTGGGATTTGTTGTGATAGGACTACAGAATGTTCTAATTCACTTTAATTGCACAAACCTAAATTTCCAGTATGTGGTTGAATTCCTTCTGCAAAAGAGTGACACCCTGAGGCACTCTCATGTCCCTCTTTCTGCACATTTGGAGTTGACCCCCACTCTTTTCATTATCTTTTTTTATTTTAATTAAAGATTTTCTTGGTTTACAAAAGCACACGCCTTGTCTCTTTTTTTCAGGTTGTACAGTCTTTCTTACAGATCAGTTACATTTGTTATGAGACATTAGTGTTGAGTATAGTATAAGGTTGGGGGGAAAGTCCCACAACAGATATGCAAAATAACTATAAACAGGTATTAGAACTCACCCCATTACTGGCCCTACTGAACATTTGCCAAGATCATAATCACTCACATTATACAAAGCTTATAACCCACCTGCTCTCAGCAGCCAGAAGCCTCATAGCCAGACACTGGAGAAACCTGTCAGGAGTAAACATGGACCAGTGGTACCAGTTCCCCCCACCTTTTAAGGTGCAAATCTACTGCAGGCACATTTCCTTTGGCCCAAAGGTGACTCAGGAGTCTTAACAAAAGATCTCTGGACAGATTGTTAAAGGAGTTTACACAGCGATAGTGTTTTGAGTACTTTGGGGATGGGGGGAATCAAGAGACATTTTGATTTCCATTGTGTCAGTAAGCTCCCTTGCCCCACCTGGAAGTAAACATTACCATTTTTCTGTTCCAAGATGAGAGGATGCTATCAATAAATAGCTAAATCCCTTTGTATTGAGAAAATGTTACATGTAAATGCTAACAAACTGATGGTCTACAAACCACATTTATCAATTAAAAGAGCTGCTTGTTCATTGAAGAGGAGTTAATTCTGCTCTCTAGAGGGTTTTGATTGCTCTTATTTGCAGTGTGGGTTCAAGTCCAGGAAGTTCTCTCTCTTTTGCCCCTGATGTGACTCTTGTTCTCCTGCTGGGAGAACATATTGGGGTCATATTCACCTCTTGCCCCTTGTGGGGCTCCAACTCCCGCCTCCTGCTTCCCAATCCCCTGCCCTATGCAGTGAGCCAGTAGAGGTTGCTGCTGTCATATTCATGTCTGTGGCTCTCCTGGTTACAGTAGCCACTGGGCCTGACCCTAGGCAATAGAACATCTACCAGGGTTTCCCAAACTTGGGTTGCCAGCTGTTTTTTGGACTACAACTCCCACCATCTCTAGCTAGCAAGATTAGTGGTCAGGGATGATGGGAACTGTAGTCCACAAGGGAGACCCAAGTCTGGGAAACCCTGCATGGCATGAATGTGAACTGATGAGGCCCTGTCTGCACTATCCATTTAAAGCAATTTCATGCCACTTTTAAGTGATGCCTTCCTGCAAAGGAATCCTGGGAAGTGTAGATCCTCACAGAGCTAGAATTCTGTGAGTTCCATGGGAAGCAGTGCAAAACAGCTTTAAATGTACAGTGGTACCTCGGGTGACAGACACTTCAGGTTACATACGCTTCAGGTTACAGACTCCGCTAACCCAGAAATAGTACCTCGGGTTAAAAACTTTTCTTCAGGATAAGAACAGAAATCGCGCAGCTGTGGCACAGCGGCAGCGGGAGGCCCCATTAGCTAAAGTGGTACCTCAGGTTTAGAACAGTTTCAGGTTAAGAACGGACCTCCAGAACGAATTAAGTTCTTAACCCGAGGTACCACTGTATAGTGCAGATGGCGCTTCAAAAAGTTCCAGCGGCTCAGCGCTTAAAGCAGATTGGATTGCAGTTGAAGGAGATTACTGGAGAGTTGGTTGGTTTTATTTTTTTTTTAATATTTGAGTTTATATACAAATATAAAAGTTGCGTATAAATGGAGGCACAGCTTAAAACCCTCTTCAATGTATTGCACATGTGCAGCCGCCAGAGAATTGCACACAAGTGCTTGAAAGTAAGAGCACAGAATACAGATGTTATCGATCGACGGGAAGGCAGACTTTCCCCATGCCCTGTTACTGAGGCAGGGCAAACTGGTGTTCCGAAGAAAACCGAGTAGTCGATGGAGCATCGTTGGCTTCCGGGGTCGTTCGGCTGTTGCGGCTGGCGAGGCCGAGAAGGCCAAGGGGCGGGCCCTCGCGGCGTCTCGGGGGCGGGGCGGCGGGTGAAGGAGGCGGTGCTTCAACCAACCAAAACCACGAACAACAACAACGGCACCCAGAAGCCCCCGCGCCCGCAGTGGCTTCTTCCTCCGTCGCCGCCGCCGTCGCTGAGGGCCCTGGTTCGTCTCCTGCGGGGAGGCGGCGGGGAAAGGCTCGCCGCCATGAAGCTCCGCGTGCGGATGCTGAAGCGAACGGTTCTGCTGGAGTTGCCAGGGGAGGAGCCAACTCTGGGGGACCTGCGCGCGCACATCTGCCAGACGCTCTTGCCCTCTTGCGGTTACAGGTAACGTGTGAACCGTGGCGGGGAGGTGTGTGTGAGGGAGTAGACGCGCGAGCAAGGAGCCTCGCGGGCAGGAGTGGCTTTCGCGGCCGCCTTTGCTGGGCTCGCTCGAAGTCACCTGTGGGCCCAGGGGAGCAGCTTCTTTGCCGCCGGGAAGGTCCTTGGTTCCCCCATTTCTTGACAGGGTGAAGGCGTCTAATTTGGGGTACATAAGGCATATTTATCTTGCTTAAAAACTCTGGCGCGCTGCGCTGCTTACAGAAGAACGAAAAACTTGTCCAATGCGATACAATGGCGATGGCAAAGAGTGGAGGCTGTATATCCATTTGTCAAAAGGAAATAATGGAGGCTAAGAACGTGTGTCTATGTCTATGTATATATACAGTAGTACACGTAGTACATGTATATGTAGTACACCCTTTTTAGGAGTCATGTATAGATGCAGGAATAAAATAATGGGTGAGAGTTTCCATTCACTTCTCTCTTCGATCGGCTTTATCTTTATCACAAATCAGACCTAAACTGAAGGCCTATAATGCAAGGCCCCTGTGCTTCTTCGCCTTCCCTCTCTTATAGAACTTTTAACCGCTTGTCTTTCTTCTCTTATCTGCTATAAGTTTATGTGAGTTATAATTACTTTTAACTGTTCGTTTTTATCCCTCTCCTCTTCTAAGTCTTATGTGCTTTCTTTTATTCACATGTTTGTATCTTATGCTGGTCTGCGACTGTAATAGCTGTTTGTTGTTGTATCTTACTGCATTTATACAGTGTTAATTTGCTGGGATAAGGGAAGAGTTACCCAAAATGAGCTGTAGAAAAATGAGGCCTTGCAGAGCTGATTGGCACATGTGAAACTGAAAGCCAAGAGCACAGTTTCGTTTATTGACTACAGCAGAAATAACAACACTATCTCTGCTTGCTGTGTGTGTGCAAGTGATTGATAAGTGAAACAGCTGTGGCTCCTGGAGGTGGAATACTGCAGGCAGCTGGCTTTGAGAGAACTTGGCTACTATACATTTAAAGTATAAATTAAATTAGAAGACGGAACCGTTACATTTGCTACAGCTGTGTTGTTATTAACAATACATGCACTGCTGATTCCTTCCTCCATTATTTTGGAACTAATAATTTACCTGCTGCAATTACTAATGAACTGTGGTTGATTCTAAAATGAAAGTGGAAGTTCTCTGTCACCTGTTTTTGCATGTAGAGGGGGAATGTGTGACCCTGAGGCTCACTATGACTTGTTCACAATTGCCCAAACCATGGCTCTGGTTCACTTCCCATCCATCAGGTGTTAATTGGAGAGCAGTTGTGTGATTGAAGCACATTCCTTTGCAGGAAGGAAACAGAGGGGTATATGTCTCAGCAGAGAGATAGATCTGTGTTCCTTGCAAACATGCAAAAAGCAACCCACACATTGCACAGTGGAATACATGCCATTTTCAGGTTACACTTGCATTATGTTAGAGACTTTGAATAGCCTTAAAGCACGGCTTGCAGTTTCAGCACACAGTGATGTTTATAAGTGGAATTAGGGGGTATTTTTGTCTTCTGCACAGTCTGGATAATTCAAAGGTGTTGGAGAACTTTTTCCTAAAAAATTAACTTCATAAAAAAGTGAAGAAAATGGAAGGTGACATCTTTAATTCTTAGTAATTACACTCAATATTTGTCCTTGTTTCCATGGGGAATAATTAGCATATGTGAATCTGTGTAAGAAGGGTGTGTGATTCTGTGTGGGTCTGGAATGTACTCCCCCATGACCTTGGGCTACTCTCAGCTTAACCTGCTTCACAGGGTACTTGTGATGAAAAAAATGGGGAGGAAGACAACTGTATGTCATCATGAGTGCCTTGGAACAAAGGTAGGACGTAAACACAAAAATCAAATAGCTTTCTACTGGTCTAATATGATCCTCTATCTGGAAAAGCTTCACTCCAGTGTGTCTGGTCCCATCCATATGGGATGCTTATGACCATATGCATACTGGCAATGGGCTACAGTAACCATAACAGACATGGGAGAAACAACATGACACAGGTTTCACACATTATCTGCTGTTTGCATTGTGGTGGTGATGTAGCTGATAGAGTTGGGTATTTAGAAATAGCTTGGTTTGCAAAATGGTGTGTATGCCTCAATACAGGTTCCTCATACAGTTAATTTTTTGTTTCTTGTTTTGTTTTTTTGCAGTCCTGATTCCAAGGTTGTAATAACCTTGAACAAGAAAGACTCCCTCACAGGAGAGCAGGAAACCCTAACATCGTTGGGGGTTGTTTCAGGAGACTTGATATGTTTGGTGTTAGAAGAGGCTGATGCTGCACCCAGATTACCTGCATCTATTTCCTCATCTGTGCATCCATCACAGAATCATGAATCATCATCATCTACTTCAGATCCATGCCAAAGCCAGCCCAGGAGCCCAGATAGTGAAAAAAGCAACAGGCACATAGCAGACCATAAAGTCCAAGATGATGTCCAAATGAGTGACAGTACGGTAAGTCCATAGAACTAAAGACGCTCTCACTTAATTATTTTTTTTAAAATAAATGCTGTGTCTTGTGTGAAAAGAATAGAGGAGAAATGTGAGCAGCTTAAACCACATTAGCGATACCACCTCTGTTATGGAAAGCCACCCATTATTAATTTTTCTCTTGGTCAGTTCCCACAACTGGGTATACATACATTATTTTATTTGTATGCTGCCTTTCCAGAGTTAAAACCATGCTCAAGGCGGCTTATAACATGAAGAGCGTGACATAACTGCAAACATAACAAGAGAAGTCATAAACTTCTCAATAAATAAATATCAATAAATAAAACATCAAAAAGTGTACAACAAAGTTGAACCATTTCCACATAAATCATGTTGTTGTTGTTTAGTCGTTTAGCCGTGTCCGACTCTTCGTGACCCCATGGACCAGAGCATGCCAGGCACTTCTGTCTTCCACTGCCTACCACAGTTTGGTCAAACTCATGCTGGTAGCTTCGAGAACACTATCCAACCACCTCGTCCTCTGTCGTCCCCTTCTCCTTGTGCCCTCCATCTTTCCCAACATCAGGGTCTTTTCCAGGGAGTCTTCTCTTCTCATGAGGTGGCTAAAGTACTGGAGCCTCAGCTTCACGATCTGTCCTTCCAGTGAGCACTCAGGGCTGATTTCCTTAAGAATGGATAAGTTTGATCTTCTTGCAGTCCATGGGACTCTCAAGAGTCTCCTCCAGCACCATAATTCAAAAGCATCAATTCTTCGGCAATCAGCCTTCTTTATGGTCCAGCTCTCACTTCCATACATCACTACTGGGAAAACCATAGCTTTTACTATATGGACCTTTGTTGGCAAGGTGATGTCTCTACTTTTTAAGATGCTGTCTAGGTTTGTCATTGAGATGCTGTCTAGGTTTGTCATTGATCATAATAAATCATAATAAAATGTAAAAATAAAGATAAAAAAATATTCTCAATAACAGCAACAACTCTCCTCCCAGTAATGCCCCCCCAAACAATACCGCAACCCAATAGTATTTTCAGAATCCTTTGTTTTTGTAGCCATGGTCAGTCAGGGCCCCACTCTCCCAAGCCAGGCGGAAAAAGGCCAGCAAGTCAGAGGGAGCAGGTCTTCCAGGACTCACAGCAAAGATGATCAATCCCAAATAATGACAGGGCTTCCTGGTCTATAGGGAGGGAGCCTTTGGTTGTTCAAGGTTATGACAAACTTGGTATCAGAACTGCAAGAAAAGCAAAGTTAACTGCATGGGTTACATATTTATACTGAGGCATACACATCATTTTACGGACCAGGCTTTTTCTAAATACCCAACTGTATTGGCAGCATTACTACCACAAACAGCAGATAGTCTGAAACCTAGATCATGTTGTTTCACTTTCTCCCATGCTTATTATGGCTACTTTTTGAACCCCCTGTTTCTGCTGCTCTCCTTTCAAGGCAGAATCCAGCCAGGAGTTTGCTCCAGAGACTGTCTCAGGTGACCTTGATATTCCTGAAGCTGTTGGTTCCTACCCTTCAGAGCCAATGCTTTGCTCTGAAGCTACAGACGGGCAAGTGCCGCACTCACTTCAGACCCTCTACCACGCTGCAGAGTGTACCAGTGCCAACGATGCCTTGATTGTTTTGATACACCTTATCATGATGGAGACGGGTTACATACCTCAAGTAAGCAAAAAAAGTGAAAGATCAGCTTCCTCTGAAACTCAATGGGGAGGGGAGGATAGTAATGTTACACTGTGCTAGTTGATCCTGGTGGCTTCATTTCCTCTCCTATCTACTGATTAACAGAGGCCACGTTCTCTTGTCCCCACAGTATACCAACTCAGGTTCAAGCCATAGTTTGTGACTGATGTGTGAGGAACCATGGCTTGCATTAGATGTGTCTGTAATGTGAGGAAATACACTTTCATGAGGATGACTCCTAATTTACAAACTTGTGTTTTCAGGGAGCTAGCTTGAAGTCTACACTGGGGGCCCTGTGTGCTTGCATATTAAAGAGATTTTTGTGGATTTTCTTTTGGGCTGAAGATAACTTGCAGGTTATAATTGAGGTTGTAAGGCAGAAAGCATGTGAATATAAGCTTGTGGGTGGAGAGAAAGTGTCTAAAGGGATTTTTGGTTAAGAGCTCTGCCTTCATTAAGCAAAGATTATTGGAACTGGAAAAGTTTTTTTTTATTCCCTGTCCCCATATTTTACTCCTTTCCATCTAGAAAGCTTGGGGTGGGCAGCACTTCTTTAAAGTAAAGTAATATCCCCTGAAAAATGTAAAATTATTAACATTTTATTAAAAATATCCTTCCTACATGCAGAATCTTTGAATTTTATTTTAAATGTCTTATTTTTTGTATTTGATGCTAGTTGTCTTGGACATAGTTGATGGATGTATAAATATTTATAGTAAACTATGAAATCAAGCCCATGTACCATCACAACAAGTATTATAAACTCTGTACAGTCCCCACATAAGAAACCAAATTGAGAAGTTTCAAAACATCTGTAAAGTAGGTTAAACACAAAATATACTGGGTTTGATTTGATGGAGCCTACTGGATTTTTTTGGTATGATGGTTTTAATTTGCATTCAGTTCAATGTCTTCAATTTTAAAAAAATGTTCTTTGAAAGCCCCCACCCCCAAATATTTGCTTGACAGTCACATGAGAAATCCTTAAAAAAGGTTTTTTCAGGCTAAATCAACATGCGAGACGGTTAGACTTATGTAAGACCATTGGAATTGGTGGATTTAGATGTGTCTTGCTGTCTGGCTAAATTTAGGCCCTCAGAAGGTCTGCTCCCTACCTGAGTCCCATCTGTTCCAGCCCAGCTTGGATTGTACAGTACAAGACAGGGCAGTATAAATTGTACTGCTGTGATATCCTGACCCCTGCAGTGTCAACTACAAACATTGCAGAATTCAAACGTTCAGAATAAAAGTCTGGTCAGCCTAGTCAGTTTCTAGTTTTATGGAAATATCACTTTTCAGGAAGAGAGGAGGGTGGGGACTGTCACAGTAACTGGTTTCCCCCCCTCCATTTCCAGGGGACGGAAGCAAAGGCAACATCAATGCCTGAGAACTGGAGAAGCAAAGGTGTTTATAAGCTGCAGTATACCCACCCCCTCTGTGAAAATGGCTTTGCTGCACTTACTTGTGTGACTTTGGGGAACCTTATTGTTGTCAATGGTAAGAGTGTTTTTGAAAATACTCTGGTTGAAAGCTACCTTGTGACTATTGCTCTTTGCCTCTCAAGTTTCTTCCAATGCTAGCAGAAGCCTGAAATGAGCTTCTATTGAGTCTGAATATTTTCTGCTATGGCATCAGCACCTGTGGGCTATCAAGCACAACCAAGGTGCTTTTCTGTATTGAAATACAGGACATCATAAATAAATGTCAATGTAACTTTACCTCTGGGATGGAAATTGGATATTTTTATTAAGATATGTGACTCACTTCTGAGCTAGTGAATACTCATTGGTATAGTAATGCAACTATTCAGTATAATTCTATAATAGAAAAGCTGACTTGTACAGATGCTGCTGACTATGTCCATTTCTGCTGGCACTAAGTGCTTCTAGCAAGTGCCTCTTTTACAGTAATTTGTTTGGTGTAAACTAAAATAACCAGTTAAGCATAAATAAGTTATCAAATCATCCCCACAACAGAAAATGAAGCTGGGCTGGATCCTCAACACTTGTTCCAGTACGTAACAGAGCCTCTGCTTCCCAATAAATCAAATCGTTTTCCTGTTTCCTTTCCTTTTACCATTTTAGTAATCTTGATTATACATGCCATATTCCAAAATCTCAAACTATTCATCAACAGATTAATAAATGTAAAATTTCAGTGTCATTGAATTCCAATGAACCTTTAACATAAGCAGATAGAGCAAAGATTGGATTCAGAACAAGGTTTTCTTTGGCAACTAAATATTGATTCTTATTTTGCGGATGATTCCCCACCCCCCATTATGTTTTCTCATTGTCCTCTTTGTCTCTTGCAGTAATGTTAAAGATTGCTGATGACATCAAAAGTGTGAAGAGGGTGCAGCTTCTGCCAACATCATTCATTTGTTTTGAGAACTCGGGTACTTTTTATATATAACTTTTCAATACATAATTTAATGTGCTCCTGACTTTCAGGTGGTCAGTCTTGGTCTTCAGTGAAATTAAGCATTAATGGGCTTGGGCAAATTTGACAGATGAGTAGGGAATGCCAGCTGAAGCAGGGCAGCAGATGCCTTCCAAGTTTGTAACTGTGTTGTCTTTTCACAGTTTGCTGAAACTGTGTTTGAGATTCCAAAAGACCTTGTAGACTCCAGGCAGATTTTGAGGTCCCTGAAAGATGATACCACAAAGAAAAAGATAATTGGCTGCCAGTTGTGCAGAAAAGATTCCTTGTGTGTTGCAAGCACGGGGAACTGGCAACTGCTTGCCACAAAACCTTTCTGAGCATGCAGTGGAATATAATCCTTTATTAATGATGTCATCCACTATAATTTTCAAGTTAGTCAAGAAATGGCAAGATGTCTGTAGCAGGCAGTGGATGCTCTGGTTGCGAACATGGTCCGTGCGGGATGCACGTTTGCAACCTGCAGCGTTCGCAACCCGCAGCAGCGTTTCTGCGCACGCGCGGGTTGCGATTTAGCGCTTCTGTGCATGCGCAACCCCCATAACCTGAAAGTAACCCGTTCCAGTACTTCTGGGTTTAGGCGGGTTCGTAACCCGAAAAGACACAACCTGAAGCGTCTGTAACCTGAGGTATGACTGTAGTTCTGTAGGTATATGTGTAAACACCACTTTACAGGCCTTGCTCCTGACATCCATGAGTCTGCAGATAGACCATGAAAATACACATAGGCTTCTGTATATATGCTCTGTATCTTTCCATCTATCCAGGACACAAACGGGAAATCTTGTACTCGTGGCTATGTAGAGACGTAGTCTGTGAAAAGGTGGAGGTTAGGGCTGGAGTGGGTGGTGCAGTGCTGATCTTCCTCTCCCGTCCCACCCTCTGCTACACATTTCTGGAAGGCTGAACTCTGAGCATAACTGGTGTCAATCTAGAAGTCTTCAAGTCTGCCTGCTAGCTTAGTTTAGTCTTGTGTAATGACGGACATTTGGCCAGCAGAGGGAGTTGCAGCATTGAAACTATGGCAGTGTTTTCACATAGGGCTTCATATAACTAGCTCTTGTCTTAAAATACTTAAAAGACCCCCTCAATGTTTATTATTTTATAGAACTGCTGTAATGGGCTATAGCCAGTGAAGTCATCCTATTAGCACAAGGGCTTCTGTCTGTGGATCAGAGCTGCTGCTTCTTCCTGCATGCCTCTGCACTCCCAGATTTGTTCTGGGAGTTCGCCCAACCCTCTGGAACAGATTTGGGAGGAGCAGAGGCCTCATAAAGATAGGGAGAGGAATCCTGTTGTGCAAGCGGAAGTCATTGCACTGATGGGACGCCTTCATTGCATACAACTCCATATATTCTACCCTCCCCTCCAATGGCAGGGACTACCTTGAATTTGTAGTCAAAGCAGACTCTTTTCACCTAGATGCGCTACTGCAGGGGTAGCTAATGTTAGCCAACAATATATGGGGAGCGCTAACTCCCACCACCCCCAGCCAGCATGGTCAGTGGTCAGGAGTGATGGGAGTTGTAGTCCAGCAACATCTGAAGGGTACCTTGCTCTATAATCATTCAACCTTGCGAATAAGGCCATAAAGACTACTGGCCTACACAAAACTTTACAGTCCCAGAGAAACATACTGTATTTTTCTGTGTATAACATGCCCCCATGTAGAAGACGCCCCCTGTTTTTGTGGACTCAAAATTACAAAAATGGGGGGAGATTGTGTGGGTGTATAAGATGACTCTCAATTTTAAACATACTTTTTAAAGAAAAAAACCTAGTCTTATACACGGAAAAAATACGGTAATTGTTGTGGTATATCACATTTGGAATAAGATCAGCTCCTTTTCTGCTTAATTGCTTAAAGGTGACATTTGCTGTAGAAAATAGGGTGAGTGGGAATTTGCAAACCTATGATGTCCAAACTTTTTTTTTTAAGCGAATGTTGCCGGAATATATAAGGATCTTCAGAAGCTATCACGTCTCTTTAAAGATCGGCTGGTGTACCCCCTTCTGGCTTTTACCCGGCAAGGTAAGAAAAGCACTGAAGGAAGCATATTGTGTATCCTTTGTGAAAACAGTGCTTTGTCATAGTGGCTAAAGAATATATTAAGAGTGCAGTGCCAATTCTCTTTCTCTGACTTCTCCATTAGTTTCCATGTTGCTTTTGGTTATTAAGTGCATAGACCCACCAGCTTGGAACTCACCACTGAGACGCATTGCATACTTCTGGTATGCTAAACTGTCTTTGCCTACAGACTCTGTAGCCTTGTATCTGTGTTCATGGGCATGTGAGTGTGTGAATCCTTGGCTTCTAAGGTCTGATGCTCCTGCTTAGGATTCACCCCATCCTCTAATCTCAAGTGATCAAGATGGGTCCCAGCACTGGAAGGATCCAGTTCCTACGGGTGATTGGGTAGCCAGCCTCCAGTGTCAGATTGCTTTCCAATATTCATAAATCAATATATTTCTACCCGTCAAGTATAGTCATGGTTGCAGTGAATGACTTACAAAATTGAATAAGTACCTATTGCTAATTTGGGAAATGTTAATAAAATAGATAAAAATCTGAAACTGCCTTTTGAAGTCTGAAAGAGATTCATGTTTCATTTAAGGGGCAAAGACCTCTTCTGTTGAGCCAGCTGGAGAGTCTGTTTCCTCTGTGGCTTGAGAATATAGAAAGCTATAAAAGGCTGGCTTTGATCTGTATGGGTTCTCTCCCCCCACCATCCCTGGACTGTTGAAAAACTATAGAATGCAGCATATTGAGCAGAGCTAATGTCATGTTGTAGTTGCCTGAGATTTAGGTTCCCAGACCTGGGATGTGGCGCTTGTTCAGTGTGTATATTTCTGAGGCCATAGAGGAGTTTGGTGGTTAGGACCAAATTAGATGTGATGTTTGGTGTTGCACAGGTGATTTAATTGCAAACCCACCCCCCCCAAATGGTGGCCAGTTTGTGTGTGTATGTAGGGGCATAGAGAGAAGAGATGGGCTCTAGCCTTTTGCTTCTGCCATAGTCCTGGTTGGAACTGGAGCCCCTGCCCCAGCCACACATACTATTCCCACAATGGAATTTCCAGTTGTGGCAGAGTGTAAAGCTTCCCTCCCATTCAACTGCCTGTCTGCCTCAGCAGCCCTTCCTTTCAGGTCGGCAACATGGTTTCACATATACAGTGCCAAACTTCAGGCCAAATGTCTCACCTGGTTTGTCCCATAGCGGACAACCATTCACACTGCCCATTTTTCCCAGAGAAGCTTGGTCTCTTTAATATTAGCCGACCATATGATTACAATGGGAATAGCTGAGAGGTAGAATTATTTTGCTTAAGTGCCACGCCTCCCCCACCCCCCTGCACACCTATTTTCTGAAAGTGTGTGTGAGATATGCCTTAGTGAACTTCCTTGGCCCAGGCTGTTAGCTGGACCTGATACAGAAACAACCCATAGCTTGCCCTGTGATCCTTCACTCCCTTTGGAGCATCAGTCTTTGCCTTAGAAATTTAGGTGTCGCTTGTGGTGGCAGAGCTTGTAAGTCACTTGGACAAATTCCTGACCTCTCTGTTTTGAACTCTAGCCACTAGTAGCATTGAACATGTATAGCCAACCATTGGAGACCCCCCATAGAGGACCAACCAAACACTTCTAATAATAAATCAGACTGTTGGTCTGCCTTTCCCAGTTGTAACCATCCTGAAAGGGTCTTGGAGAGACAGTTTTCCTAGTATTTCTGTTAAGGATATTCTACTGATGATATTAGGGATTGAAACTGAGATCCTCCCCATGCAAAATCATGTATTTTACTGGCACGTCACCAGACACATCAGTGATGGAGCCTAAAGGATGGGCATTAGATGTAGGCTGAATATATTACAGCGGTACCTCGGTTTAAGAACAGTCCGGTTTATGAACGATTCTGTTTACAAACTCCGCAAAACCGGAAATAGTGTCCTGGTTTGAGAACGTTACCTCAGTCTAAGAATGGAATCTGAACGATGGAAGGGCACTGGCGTCGGGAGGCCTCATTAGGTTAAGCATGCCTCGGTTTAAGAACTGTTTTAGTTTAAGAATGGACTTCTGGAACGGATTCAGTTCATAAACCGAGGCACCATTGTACTCTGCTTATATTTCATTTGAACTGGTGGTGCTTTACTGTACCGGCTTGTATTAAGTAGTGGCTTTATTGTCTCTCAAGCACTGTCATCATTTAAAAAATGAGGCCTGTCAACCATTTTGTAGACCATTACTAAGTCATAAAAGAGGGCATGGTACTGTATTGTTCATTCCCTTGATAAACAATTATTTTCATTTTGAGGTTTTTGTTCTGAAAGCCACTGTTTTCTAGCTGCATTTTAACAGCAAGCCTTGTATCTGACAGCAGTTTGTGATTGTATAAACCATATTATAATAAACTATATTTTATTACAACAGCACTGTGGATAATGCCATTATCTCCACCCCCATTCTGTCTTAACTAGCTTTGAACCTCCCAGATGTGTTTGGCTTGGTGGTTCTTCCACTGGAACTGAAACTAAGGATTCTCCGACTCCTGGATTTCCGCTCACTTTTATCTTTGTCTGCTGTTTGCCATGACCTCTATGCTGCTTCAAATGATCAACTGCTGTGGAGATTTGTGTACCTGCGGGATTTTAGAGGTGAATTCCTACTCACTTCCTCTTATGATGCTTTGAGGTGAAATGGCAGGCTTGATCCCAAACCTAGTTGTATTAAGTGGAGAGCACCTGGCAAATGTATCTATAACTATTCAAGGAATAGTTAACTGGATAAAAGGGTGCACCCACCAGAGAGACTTGTGGTATTGTATCTGCAGGAAGGTTTTTAATTTTTTAAAAAAAAGTAATATAAAACACAGTACCAACTTCCTGAATTAACTGGAGTATGTTTTCTGCGGTACAGAAATGTCTTATGGGATTGCTGTATTAGAAACTGATTTCTAATTTGTGATTTCTGCTTAGATTCTGTTACCAGGCCCCGAGATACAGACTGGAAGGAAGTGAGTGACTCTCTTGATTTAAAAAAAATTCTAATACAGTGGTGTCTCTGGTTATGAACTTAATTAGTTCCAGAGGTCTGTTCTTAACTTGAAACCATCCTTAACCTGAGGTACCACTTTAGCTGTCCCTGCGCCACCAGCATGCGATTTCTGTTCTCATCCTGAGGTAAAGTTCCTAACCTGAGGTACTACTTACGGGTTAGCAGAGTCTGTAACCCGAAGTGTGTGTAAGCCGAGGTACCACTGTACATGTTTTTAAGAATAGGCATAGGCTTGGCTTCTAAGCTAAATAAAAGTGCAATTAGTACAGGATACAAACTTGTACTTGAATACTCAGTTGATGCCAACCTGTATAATTCTGTGGAATCTGAGTCCTACAATCTCTGGTCTCCTTTTTTGGGGGTGGGGGAATTTTATTTAAAGAAAAGAAAGGGAGGCCAGCCTAGTTGGACATCTTCCTCTAAACTAGGAAGTTGTTCAGAACACCCTTTGATTTGGGGGCAGTTGTGTTGGGGAGTGTGATACTTTGAATAATGTTTGGACTTAAATGCATATTGTATTTATCATTATAGGTAGGGTTAAGCCTTTTTCATTTGTTTTTTCCACAGCTCTACAAGAAAAAATGGAAGCAGAAGAAGGAAGCCCTGATGTGGCGACACATGATGTTTCTACCCCCTCTCCTTCCTGTGCCACTTCATCCTAACTCGATATATCCCAATCCTTTCCTTCCCAATCCTCTTTATCCCCCAATGATCATTGGTGGTGAACATGATGAAAGGCCATCAGCTCCATATCTTGCAGACCCGATCCACTCCCTCTTTTCTGGAGCTAGGGAGCTTCCTCAGCTTTCTCCCTTAGATCCATTCCTTACTTTCAGGCAACACATTGATTCACTTCCAGATCCTTGCCCCACACTCCGAGGAAGAGGCAGTCGGGTCCGTCCGATTGATAACCGCCGTGCATTCATATGACTGCAGCTTGGTTTTTAGGGCTTTAAACATACCTGCTCATGGGTTTGCGTTCACACCGTAGGATATTTCAGCTACAGGGTTCAGGTGTCTGGTTGTTGTTGTTTTTAATTATGGCAGTGCATATATACTATGAGATCTTGATTCTGGGGGTTTGGGCTCAACACCATGCAAATGACCAGTGCTGCCTCCCTTGGAACTGGAGAAACTTTTCTGAAAGAACTTTGTGGAAAACTATAATTCTTTTTGTTACCATCTGCAAACTGCTTCTTAGAAAGCAAAAGGTGGTTGGCTTTAGCTACATCAGATAAAGAGCACTTTAAACACAAAGCATTATGTTGGTCTGGACTGTCTTTTTCTTTAAATAGGTCTATTAAATGAATGTGGTTGCGATTTTCCCTGAATAGCTGGCCTGATTAGATTTATTTTCCATGAGAGAACTTCCTGTTCTATGTAACATCTGACATATGGAAAGCCCATGGCCCCCAAAATGTATCTGATTTGATTCGCTTTCAGATACCACCTGTTGCGATGTCTTTTTCTCTTTTTTATTACTTGAAAAGCAAACTTGGTGTTCAGGACTTCAATGCACAAACAATACAAGGTAAAAATGTTTTTTTGTTTACACTTGAAAGAATAAAACATTGAACAGTTTCAACTACAGACAGTTGAATAACATCATGCTACAATGCAACCCAGAAACTAACCATGAGTAAGAAAGAATGCCAAAAACTGACAATAAGACATTGCCTTTGTGCCTTGAATGATTCTTCTACCAGGAAAGAACATTTAAGGGCATTATAAAATAAGATGACAGAACTGACTCTGTACAATCAAATATGGTGAGCATTGTGTGGCTTGTACTAGAGGTGAATGAGCCCAAGACTTATTTTCACCAATTGTAAGCAAGGGATATTTGCAAAAATACTTAGTTGTGGCTTGTTCCATATGTTTGCATACACAACTGACAGGAAGTAAAAGATGTAACTATCCATAGAGCCAGTCAACCTGATTTGTGTTCAAAGAATCCAAGAGTAAAGAGGGGGTATGGCTGGAGAAAAGGATTGGCTGGTAAGGGGGAATTAATTACAGGTGATTGGTTTTTCTTAATCTAATGTTTTCAGCTGATTCAGATGCACTGATTAATAAGCCAGTTTACTGTAAAGTCCCAAGTTTCTTTTGTTTGATTGGGTTTAAATAAGGCTTCACATAATGCTGTGTGAGAGAAAGAAAGCATAATTTTTTTTTACTGATTGCAGCTTTAGATACACATCCCTGAATGGTATGATTTCTGGGTGTGTATAGAATGTGTACTCTGTTAAGAAAGAGGTTTCTAGTTTAGTTGTATTGCTTTTCACTTCACTAAGCTTGCTCAAGCAATCGCCCAATTAAGGTTTAGGGATGTCACAGTATTTCCAAGCATGCTGTGTTAAAGGTTAGAAGTGGCTCTTGATACTTGTACAGCTTTGGTGAGGCAGAGTGCTACTGGGTTGTTAAACTTGTGAGCACAAATTTAAACTTAATTTTAGCTTATAATGGGGTAAAGTGCCATAAGCAACTTAAAATGTTTTCAGTTGAGAACATGCCCAAACCAGTGCTTAAATATAGCAGTATAGTTCTGATGTGCTACCAAACAACAAGTGCCTTCTAGTTACACTTCTAAGTCTCTTCTGGTACTGTATAGTGGCAGGTTTCCACCAGGCCCACCTGCAGCTCCATACACTGGGTATAGATAAAATAGGAGGGCTTTCTCCTAAGCAATACTATTGCACTGGTGTAGTTTGCCCCCCTTTTTTTTTTGATAAGGTGGCCTATTGGTGGGAGGCGTAATTTATCATTTCTATAGCAGCCCTTTCTGCACTGAATAATATGTGAATTATTGTATTGTTTTGAGGTAGGTTAAAATGCAGTAATTTGCTTGCAATGGATCTTAACACTCCCATGTAGCGGTGCAGGAAAAGCCCCGCGCTAGCTATCTCCAGAGGACAAGACTGTTCTGATTTTGGCTTCTGTATTCATAAAATTTTCAAGGTCAAAAGGTCCAAGCAGCTCAGTCAAGGGATAGAATAGTCCAGAGTTATATTGCTGTCCTTCATGACATTGCAAAGTTGGAGTTAAACATGGCTTTGTTGGAAAGACGTTTTGAAGAAAATAAAAGCCTTTGAGATCAGGCCATTATGAACATTGAGCCCAGCATAACATGGGTTAGTGCTGTGCCTGATGAGACAACACAAAACCTTCCTTTATAAACAGCAAGTTTCTGGATCGTAGCCATTCGTATTTCCAAATGCTGAATTATTCTTCAAAGTCTCAATGCAATCCAGATTGCTGCTAAAATTAAAATGCTTGTGATGTCTGTTGCTTTGTTTAGTGTTTCCCCAATGTAATGTGATGCACCATATGGCAGACTTTGCAGAGTGCATGAGAAGTAGCACCAGGACTGAGATCTGTGGGCTTGGCTCTTAGTAATGGTTTGCAGGAGAATTGCATATTCAGCTTGTTTTAAAACTGAGTGAGCCACACATTAGGATTAGTAAGCTGGGTGCATGGTGTGACTTCATGCAACTTCAATCTAATTTAGAGTGCTGAAATGGGAAGTGATCTACTTCATGATAGCCACATCATAGAACTCAGTTGTTGTAGTTACAGGAATGACTATTCCAGGTGTGGTTCAAAGATTTCCAATTGCTCCCTATCTTAAAACACATTATGACTGTTTTACATTGCAGTGAACTGGAAATGGACTTTAAATTACAGCTGTAAGCAAGCAAAGACTTGCATATTTTTCCCCACCTGTGGATGGTCCACTAACATGAAATTGCATTTAGGGATTTTAACTCATTCCCTGGGATCCATCCAAAGAAGCTGTCTGTTCTAGCTCCAATTTGAGAAGCTTGCAATGCTAATATGCTATGTCCCCGTATGTGTTGGATCTCCCATCCAAAGGTTTGACAGCCATTAAATTACAGATGGCTGTCAAACACTTTAGCAGGGCCCTGAAAATTGCTCTGCCTCTTTTTATTAATGTGTTTGGGACATGGTTAACACTTCTGTAAAGTTTGTTTTTTTAAAAATCTGCCAGCCAAGAAGAGTTCACTTCCGTGTCAAAATAAGCTTGCTTTGCAATAATATATAAAAATGATACACTGAAAAGTTTTCGCTTTTGGGCATGGAGTGATGGTTCTGGTTCCATTGGGGTTTATGTAGGAAAGCCTGTTGCATAGCAGAGGTTCTTTAAAAAATAAATAGTGCTGTGATCCTTCAAACTGATTAAACTAAAACACTGATGCTTAAGGTGCTGTGAAAAGGACACCCAGAAAGACAGCTTCAAGGGATTCTGTTTGCAGAATCTGAACTTGTGTGCACACACAGCGCCATTCGTAAGGTGAATGAACAGCAGTTCACCCCCACCTGCCACAGGCTCTCATCCATCCATATGTCTGCTGGGAAACCTGTGGCCGAAGGTCCATGTTCAGACCTTGGCCTAAATGTGGAGGCTAAGGGGTAGGAGTAGGGGGAGGAATCAGCAAAAAGGGTGGCAAAGAAAAGGACAGCAGTGCCATTATTAATACTGCCTCCAATAGAATGTGGCTCTTGATGAAAAAAATGTTCCTCACCCCTGGCTTAAATAGCAGTTTTAGAAGTTTGAAGAACTTCACATGTACTGCAAGATATGTAGACTTCACTCCTCAAACCTGAGGTAGGGAGTAAAGAATGTGCATAGCAGGCCTTTGTTCTGATGTTATAGGGAATGGATGCAGGCGGGAGGGGGGCCTGGAGCATGGGTGGGTGCACAAGATCCCCCCCCTTTTTTTGCTGTGCATGTGAATAGGTTTTACAAGAAACTACTCTAGATGCTCCTGGGCAAGTTCAAGGTAAACACAGAAAAAAATGAATCCGCAAAAGTAACTCTCCCCCCCCGCCCCCACCCACAATTGCTCTCACTTGATGTGCAGAGATTAATCGGAAAAGAGGCTAGCAAAGGACTTCCTCAGGTTGCGGATGGTTTCAGCTTTTGCCTCGTCTTCATTGGCTATTCCCCGCTGTGAGGATTCTGAGAGGCTGAAAGTGTTTGTCAGGGACTGTGACTTGCTGAAAGAGAATTGGGGGGGGGGGGTTAAAGAGAAGAATGAAGATACGGCCAATTCTCTCACAAGGGCAAACAGGAGAGGGCTGAAAGCTAGACATTTAGGCAGCTATGGAGGCTTCAGGGCCCAGCAGGCTTCACTTTCAACCCTTGCCCTTCTGCTGCTGAAAATAACAGCAGAAGCTACCATTGCCTGCTACTCCTGAGTGTTACACTAAAGCATCCAATCTTGTAATAGACATGGGCAGTGTGTGCAAAGGGCAGGAACTTCATCTGTCAAATTTTGCTCTCAGTTTCTTATTTCCCCAATCTTTAAATACAGTTCTACACATTTCTGCAGCAAGATGAGATTATTATTAAAATCCTCAAGAGAACAAGCACATTTGTATGCAGTTTGCATTTTTGCAAGCAATGTTCCCTAATAGGCATGATTGTAGGCTATTTTCACAAATGCATGCATTTTTAGGAACACTTTGCCCTAGAACAGCGGTTTTCAACCAGGGAGCCGTGGAACGATTGTCAGGGCGGCCATGGGCAGCACCAGCCTCCATTCTTCTCTCCTGCGTGCCCAGAGAGCAGCTCAGAAGTGTGAGTGAGCTAACAGGCAGACAGGCAGTGTGAGTGGTGTCGTTTCCCTGGGCAAAATCCTGCCTGTTCGTCGATGGCGAGTGGGTTGACTTCCTCTCCTTTCCTTTCCCCCTCCACCCTCCCTCCTCCCAGCAGGCAGTAGGAGCAGCTGCAAAAGCCATGAGCCCTTCCCACTATCCCCCACGACTCCCCCCTGAAGCCCAAGCAACCTGCCCCAGGTTAGTTGGGTAACAATGGCCACACTTCCCACCCTGCAACTCTGCTCCTGTTTTGCCCAGGCTGCTTGCTCTGCAATTTAGAAAAGTGCAAATTTTGAGGTCTCTCTGTGTTTTGGAAAGTTTCAGTTAGGGAAGTTTGCCTTTAAATGTGAACTATCCCTACAGAGTGGTCATAAAGATTGGGTTCCTCTTCCTTAGCGCTGTACTATTAGGTACACCACTGAGCTTTTCGTATCCCTTGCAACAATCCTTGTGCGTCTTGGTCTGCCTGTGCACAAAAATGCGTCCGCTCCTGCCACAGGTGGGCAGATGTACATTGACTAAGAAGCTGCCGCTGCCACCTGCTGTCTCCCTCTTTCTGCAGTGTACAAACACTGTACGTGGAAGTGGAGGAAGGGCTCCTAAAAGCAGCTGTGTGATTTATCCAAAGTACAGAATCATATTTCTGTCATATGGAGCAGCCACAGCCTTGTGAATATGTTTGGTAAATTTGGAAAGGGGAAGATGAGAGTTCTTTGCTGGCTAAGCTTCCTCTTAATGGACCTTTTGCAGTTTGTGTTGGGGGCTTTTTAGCGTTACAGTGCCAGAATCTTGTTAGCAAGCTGGGTGAAGGAACTGGCACAACAATGGTGGAGGCAGTAGTGGGTTTCAACTCCTCACAAATGTCCCCTTTATGGAACTGATAGTTGGGTTTGAGGATTAAACTATTGCCACTTGAGAGAGAGGGTTGTTGCCTTCACTACTCAGTTGCACGAGTCCCTCAGGGCTTTCTGACCCCTTCTCTACACCTTGTTTGGACTCGCTCTCATACTGATCTGAGCGCACCACTCCGATAGTCATGTTAAGTATATTCACTGTAAAAGGCACCTACTTTAGATGAGGATGAGGAGGAGCCTGCTGCCTGGCTGGTTCGCCAGAGCCTTGCTGGCTGGGAGCCCGTCCTTGGGCTGGAGGTCTAGGCTGCTGTGGGGGGAAGGTGCCTGGTTTGGAAGGCTGGCTTGGTGAGCTTCCGGCGGATGATCTAGTTAGCTGGGGAGATCCAGGAGACCTCTGTTGCTGTGGTGAGGTGGACAGGGGGCTCAGAGGTTGCTGACCTTGGGGAGAGAGCCTTTGCTGGGGTGGAGTTCCCGTCCGGGCTGGCTGTGATCCCTGAGGCTGGCGTGGACCTCCTAAAGCAAAGAGGGACACTTAAATAAAACATCAAGTGCTATATGTTGGAAGCAAGAACAATCTCCCTTAAGGTAATAAGACTCCTTGCTGTTAGCATTACAGTCCTTCCTTCGGTACAGTTCCCCATTTGTCTGCAAAGGGCTCCCTGCTTTGCATCAAATTTCCTTTTCAAAATCTGAATATAGAATTCACATTCCTCGCAGACAGTACAAAAGACCAGACCAGACCAAACCCAGATCATGCGGAAACCAATCTCCAGATGCTGCAGTGTTCAATATCCACACTCCCCATCCCCTCCTTGCCTCCTTCAGGAATGTCATGCAAAATTATATTGGCCTGTTATCTTTTTTCTGCAACTTAACAATACAGAGCTCGCCTTAAAAAACTATTTATCATCCTTCTCTTTTCTAATCATTCCCACTAATAAAATATCTGTACCCTCCATTTTAGGTATCCGATCCTCGGCTCTTAAAATCCATCACTTTGGATTGTTTGTTTTTAATCATCAGTGTTGTTTAAGTCCTTTTTTCTGAAACAAAATACCATTTATGACATCAAAAGCTATTTTTGGTATTTGTTACTCTTTCTGCGAGTCTCTGATATTGAATCCAACTGATTCCAGAATATGTTGTCTAGGAATAAAGATCTTTTAAAAATCCTCTCCCCTCCCCTCCCCCCACCAAATAAAATTTGGTGCTTGGTTTGTGCTTTCCAGCTGTGATTCTTGCATTTCAGGGGGTTGGACTAGATGACCCTGGAGTCCCTTCTAACACTACCGTTCTAGGATTCTATACTTATAGCCCTGGAATTCCTTACTTTTATTCTGCATTCCTAGAGGACTACATTATATTCTCTTGCAGAACTTACAAGCAAGTAAAGTGTAGTATGACTAGTACCTTGAGGAGGTGGTCGGGGTTGGGAAAGTGGTCCAAGCTGGGGTCCTGCCTGAGTCTGCATCTGTGACTTCGGCTGGAGGTAAAAATTGTTTTTTAAAAATCAGGTTGTATAGGTGTGCAAATAAAAACATATACTCCAAAGACACTACATTCCTCAATGGCTATCGTTCCAAGGAAGCTGAACTCTGGATTGGTGTAGAAATCCTTAAATGCATGGAAACTGGGGTGCATGCTGCAATATGTTTCTCTAGACTTCATTCAGAAATGACCAGGGCTTTGTCACCTCAGGTGATGTCAGCTTTGACAGTGCCATAAAACACCTGTTTAGGTGGGATGGGACAGGCGATCCAGCCATTCAAAAGTGATGGTGCTGTGTATTTGAACTGCTTGAAGGAACATCCCCTGCAACCAGGTACTGTATTGGCCTGCACCTTTTTTTCCAAATTCTGATCGTGAAAAGTTCAGCTAATATTTGCAACCTTATGCCACTGTCAAAGCGGTGTGGCTCCCCCCAGCCCCCGAGAGCAACCTAGGAGTGTGGGGCAACTGTGCATGTCCCATCCACAACTCCCAAGCAGCCAAATTTTAAAGGTGTGGCTTAGTTGCAGGTGCAGCTTATAATCAGGCCAATACGGTAATTAGATGCAGGGATAATCCATCACCACAGATGTATGTAGTGCAGAGGTTGTGCAGGTAGTCTGCTTTCTTTGTTTAATTGGGATATGTGCCCCAGAACCTGTCAAGTAGGGTGTGCATTTGTAACACCCCTCCCCCCCGCTCCATGTGCTTCGGCAACTGTGCATAGAGATATAAATAGGAAAGGATCATTTCCAGCTGTTTCCACCACTTTTCTTGGCATATTTCCCTTTTATATTATGGGAAAGCATCCCATCCAAGTTAGGGGTAGGAGGTACTGCTTTGCAGTGGTTCCAGTCCTACTTGGATTAACATTTCCAGAGAGTGATGATTGGGGTGTGCTGTTTGGCCCCGTGGAGCCGTCAATGTGGAGTTCCTCAGCATTTGATTTTATCCCCCATGCTGTTTAACATCTCCGTGAAACCGCTGAGGGGGTTATCCAGAGGTTTGGAGTACATTGTCAGCAATATGCTGATGATACACAGCTCAGCTTCTCCTTTACATCTGCAGGGGCAGTGGCTGTGCTGAACCATTGCCTTGCTTCTAGTGGACTGGATGAGAACCAAGAAAACGGAGCTCAGTCCTGACAAGACTAAGGCACGGTTAGTGGGTGGTTCCCAAGATTGGATGGATGGGAGGTTGTCTGCTCTTGATGGGGTTACACTCCCTCTGAAGAAGAAGGTACATAGCTTGGGGGTCCTCCTGCTGTCGTTTGAGGCTTCCACAGCTTCAGCTGGTGGCCCAGTTGACCCCTATTACAGGCCTAATCACTGTTGTCTATGCTATGTTGTTTAGTTGTTCAGTCATGTCCGACTCTTCATGACCCCATGGACCAGAGCATGCCAGGCACTCCTGTCTTCCACTGCCTCCCACAGCTTGGTCAAACTCATGTTGGTAGCTTCGAGAACACTGTCCCACCATCTTGTCCTCTGTCATTGCCTTCTCCTTGTGCCCTCAATCTTTCCCAACATCAGGTTCTTTTCCAGGGAGTCTTCTCTTCTCGTGAGGTGGCCAAAGTATTGGAGTCTCAGCTTCAGGATCTGTCATTCCAGTGAGCACTCAGGGCTGATTTCCTTCAGAATGGAGAGGTCTGATCTTCTTGCAGTCCATGGGACTCTCAAGAGTCTCCTCCCGCACCATAATTCAAAAGCATCAATTCAGCGATTAGCCTTCTTTATGGTCTGTCTCTCACTTCCATACATCACTACTGGGAAAACCATAGTTTTAATTATACAGACCTTTGTTGGCAAGGTGATGTCCCTGCTTTTTAAGATGTTGTCTAGGTTTGTCATTGCTTTTCTCCCAAGAAGCAGGTGTCTTTAAATTTGGTGACTGCTGTCACCATCTGCAGTGATCGTGGAGCCCAAGAAAGTAAAATCTCTCACTGCCTCTTCCCCTTCTAAGTTCGATTGCTGCAACGTATAGGGCTGCCTCCGAAGACTGTTCAGAATTCAGCGTCCAGGTTGCTCGTGGGGGCAAGATGGTTTGAACATATTACACCAATCCTGACCCAAGTGCACTCGCTGCCAGTTAGTTTCCAGGCCCAATTCAAAGTGTTGGTTTTAACATATAAAGCCTTAAACGGCTCAGGACCACAATACCTCGAGGACCACTTCTCTCCATATGAACCTACCCAGACCCTGTGATCATCTGAGGTCCTTCTTTGCAAAATATAGTAGTAGTAGTAGTAGTAATGGAAAAATAGCATATGCAAATCAGTCAAAGTCTTCCAACATTCTTTGAATATATTGTAGGCAGAACTATATGTAGCTGTACCTTTTTGTTAGCAGGTAGAAGTGGGGTTCAAAGCTGTTCGGAAGGGAATTTCAGGGGACAAAGAGTTAATACAGGAGTAGGGAACTTTCTTCAGTGCTTGGGCTCATGTGTAACTTTCTAGGGTAGCAGAGCCAAAGACAAAAGTGGGTTGAGCATTGATTGTGACCTTTACCTCTGAACAGTTGGCGACATTCTAAGCACATCCAAGTCAGAGGTTTCTAGCCCCCCTTCCTTAATGCATCTCTCAATCTTTCATCCAGAGAATCAAAAAACATGGTTGCTATTCAAGGCTACATTTCAGCCAGGCAAAAAGGCCTCAGGAAAAGAGCAGAGCAGGACTGATGAGAGGACTGCATTGGACAGCTGAGGTGCTCAGCCCTAGGCTTAAGAGAAGCCACTCCTCACTAGTCTTCCCTTTCAAACTGCAGCCTACATGCAGAACTAACTACATGCAGGATTTATATGTTAGTATCACTAACCACTAAGTTATGGAGCATCATTTTGTTTTCTGATGTTATTGGGAAAAAAATCTGCATTTAGAAATATTTTTGGTCACTTGAGCTCTTGTTAGGACTGTGAGAAAATGCAGGCTTTGGGAGCAGACTGTCTGATCTTACCCAAGGCCGCAGAGGTGAAGGGGACGACCCCACACTCAGGCAGGCTTGCGTCATTCTGGAGATAACCAGGTCCACAATTAGCTGTCTGTCTTCCTCCACATGCTCCCCAATCAGAGGCATTGAGCTGTCCATCACCTGCACAAAGAGATGAAGTGAGTCCTTTTATATCAGTGGCAGCCAGATCCTCACCTTCAGACCACCTTTAGACACCTTTAGCTAATGGGGCAAATGCAGAACCCAAGAGTTGGGGAAATGTGGACAGATAAGATGCAGGGCCATCATTGCATAGCTTCATGATTGCCAGTTGGTAAGCATTCACTTAGGCATAGTGTTAGGCTTTTCAGCCTGTCTAAAAAAGGGGGGAGCAGCACATCGGGGAGCCATTGGAGCCCTGAGAATTAACCTGAATTAGCTTACCTGAGCCACAGGCAATTCTCTTGGGCAACCCCTCTGCCCACCTGTTATCTAACCTGGCAGCTTCTGGTTCCATGTGGAAATAGAAGCCTTATTTACATCTAATGGCACAGGCTGATTTGTGATCACTAGATGGGGCTATTGTACCCTGCAAACTTTGTACTCAAAGCAACATAATAATTGTTATTTAACTTATTTAGGGCTGCCATACTGGGATTTCAAAGGCGGAATCGATGCCCGGCAATGGGGGGGATTTCTGAAATGTGGCGCTTTGTCAATTGAAAAATTGCATTTTTACTTTTTGAAATATGGCAACCCTAATTATACTAACAGCAAATTTATTCTCTGTGTGTAGATCCTTACACAGTCAAAATGGCAACATCCACACACGAGGGAAGTTATCAGTAGTGGGGGACTCCAAGATTTGCAGAAGTAGAAAAATTAGAATAAAATAAAGGAAGGGGTGCTTCAAAAACAGCCCGATAGTTTGCTCAGTGGCCATGAAATACTGAGTGTTCATTGAGAAGTGGGTAGGTGGGGGGAGGAAAATGGGGTGCTGGTGGAATGGAATGGAGTATCCTAGAAAAGGACTTGCCTGGCACCCCAAACAGGAGCCCTCTATAGTCCACAGAATGGAGTAGGCAGCAACAGTGCTGTCCCCAATTGTGATTCCCAGCACATTTAGAAACATGTATACTTTAAATAGAAATTCAATGCATGTCACTATGGCAGGCTACCAGATTATGACCAGGTGGTGTTTATGCCTGCCTGCCTGCTTGGTCTAGGTGTCAGCTGCCGATGGGCAACTTCAAGGTCTGTCTTCTAAAGTTTCTTTCTCTTTAAACCAAATGTGAACTGGACAGCCCTTCAGACAGAGGACTGTCCTCTATAAAGTAGGGCACACTGATAGGCTGTGCCATTGCTGTGTATTTGAAACACCCACCAAAGGTGGGGCTATTTTGCTAGTGAACTCCAGTAGCGGTAATAATGTAAAGCAGGGATGGGCAGCCTGTGGCTGTTGCACTCCAACTCCCATCAGCCTCCCCAGCCAGTATGACTAATGGTAAGGGATGATGGGATGTGTAGTCCAGCAATGTCTGGAGGGCTACAGGCTCCCCACCCCTGAAGTAAAGGAAGCTACAGGTCCCTAATGAGAATGGAGGCAACTTTGGTTATTTCTGCCACATCAGCACAAGAGTTTTCTTTGTTGCCAGATATCAAATAAAACCTGACCTTACAATGCTGAGATAAACACGTGAAGCTAGACACAAAGCTGGCGTATACAAAGCAGAAACATTTTCCCTCCTTCCCTGAAAATAAGACTTCCATGTAACGGCTGAGACAAAACAGAGGCAGGCGTTTCATGTGGCTCCGGCCTTCACCACTGTGCAAGGTCAGCAGCTGTGTCCTGCTGCTACAGCTGCTCTCTCCTGATAAGGTATCTCAGAGGGAGAGGGAGGGAGATGGGCAAAGGATGGGGGAGGGAACCCATACCCCTTTCCCTAGCTATCTCCTCGACCTCTGTGTACTGTGGTGAGACACGAAGGCTAAACTTGTTGCCGTTCTCAGGAGTTAGGAAGAGCGGGGAGGTTGGCTGAGCGGAAGGAAGGAAAGAAAGCGCCAATTCCATCACATCAGAGGGATGGTGGGTTCATGCAATGGCAAAATGATAAGGGTTTACACACACAAAGCTCTTGGGAAGCCAGCAAAGTCCAAACAGTGGCAAGATGGGCAATTCTGGCTATTGGGGTTGCCAACTGATCAGAAAAAAGTCCCCCGGCCTTTTCATGTGCTTTGAACCTCAGTTTGGAACAGCCTTAGACTGGCTCCAAGCTCAGCATGGTTGACCCTGACTGGTAGTGGTTCCCTAAGGCTTTAGACCCAGTCCTACCCAGAGGCAGAATCCCTCTGCCTCCTCTTTTACTTTCTTCTCCCTTTTTTAAGACAATGATTATGATATTATTATACCATGTAGCAATTGGGGAAAACATCACTATTATGAAAATATGAAAGAAATAATTCTGAAGCCACGTTGTCCCCTACCCCAATTCATACTGAATTTTGTACCAGGGCACTAGTGGGACAGCTTTTTGTGGCCACCCTTGAAAGTGTCCCAGCAGCAACTGTGCCAGTAGCTGGTCTCGGATGATTTGCAAGAAAAGGAGAAACATCAGAGAAGGCTAAAGCAAACATATTTTCCTCTCCTGGCAGCACACTTGTCTCACACAACCTTTGACCTGCCACCGATTCCTACAGGATACTTGCGCAGCGCAAGAATGTGCCATCGCCACGGGGCTCATGTGGTTCTCATCAGCTTCCCCAAACTCAGTGGGTGGGAGAGTGCTCTCCCACGTACAGCTCTCTGGATGTGTCAGTGGCCCTGGATGTAGCTCTCAGCCGGCTTTGCTCATCTTCCTGCGTTGGTGGAGTTTACAGCAGGGCAGACACCGTGTCTCCGTTCCAGCATCCTCACACAGTAACCAAGGACACTTGCTCATTCTTCCGCACAGTCGCCTTGATGATCTCCTCCCCCCACTGAGCAGGTCTCCAATTTCAGCTTTGAGAAATTTCAACAATATATATAAAAAAAGATCTCTCTTTTTCAAATGCCCACCCCTTTCTCCAGTGGCCTGACCGACCCGACTCCCACAAGCAAGGACCCCCTTGGCACGGCAGGCCTCACTTCAAAAGGCTAGCTTTTCCAGCCATGGTTTGTCCCAGCTGGTGTGTGTTCCTGGGACACAGCAGTTCATTATTCATGCCACCCACAGACTCCTTTGGGAGTTCCTCTTTCATTTTAGTTACCATCTCAAATAAGTTGCACCTCCAGTTCAAGAGTTCAGAGGTTTCATTTCAGCAGGACAACAGGGGAGCAAAATTAACATATAGGGGCAAAGGCACCTGTTAATGGCCCCCACAAGCCTCCCTGAAGAGCCTTTAAAAATCATTTCATCTGTAGCCAATGCAGGTATCAAAAGATCAAGCAAAGACACACCATAAATCTTTGTTTTGACACCATTTTGCTCCTTTTGTGAATCATGTGCTGCTATCTTTTACAGCAGGTTTGGGGAGCATGTGGTCCTCCAAATGTGGCTGGACTACAATTCCCATCAGTTCCTGCCAGTGTCCAGAGCTAATGGGAGCTATAGTCTGACATCTGGAGGGCCACAGGTTGGCCATCTCTGTTTTACAGGCACCTGGTACTGCACAATGAAGTGGAAAGCTGTGCCTGCTGATTTCTACCTATCTGCTGATGTTAAACACACAGGAGCAGGCCAGAGTAATTTATTTGGCCAGGTGGCAATCAGTAATGCCGCCTGTCTTGCTGCTCTTTGGACTCAGCCAGCCTCCTGTGAGAGTTGTGCTACTGCTCTGTGTTTATCCTTTCTGCCATTCTACCCACTACTCCTTTGATGTGATTAATCAGCTCTTTCCTTCCTTCCTGCCAGCATCCTTGTTCAGTTGAAAATGGCAACAAGTTTAGCCTTGTCTTAACGCAGAAGTGGAGGAGACGGTGGGAGAAAAGGGATGGGGTTCTCTGTTCTCTTTTCCCCACTCTCAACTTTCTGATCACTGCAGGGCAGGCGAGGGACAACGATGACATGGACAGAGGTATTTCACATAGCTGGAAACATTATTTTAGAGGTGCTTGCTGAAAATATTACGCTTTCTTCAGGTCAACACAGAGCTTTTTCATTTAGTATTTCCATTCATGGCATTCCCCACTCCTAACTGATAGACATCTCAAGTTGCCTCATGTTCCTAAGAGGCTTGCATGGTCTTGAGAACATAAAAATCTAAGCACTACCTGGATGGGCCATGGCAAGGTCCCTCTAAGGTTCAAATATGTGTCCTGCAGAAGACACAACATATTATTGCTCCAGAGGGCAAGACTAGAACCATTGGAGGGAAATTTCCAGGAAGCAGATTTTGCCTAAACCTTAGAAGAAATTTCCTACAGCTTGTTTTACAGTGGTACAGACAGCCATGGTGAGCTTTCCTTTGCCGGAGGTATTTAACAGGATTGATGGCTATTAGGGATACTGTAGTTGTATCCCGCATTGGAGATCCTGCACTGAGCAGAGGGGTTGGACCTCAAAGATTCCTTCCTGATATATGATTCCTTGACAATTGAGTGTTCTGTTTCTCAAACACCTGGAGAGGACTTTCAAGTGGGGAGGGACATTTCCTGTTGTTTCTCCCCAGCATGTGGGTCTCCCCAAGGCAGAATGCCTCTGAACATGGAAGTTTCATTTTGCTATCACTGCTAATAGCATCTCAGGCCAGCTAATTTCTGAGAGATCTGCTAGTTACAGACCCAGAGATACATGGCTTGAGAACAGCCTGAAGTCATCTGAGATACCTATGAGTCTATGATCAAGCCATTTGTTCTGATTCAGCATTAAAGAGTGGGCTTTCCTGGGGAAAGCGGTGTGTGTGTGTGTGTGTGTGTGAGCACTCAGATACAGACAAGGAAAGTGCTGACCTGTGCCTAGAAAGCGCAGGGCAAAAGTTAAGTGTGGATAAGTCCATTGTCAGATATACTCTGTGTTTCTATTAAATGAATGTGCATTGAATATATGGAGCGTGGTTGAATAAATGAATGAGGGGCACTTGCCATGCACAGGAGTTTCTACATACATACATGCATGCCTTTGTGTGTGTCAAATAATGTAATATATACTTCGTTACACATCCTTTTTGAATGATGCTTACATGCCACTCATTCAACCTCTTACCTCAATTATATAATCTTTTCCATCCTTGCTGTGGACAGCTTTGACTGCGCAGATGTCAAGGCCTCCAAACATCTCTGCAACAGAATCTGCCCAGAGTCGATATCTGCAAAAACCACATATGATTGCTTGTAGAAACTGCAAAAAAAACCCCAAATAGCCCTCTCTTCAGAGATATCAGTTTTCTTAACTTCCAGCCAAGTATATAAACATCTTATGAGGCTTGGAATGCATGGCTGACCCCATAGATTAATTCTGCAGTTGATTTCCTAGGCATTAAAGTAATCACTTTTATGGCCACAGCCAACAGCTCTGCAACCTAGTGAGAGAGCAGGAAGCAATCCTGGGCAAACACAAAGAGAAATTGGCCTGTTTATTTGTCTAGAGTTGTTACTTATCTATTGTGATAATCAAAATGTCTTCTCTCAATATAGTGCTTCTGTTTGAAGGGCATGGTGTCTATGCAGCACTCAAAGCACACAATTAGTCCCCCAGCCAGTTAGCACCATAGTTGTTAAAACAAATGTGTTGTGTGCACAGGACTGTGAAAGTCTGTGGTCACATAGTGGGCCGGTCAGATTATTACTAGGAACACAAGAGCAGCCCTGCAGGATCAGACCAAAGGCTTATCTAGTTCAATATCCAGTTTCCCACAGTAGCCAAGCAGATTCCTATTGGAAGCTCACAAGCAGGATGTGAGGGCAAATGTCTCTTGCTGTTGTTCTCCAGTGCCTTGCATCTTGAGGCATGATGCTTCTAGTTCTGGATGCAGAACATAGCACCACAGCTATTAGCTGTGGGCAACCTTTTCTTCCGTGAAGTTGCCTAATTCTATTTTTTAAAGCCACATTATCTGGCAGTGAATTCCATAGTTTAACAATGCTAATGTGTGAGTACATTCTTACTCTTGCTTGTCCTGAATCTCCAACATTCAGCTCTTTATTGGCTAGCCCTCGGTTCTCATATTATAAGAGATGGAGAAAAATATCCCTCTTTTTCACTTTTCCCACACCTTGTGTAACTTTAATTGTGCACCCTCAGCAATTTGCCTGATCATTTTAGGTTGCCCTTTTCTGCACCTTTTCCAGCTCTACATTAACCTTTTTGAGAAGTCCTCTTTTGCATCTGGGTGCCTTAGCTGAGGCAGGAGGCATACCTCCGACAATTGCGGCTCATGTGTGATAGAGAGAGAAAGGAGGAGATCTCGATACCATTTCTGAATAATACCACCCTACCCACAATGCCGTTGCCATTGCATAATGAGGCAACAAAGCCCTTGGAGAAGGCAGAAAGAAAGGGGCCAGAGGTGATCATCTGAATACCTTTCTTGGCAGGGAAGTGGTGAAGTATAAATATATTCATACCGGTGAGCTAATTCTTTCCCACACTGGGTATGTATGAGGAGAGGGGTGCCAGGAATGGGCTGTTGACATTGAGGATTAACCCCATGAATCAGGCAGGTTCTCCATGCTAATACACAAGGCACTGCAAGGCCGGTGCAGCAGGGAGGACCGCATGAAACTGATGAGCAAAGGGTTTTGCACTGTTCATGCAAGGACTGATGAAGAGGGATTGGAGAGGCAGGATGGTGAATATTTCTTGGTTCAAAATCTGTATAAGTACAGATATGAAATTTGTTAGCTGGTCTCATTCAAGGCCTTAATGCAGGAGTGAGTGCGGATAACAAGGAGGCACTTCAGTGCAAACTGCAGCTTCTTTCTGTGGATGTGTACATAGGAATCGGCCCTGTATCATATCATATCATATCAAATCAAATCAAATCAAATCAAATCAAATCATTCCATCTACAGTAGCTCAATGCTCTTTGCACTAGTGGTACCCAATGTGGGCTACAGCTCCCATCATTCCTGTCCATTGGCCATGCTGGCTGGGCCCAATGGGAGTTGGAGGCCAATAACATTGGGAGGTCACTATTCATGACCTACGCTGACTGGCAGCCATCCTGTGGGGTTTTGCATGGTTCTCCAGCCCTGCTTGGAAATGATAGGGACTGAACCTGGTCTTCTGCATGCAAAGCACATCCTGTACCACTGAGCTTCAGCCCTTCCCCTGAGACGTATTGAAATATACAGTGTCAATTTACAAAGATCACATATGACTATCGTCATGTGGGTTGAACCCTGGAAGCTTTCTGTGTAGGAGTCTCATCATTATGCGACCTGAGTCTGAGAAAGAGCAGTTTAAGCTTATTGTGGCTGCCTCTTTTGGCTTTAAGATTAGGGATGGGGAACAGCCATCCCTCTTGTGCCCACCCCATCTGGGCAAAATAATGTTTAGCTGGGGGAAGCAGGCAGGTAGACTTCTGAGGTGGAAAGGCATGCACAGGTGCAATGCTCTATTTTTTCTGAGAGCCAATTGCTGCTCACCCCAGTCAAGAATGCAAAATGCAAACAGAACCTCCGTGCTACAGTGTATTTGGGATAATGGTTAATGAAGCCCAAGACCCAAGCCTATCAGATTGACCCAAATATTGCATTTTGGCTGCAGCCCCTCCTGCTCATTACCTCTCAGTCATGGCGATCTGTTCCAACATGGCAGAACCTGTGTTTGCTTTCCAGTTTCCAGAGATCGATGTCCTCCTGGGAAAAACAAACACACCACATGCGGACAATAAATTCCCCCAAACACTGTGATTTCCTCTCCATATTAAAGAAAGGAGGGTGGGAATGAGGGAGGGTGTTGGCAGGGAACCCTTCCTCAGTCCTGTGCTCCTCTTTGCTCTTAAGCCATTGCCGACGCCCTAGTCAATGTGTAACTCCATCTGGAGGCTGGGAAGTTCTCTCTGTGTGCTGGCATCCTCCTGCTTAGTTACATCTTCATCCAAATGCTGGCTGGGTAGTCTTATATTGGCCTTATGAACTCTCTTCTGGGTATGTCAGGCTTTGTACAGTAGAAGAGTCTGTGAAAAGCCTGCGGAATAATTAACCTCGTGCTCTGTAGTGTAGAATTTAAACGGCACAGGAGGCTCCATGCCAGAAGAGCTGAGAGAAAGCTTCCCACAGACATCAGTGGGCTTTAGAGCTGGTTGTGAAAAGGGGGTGATGTGAAACTCTAAAGAAAAGGGAAACACTGGCTTTCATTGAGCCTGCTTTCCATTGTAATGACAGCCTGCTGGAAATGCAGCTATCTCTGCCACCATAAAAGTCAATGGTTCTAAAAGCCACCCACCAGCTTCTCCCGGTGACTTCTCAAGAGTTATTAAAGGGCACGAGTCTCCTTTCTCCTAACTAGCTGTTGATGTCTGCTCATGCTGCTTGTGCCGCTGGCAAACATAGTCTTCCGGGCTTTGCGTTCAGGAGGAGCGCAGCAGTCACAAAGACTGCCCAGACATACGATCAGACATTGCACTTGTCAGATCTCACAGGCCACAGCTGAGCAGCATCAGGACTGATCTGTGTCATAGAATGGGGATCAGAAGAACATTTTTGCTTAAGACACGCTGTTCTCCACAATTAGCATTTAGGAGAAGAACATGTTCAGTTTTGAACATGAATACCTTTAAAAATAAACAAACCAACAGAGCAGCTTTGCTTCCCGCCCCACCCAGTCCCAAACTTGACAGCAAACTCACATGTAAGCTTTGTAATTGTTGCCAATTTTCTGGATTCGAATATCATATTTGGAATCAATGAAAGTCTCCGTTGTGACGTATGTTTTGGCCATGGCTACCACACTTGCGATGTCTTGGAAGTCAAGCTGGTTCTCAACTTTCACCTTTGGTTGATGAAAGGTGGAAAAAGAATATGTGTGAGAGTGTGTAAGAAAGTGCAGCATTAGTGTATGAGTACTACAAACTAGCAAAATATTGATCATAATAATATTCTTGCTTATTAAGATTATAAGACAATGACGCTTATGGGTAAATGAACATGGTTGTTGTTGTTCATTAGCAAATTCTGGAAGTGGAGAAAAAAAGCAACAAAACCATACTTTTAAGTGTTTTCTAGGAGGTTAGAAGAAAGCTGCCTTCGATCGAGTCAGACTGAAATATACTTGGAGTCGAGTGTGAATTTCATGCTCTTTATTCAGCTCATAGTAGCAATGAATGAAACTTTCCCTGAAATGTCTAGCTATATATACATTATTTACACAATGGGCCCTGTGTGATTGGCTAATTCCAGACTGCTCCTGTAGGCCAATCAGGTTGCGGATTCACCTCCTCCAGAAGCCTGATTGGCTGCTCCCGCAGGCCAATCAGGTTGCTGATTTACTTCATCTAGGAGCTTGATTGGCTGCTCCTGCACTTCCACCTGGAGCTGGATTGGGTGGCTCCTGCGGACGAATCAGATTGCTGCATTCTGGATCCTATTGTTCTAGGATTCAGCACAGTACATAACACAGACTATTGGTCCATCTAGCTCAGTAGTATCGGCTGAGCTCTCCAGGCTTTCAGACAGGGGACTTGCCCACGCCCGTACCTGGAGATGTTGGCGATTGAACCCTGGGACCTTCTGCTTGCAAAGCAGATGTTCGTTCCATTTATACAACCTAAAGCACCACCCATGCACAGGGAGAAAGCCCAAGGTTTGTAGAAGTATAAAAAAAAATATTTAGGGGGAAATTCAAAATGTGTGTGAAGGTGGGTGAGTGTATGGGGTGCCTCTCCCAAACAGTCTACTGGTGACTGAGTACTCTCAGTGGCCATGGATGACTACTGGGATGAGAAAAATGGGAAACTGAGGGCGAGGTAGACTTGAACAGAATGCCTGGAAGCCTGAACAAAAGCACTCTATACTGCAGCAGCATTGTTGCTGTTGTTTTAGTTATTCTTTTGCATGTCCTAAGGATGGGGCAGGAATATGTTTGGTCCATTTTTTTCAGCAGTTGATGTGAACCAATGATCCTGGATTTGCTTATGGGTTGTCATGCATCTCCCAGTCTCATTAAATACTTCCCAGGATTTTGCAGTGGATTTTTGATGCAGAAAAAGGGTGCATGAAAGTGTTGGCTTTTTGCAGTATGGTAGCGCTGCAGAGAGCTTGCTGGGGAGACCATGCATTAAAAAGGGACTCAAAAATAACTTAAACAAGATTTTAATTACAAAAACAAAAACTCCTTTTACACTAAATACATTAACAAACAAACATGACCCAACCACCAACCCATCCCCCAGGGGAATGGGAGAGCTAGGTGCTGCTCCTTATATACTACACCCAATTGCTGACACAGCTTAATCAATACAACTCAGCAGCACCTGCTATGTTTCACAGCTGTAAAGCTGGGTCTTGTTATCTTGCTCTGGCCCTTGCTCTGGCCCCTTAAAGACATACACATCGGGTGGAACAATGATGAACCTTTACATTTAAAGAAACCATTCAACAGAAAGCACAGGTTGGTATCCAATGAAGTGCTTCCACTAGCACATGGTCTTTTGGCTACACAACGGAACTTCCCATCCCTCTCCTCCAACTGCGTGCCTTCTACACCCTCCCCATATCAGATCCAAGATGGTGGTCGAAAACCCAGAAAATATTTAGGGAATGGAGCAGGTGAGAAGAGAAGAGAGAGGGAGAGTTTCGTTGCTGAGAAATAAATCCTTGCATTAGTGGAAGTAGTTAGATAGCTATCATTCTTACAGTTTACATTTTTAAAAAATCATTCAAGATTCACATTCTACTGGTGACTACTGTATTGAAAAGCATGTATTTTATGTAACATTAAAAAAAATTTTTTACAAAAAGGTGCAAAAATGCACACAATGGGACCGAGAAGACCTGTGACTTTGTATCAGCGTGAACAAAACAGAATGGAATTAGCAGCTCAGCCCATCCCTATTATTTCCCCATAAATGCTTACAATCCAGCTGCCTCCACTAGCATCTATTACACAGATAGAGACATAGGAGATCTGGAACTTGTGTCTTTAGAAGGGAATGATGTGGGCCTAAGAATAGTGTCTCTCAAATACAAGTGAACCTCATGTCCAGGCCGCTGTCAGATCTAAATTGGGTTCTGCTTTATCTGTCAGGCCAGTTATTTTATGGGATAGACAGATGGTTGTCACGGAAACCAAGAAGTCCTAAGCTAGTCATCATGAGTCAGCCTTGATCTGTATGTAGCTCTGCAAAACTCTGAGAACAATGAGTCTCTTGTGAACATAATTATTATCCGGCCTCGTACCACACCTATAATTCAAGCTCTAGCACTCCCTAGTATTCCATACTTCTTATGGGGATGCATCAGATCTCAGATACCAGAATAAACACACAACTTTATCTTCAGCTCCACTTAGTGGACTCCCCTATTCTCCAGTGTGTAGCTTATTTGGAAATTTTGATCTGGTGGGTGTTACTATCAGCTGATAGAAGTGTAGCTTCTCTGTGGAAACAAAATGATAAGCAACAGATGTATTGATGTCAATTAGAGTTTATTTAGAGTCAGTCTGATGCAGAGCGTGCGAGTGTGTGTTTTTAAAAAAGCTACCACTGATTTGTTGTTGTATTTATATCAGGCCTATTTAAGTTGAAGCACTTTATAAAACTAATAAATCTCATGTAGTTTTGGCAGAATGCCTCTACAGAATCTCGCAGCTGAAGTCCTGTCTCCATTAAATGAGGCACAGGCATGAAATGAAAGGGGCAAAATGCAGTCAGTCAGAAAGGATGAGAAAGAGAGCATGCAAAAGCATAAATTAGAAGATGCATTTTTGAAATCACCATCAATAATAATCATGTTTGAGTCCAACCCTTACTCTAAGGAGCAAAGAGGGCTACCTGGGTATGTCAGGGATTGAACCCGGGACCTTAGGCTAATGCTCTGTCACAGAATGACTGCTCTTTCCCAGGTCTGAACAGGGCCACCATCTCATAGAAAGAAGCAGTGTGTGTGTGTGTGTGTGTGTGTGTGTACATCCATGTTTAAATACTTCTAAAAGGGCACATTTATTTTGACTCCTATTAAGAACGAATTCAGTCTCCCTCAAATGGAACAGACGTCTTGCAAAATCGCAAATGTACAATTTACCATCTATTTGCTAAACTGTGTGACGTCCGTTTGCTCAGCAAGGTACTCTTTCTAAAACTATCAGCTGCAGCTTCCTACAGAGATTGCATGACTAGTTGTGAAAGCTTCAGACACTTGTATTGACAAATGCCGTCCAATCAAAACAAAAAGTTTCACCAGAAAGGTGCTAAGAAGACTTTGCTGGCACCAAGGGAGGCTTCCCTTGGAATGCAAACAACAGCTTTGGGGAGGCTATTTTTGATGGGACTGTGGCAGGGTTAAGATCCTCCCTCTCATCCCAAGGCTGCACTCATGCAAATAACAGGGGGAGGGGAGCCTAACAAAAATGTGCATGTGGTTAAATACATTCAAGCATTAACCTCATGTTTAGTTTGGGCCTGAGTTTCATCTTTGATCTTTATTTAGCTTGAGCACCAGTGCAGCTCCTGCTAACTCAGTACTTGTACAGGGTTGCAGTCAATGTTATGGTAAGCTAAAAATGATTTAGCAGTATACTTGTTCCACTGCCAAAACGTTTTTGAACGAACTTTGTCGTACAATAGATTGTGCTGTCTGTTCTGCAACAAGTTTCCACTAGCGCAACTGTTGCACTGGATTTCTCTGTTGCACAACATGAAATGTCGCCCGTCTGGTAGCGCAAGACCCCGTGTGCTAGTGGATAGAGAATGTGGGATTCAGTCCTAAGCAAGTAAGGGTAGGAACCCATGATCCCTGGGAGGGCATGCCTTTCCAGGTGCCATGGGATAGAATGGATCTACCCCTTCAGTGTAGGAGACAGAGGCCTGATAATGGAGAAGAAGATATGGTGGATGCTCTCTCTTGATCTTCACTGGATCCTCTAACTTCAACTGATGTTTTAACATTAGGAAGGCCTAAAAGGGTTATGCTACGGGGAGGACTAGGAAGCAGCTTAGCACACTCTAAGCCAGTGAGAAAGATAGGTAAGCTAAGAAGCTCATCCAATGCACCCCCTTTTAATTCTTTCTCATTTTTCAGTCAGGTGCCCTCCTTGGACAACTTTAGGTACCTGCTAAAACCATTTTATCTTATGGCAAACCTACCCAGACACATTTATTATAAAAATCTGTTGATTTTATCTGCATTTTTAATCATTTTATTATGTATACTTGTTTTTAAATTTTGTTAATTTTATTTGTATTTTTTTTAGAAATATTTTACACCATTTTTTTTGTAAACCACCTATGGAATTTCCTTTCTTGAATAAGAAGCTTATAAATTATGTGGTGTGTGTGTGTGTGTGTGTGTGTGTGTGTTAAATTGTTTGCAATGGGAGAGAAGCTGTTTTTTTTAAGTTGTAAAAAGCAGAGAGGAACACTAGAGCATTCTTCTGCCCTCATTTCTGCCCTGAAGGAATTTCCGTGCACTGCTCTGGTTCGCCAGAAGCAGCTTAGTCATGCTGGCCTCATGACCCAGCAGCTGTGTGTAGACAAACGCCGGCTCCCTCAGTCTATAGAGCGAGATGAGCGTGCAACTGCAGAATCGTCCGCGACTGGACCTAATGGTCAGGGGTACCTTTACCTTTAGGCTTGAGCCTGGCAGGGCTCCAGGTATGATAGTTAAACCATTTTTGGATCCCCTCCCTATAGAACACTGAGGGTGGTCACTTATGCATTGCCAAAAAAGGGAGGTGCTGATTTGCATAAGAGTGCTTGTAATAATTTATGTGCATATGTGCAAATTTAGAAATAATTCAAGTAGAAATGCAATACATCTCACCGTACCAGGGACCACCGACCAGATGGCCTGTGTGTCTGCTCAGTATGCTGTTCAGTTGTTAGGAGTTGGTGGACAAACTTCAAGGCTGGCTGTTGCTTTCTCTTCTTATGGCTTTTTAGCTTTAAACCAAATTTGGACTGGACAACCCTTTAAACAGAGGACAGTCCACTGTAAAGTAGGACAGATTGTTATCCTACAAAAACTTATGTGTGGTACAAACCAACACATATATCACACCTCCAATCTCCTCTTAAGGGCCTAGGGAGGGGAAAAGGTGGAATTGCCTTCCCTTATACAGTGGTACCTCAGTTTAAGAACAGCCCTGTTTACGAAATATTTGGTATAAGAACTCCGCAAAACCGGAAGTATTGTTCCAGTTAGCGAACTTTACCTCGGTCTATGAACGGAAGCCAAACAGTAGAAGGGCACCGGCACTGGTAGGCCTCATTAGGGAAAGCGCGCCTCAGTTTAAGAACGGACCTCCAGAATGAATTAAGTTTGTAAACCACTGTACAGGATTTCCCAGATTAGTCTGAGGGCAAGGGTGGGAGGGTGTCCTTGCGATTTTGCTGACATATGCAACCACTTATATTGGTATTTTGCCCAAATTGGCTCAACCCATTTTATTAGATTTTGGTGGCTCTTGTACTATTTCAGATTCTCTATGGGGAGCGGAAAGCAAAAGGGTTTTGTGCTGGGGGAGAAAATTCAGCGAAGTCCAAAAGTCCACTCTTGAATATACTGAAGGGTAAATGGTGAAAAAGCAGAGTGCTGAATTTTTTAAAAGAATAACCTTGCCGAGCTTCTTTTCATCAAGACAGAAGAGAGAGGAAGATCAGACAAATCTCAGGACTCAGGAAATTAGGTTTATGTGTCCCTTATGGCTTTAATTCCTGTGTCACTGCCCTCCTTGCACATCATTCCATCACCCTTCAATTCCATTAACCTCTCCTTTTTGGGGAGTGAAGTTGTACTATAAATGAAAAGTGAAAGTATCTGGAGAACAGATGTATATTTTGGCTCCTTTACAAACAGAAGGTAATGGAAATTTCAAGAGACTGTTCCCATGGAACACATTTTGTTGAGTTTGTGTGTGCGTGTTTCTGTCTAAAGGGGTTTGAATTAAGGAGACAATATGGGTGCTGCTAATTCAGTGTTTAATAAACTTTTCTGAAGTTCATGTCACGTATTTGGCCCTTGGTGGGTGGGAGTTGCTACAGCTGTAATTGTGAAACTAGTTTCAGACTAGACATGATTCCTTCCTCTTTTAAAATATAAGCAAAGCTATATTGGGCCAGACCTTTGATTTCACTTAGCTTAGTAACCCAATTCAGATAAGAGCCAGAAAGTCTGTAAGGAAGTGAGGAAAAATTGCTGTTTTCGGCAATAAAGTCTAACGTTCCACCTCCTTAGTATCAACAATGCCCCTTACAGAACTCAGCAGGGATGAGAATGGGAATAAAATAGAATTAGTTGGCTCTTCCTGTCATTGGTTCTGGACCAACCTACTGTTGATCTCTCTGCTTTCCACCCTACCAGTCTTACTGGGCACCAGCCACCATGGGAAAAGGGTCATGTTGTCTGTTGACACTTGCTCATAGAATTCAGGCTCTAGGTATAGATGCTGGGAACATAACTGCTTTAGGGTTTTATGTAGCTCCCTAGCTGTTGACATCCATCTGTCTTGGGAGACAGTGGAAGAGTGTGCCTTCGGGGGTGAAGTCAAACCGCTGCAGAGTTGCAGTGCCTGCTGTGGCTGTAGAGACAGTGGGAGAGTAAACACTCAAGATGTTAACTGGACTGGTTTAGAGGTGAGCAAGTGTTCTGAACCCTCAGTTGGTGGTTCTACCTGCAAAACCTATGAGATTTTTCAGGATGCCTTTCTTGCCAGAAAAAGGTGTAGTTCTTCTCTTGGAAGCTGTCATTTGAAGCGCATCTGCTCTCCTGTAGAGCAGCAACGTCAGTGTTGAGATTTTTCAGCTCATGGTCAATGATGGCTATCTTCCATGAGTTGTTGACCGGAAGCAGATTGGTGGACAAGCCAGGACAGGTAGTCCTGGCGTTCCAGCTGTCAAGGCACAAGAGGGTTTCTTTTTTCTTTTTTTGCCTGCTGCAGTTTGGTCCCCTTGTTGAGTGGTATTCTGAACTCCAAGCACTCACTGAAGCAGGTGAACAGTGGTAGGTCAGCACTTTATTGACTGGGGGGCTGCCTGGTTTAAAGTGGGCAATAACTGACCAGTGAGACACAATGATATCTCCCATCAACAAAGGCAAGTGATAGCCTTCATACAGTATGCAAATCAAGTTGAGCTTATAACTCATAACTTCTGCCTTCCACACTGTTTTTGCTACGTTAGCAGCACCAAAGCGACCTCTCCAGGGCACAAGCCAGGGCAATGTGTATGGAGTTTGCTAGCAGGCATCCTAATGCAAGCCTGCAGCAGGTTTCTTCTATGACAAGGGAAGAGAGAGGGAGGTCTAGAGGCAGGGATGTGCTTAAGGGGACATTACACTCTTAGTTCACTGAACTGAGCACAAGGATGACATGAATAATGAAAAGAAACTATGCTGGGAAGTTTTTGCCAATATGCTAGTGGCTCAGACCAAAGACTCAAGGCTGAACTGTAGGTTCTTGTGGGCCTGTGCTTGTTACATGACCCACTTCAGCCTATATGCTACTAAAATACTTAAAACCATTTTGTAGCATAGATATGCCCATGGTCAATTACTGATTTTATCAAAGAGGAAATGGTACGTTTCTATTCACTGTTTTAAAAAAATCTCTGCTCATAAGGAGTAATATTTTGATTTACTTAATCGCTTTTATATATACAGTGGTACCTCGGGTTACATATGCTTCAGGTTACATATGCTTCAGGTTACAGACTCCGCTAACCCAGAAATAGTGCTTCAGGTTAAGAACTTTGCTTCAGGATGAGAACAGAAATCATGCTCCGGCAGCGCGGCAGCAGCGGGAGGCTCCATTAGCTAAAGTGGTGCTTCAGCTTAAGAACAGTTTCAGGTTAAGTACGTACCTCCGGAACAAATTAAGTACTTAACCCGAGGTACCACTGTACTCTCATTCTATATTTAGATTGCTGCTCAATAGTACACAATAAAACAAAATATTTGTGCTGTAATGCTTGATGTGTAGATTCCAATAACCATATATTACAAATGTTCGAAATGAGCTTCGGGGGTTTCAAGTAAAACATAGCATAGTAAATCACTGAAACATTTTCAAAGTATACTTGGAGATGGGCCAAAGTGTCTCCAATGATGAAACTCCCAAGTCATGTTGAATCCTGCATTCTAACCTTTCTCTTTCTTCACTCAACTCCTTGAATCTGCAGCTGAGCGTACAGAATTTCCTTGGCCATCATCCTGATGTTTTCTGGATATATTTAGTGCCCATATGTGTTCAAACCACCCCTTCCCTCCTCTTTCTTATTATGGTCTCTCTGATGACGACAGAGATATGAGTCGGTCTACCCAGATCATCTTGATTTCAATGGGTCTACTCTGAGCACAACTAAATCGGAATCCATCCAATTAGGATTTCATGTTTGACAGTATCCTTCTAAGAAAGTGCTTGCAGTGGAGATATTTTCAAGATTGCATATTTTATACACACAAACGCAAGGCAGATTCCTATGTTTCTTTACATTCAAGGCATTTTACAAATGAAATCTAAGCAGTTAACAGTAAGACCACTGAGCTTACTCCCCGGTAACCATGCATAGGCTGTAGTCAAGCCACATTGTTCATAGGGATGTGAACTCAGATTTTCCTAGCCAAATCCAGACATGCTAACCACTACACCATCCTTTGCCAGTTCCTTATTCTGTGACTGTCAGCAGCTACCCCACTGCTTATTATGCTTCTCAGCTACCTCCATCTAAAACATGGGTGTTCTCAACAACCCACATTACTGGTACTTGCCAGATATTGACATTGTGACACAGTGTTTTTGTATCCAGAAAAAGGCAGCATAAAGACGTTCATTACTTGGGATGCCTCCGCTATTTCCAGCAATGAGTGGCTGCTGCTGATATGAGTCAGAATGTGAATGAATGGTACACTTCACAGTGTGTTACCATCTGAAGTTATTTGTTGTCCTCTCTCTTTAAGAAAATATTTGTCCCTTGTCAAGTGAAGACCTTTTGCTCTTTTGCCTTCATCTTGAAAAGAAACCACCAGTTTTTTCATGCTCTTGGTTTCAGAACATTCTTCTTTTCATTTTCATTTCCAGTCTTGGAAAAGTCATGGTGATGAGTTGGGCCAACCCCTCTAAAAGGCTGCTGATGTTTTAACAAGACATAGTGACTTTGTTTATTTTTGGCTTTATATGGTGGTTGTTGTTGTTTTTTAAATGCCCACATCCTGCACAAGAAAAATAATGTTGACTGTGGCATTTTGGACAACAAGGTTTTAGTTTCCATTGCTGTAAAACCATTTGATCCATGAATTAAATTGGGAAAGTTCAAAAAAAGAAATTCTGGGCCTGGTATGGACCTGAAGGGAACTCTTTTAACAGCTCTAATTAGAGAGGCCTAAAAATAAAGCACGAGTAATAAAAAAATATACATAACCCATAAATAGGAGCTGTTCTTTTCCTTCACTGTAGTTCAAACACTTATCTCCTTCCCCTGATCTGGTCAAGGAGAGGTGAAAGTTCTATTTTTCACTTGAGATCTGTCCCTGTGTCACCTGGGCAGTCAGGTTACCACATAAGTAGCACACAGTGAGCACTTTATGCTTTGTAGAAAGCTCAGAGGAAGCTTGGGGGAGGGGGAGATGGTGCCCTCTTGGTCTTCCCTGCTTTTCTCTGTAGCAAGGCTGATAAACAACTCTCTATGAGGCCTCCGTTTTACTGAGTAACCACCAGAAGTTCTATTCTCGGTTTTGGAAGGAAGCAGTTGCCAATAATCCTTTGGCCATGATTTTCAGTGCCTTTGATCCCTGAACTTCCATCCATGTTCTGACTGTCTTACTGTTCCACACAGATCAGTGCTAAAGAAATAGCCCAGCAAAGTCCTAAGATGTAAGGTCTCCTGGCTATTGCCTTTCTTACTAAGCCAAGACCCAAAGTCCATCTTTCAACCAGGTTTGGTTCCATACCCCTGCTCTACAGGAACCATGGGGGGTTGCCCAAAGATTAAGGCTTTCTGGGAAATGATATATAATGAATTAAAAAAGGTATTTAAGTATACCTTCCCTAAGAAACCAGAGGCCTTTCTCCTGGGCATAGTCGGCCAAATGGTGTTAAAAAAGGATAGAACTTTCTTTATGTATGCAACAACAGCAGCAAGAATACTCATCGCAAAGTATTGGAAGACACAAGAACTTCCCACGCTGGAGGAATGGCAGATGAAACTTATGGACTATATGGAATTGGCGGAAATGACTGGCAGAATCCGAGACCAGGGAGAAGAGTCGATGGAGGAAGACTGGAAGAAATTCAAAGACTATCTTCAGAAACACTGCAAAATTAAGGAATGTTAGAGTGATGATGGATTGAAAACAAGTGGTTTCCAGCTGCACAGGTTAAAGTTAAGGATAGATTAAGATTAAAGATTAAGATTAAATAAGTTTAAAGAAATGGAAATTTGATTTTAAAAGGGGAAACTTTAAAGTTATATGATATTAAGATTAAAGGATTAGGTTTTAAAACTTGAAGTTATATATTTTAACATTTTATTAAATTAAAGATTGGGATTAAAAAGTGGAAAAGAAACTGCTGGACAAATAATGTGGATTGGAATACAAAAGAGGGAGGTATGAGGAAGTCCAGAAAATAAGTAACTTAAAATTGGAAATGGAAAAGAGAGTTTGTTTTTAATTGTTTTGTGTTTATATTGTTAAGTTTTGTATTGTTTTTTGTGTGTGTTGTTTTTCTTTTTGTTGTTGTTTAAAACTTTAATAAAAAAATTATTAAAAAAAAAAATACAGGAACCATGGGGATATCATTTTATTCAGTCTAGTCTTCAGTTGCAGAGGTCAGGCTTATAAGAATTTTTCCTCAAGTGATAGAGTGGCTTAAAAGAAGTGCTTACTCATGATTAACAACTACTTGTTGTTCGTCAGTTGAAACTTTTAAAGCTACCTTGTCCTATTCATAATTTCAAAATTGGAGTTGCTCATTTTAGATGTGCAATTTGCTGCTTGAAGTCTCTTGGTAGGGGTGGAAGGGTGTGTAAATTTTGGTTCTCTTAGTTTCCCCCAGTCATACATTCAGTTCTTCACATTTTGCAGCAATAATAATAAAAAAAACCTATTGAAAGTTTTTCAGCATTTTAGTGCAAAACTATCCTAACAGATTTTTATATGAAGTTTTCACTAATGTACACATTTTTGTGATCAATTTTCCCTAATAAAATTCATTACTGTATATTATTTTCACTAATACAGTCATACCTCATGTTGCGTCCGCTTCAGGTTACGTCTTGTCAAGTTGCGTCCCACGGCAACCCAGAAGTACGGGAACGGTTACTTCCAGGTTTCGCCAGTTGCGCATGCGCAGAAGCGCTAAGCTAAATCATGCTTCGTGCATGCGCAGAAGCGCTAAATTGTGCCCTGCATGTGCACAGATGTGGCACTTTTAGATGTGAACGCTTCGAGTTGTGGACGTGCCTCCAGGACGGATTACATCCACAACTCGAGGTTCCACTGTATGCATTTTTTTGCACACTTTCCTCTAAGATATACATTTTTGTAAGTGCTGTTTGGTTGGAGAAGTGGAATGCAAAATTCAGATGAGTAAGAACTCTGAAGGATAGCTGAGTTTCAGATCACATATTATTTCAGAAAGCGTGAATTTGTTAGATTAGGCTTTAAATGCATACTGAATTGAATTTCTTCTCCATCACTATTTGTTGGTGGCTGTTCAAAGTTTTTGACGCTCCAAGTGGCAAAATTCATATGGAGTTATTGACCTCTTAATGTCTATCAGTTTCAATCAGTGAAGGAAGTGGAAACAGTGAATGAAGGGAGTTTCATTGGTGTCTTTGGAATTGCTAGTTTTGTATGTTACTTTGCATATGCAAGTGGTTTTCCACATACACATGTCTCCATGTTGTAATGTTTCACATGGTGACCCATTCAACATGTTCAGTGTATGAACTGGGTCAAAGAGGGTGGCATTTCAACATTTTCAGTGCATATGTTTGGGTGGAGAACAGATTCTAACATGGTAATGAAGATGATTTATTTTATCAAGGCCAAAATAGACTTCTAAGCAGTTTACAAAAATAAAAACCAATCACAGAAACATTTTTAAAAATGTGAAATTAAAATGCACAACAAAACTTAAAAACATAGTGAGGGTAGAGCTAGGAACTGTTAATTGTTCTAGCTTAATTCATCTATAGTTAAAGGATCTTGGTTATGTGATGTAAACAAAGAAACAAACAGGGATGAAAGGAGTTTGGGATAAAGATGTGCCAATGATACAGCTGTCCTCCAAGGAATGTCATGCAACCACAAGGTAGCCTACAAATGGACTTTTCATCTTGTTTGCAAGACTAGCTTCCTTTTAACATAAACAGGAAACAGTTAAGGTCCACACATCACAGAAAGCAACAGAGCAACATGAAAGGAAATTTAGGGTGTGATTTGATCCCCAAATTCCTCCCTACCCAAAGGTTAGCACAGCTGGAAAGCTTGGCTTTCAGATCAGAGTATAACGAACTCACCTGATTTCTGCTTTGCAATAATGTGGTTGGCAGTGGCCAAACAGATTTCAAATTCATATCTGCTGGCTCTGCTCAAAGTTGGCATTAGATAAACAGAATTGTAGAACTATAATATACCATCTCTGTCTCTCTCTCTCTCACACACACACTCACTCCCTTCCTTGTACAGAGTAAAATGAAATTTTGTATATATTCAACATTTCAGCATTAAAATGTTTTAAGGATTTCAGAAATTCGAAAGTTTGACTTTGTGAGTTAATTCTACAAGGAATGTCTGATAATAACTTGTCAAAGATAATACCTTATCAACAACTTTCTGCCTTAAGAAAATCTTGGGGCATCTATAACTGATGTTGAAACTAATTTGAGTTTAGAATTCGCACACATTTGAATTTCTGGGAGCATTTCCGAGATAGGAAAATTTGATTGATAATTCTTTCCCATTCCTAATTTCATTTCAGCGCTATTTTCTTTCTGTTTAACAAGTTGTTTCTTTTAAAAATATATATTCATTGACATTTTCAGAACGAGGAAAGGAGATGTAGATCACAACAGGCCATCAAAAATGATTATAATAATACTGGGTTGGGCTCAGCTCTCTCTGTGAGAGATCCAAGGGGCTTCTCAATGCAAGGCAGGCATCTAGAAATGATTGGAGAAAAAGACGGTTTCTGTTATGACTTTATATGTTCTTGTAATCCTGAATTATGCATATGAAGAAAGAATTGGTTTATTTCAGTCCACACTATGGTATTTGAGGGAAAGGGCAGAGAGAACAAGGTGGCAATGATGGTGGTATTGAATGGATATTGATGTGGAGATAAAAAAATAATTTAAGTGTGGGAGGGGGAATCATATCAGATCCTAAATTCCTGAGTAACTGGCAGATAATATTCAGACAAACATTACTTGTCCTAGTGCTAGGGACAACAGTATACATGACCAGAAGCCAAGGTGCTTATAGTAGCTTTGCTCAAAATGCAGATAGTGTTCCACTGGCAGAGGGGAATGCTGCTTCCACTTCCCAAAGTAAAAGAAGCTGCTAATCCATTGAATGCAGAACGATCCCAGAGAGTCTGGGAAAAACAAACAGGTTTGGAAGAAAACTGTTTTTAGGATTTCTCCCTTGGCAAGCTCCCAAACAAAAAGGCAGGAAACTTCTTTCCTTCTCTGTGAAATCCCAGTAAATGAATGCCTATATTTCCTTTAGGGGGGAAAGAGTGAATAACAGGAGGCTGTCATTCAGTAGGATCAAACAGGGGGGTCAGTTACTGATGGTGACCACTTTTTGTAGGCAAGAATACCCACACAGAGAGGGCCCATGAGCCCCTTGGGGTACAAATTAACAACACTTTGAAAGATGACTACCCAATTTTCATTCAATGAAAAGCATGACAAAAGCCTCATAGTTGCTAAAGAAGCTCTCAAGCAGGTATCCACTCTGCGTTCAGTACACTCCAGTTCAGCATAAGCTTTCCATATACACAATCCTATTTATGTTTCACTGTCAGATGGAAAGCCCTGATCTTAAATGGATCAGTCAATGTTTTTAACGTCCCCTCCCCCCAATGTCATAACTGTATAATATCACGTGGTGAAATTTTCCAATGTATTTCATTGCAATATCATTATTTTCAATTATTTATTTTATACATCCTATAAGGATCCTGGGACATGATGTACTATTGTATTAACATATTATAACAATTGTCGCTAATATCCAGGTCCTGGATTTTCAGCAGTGGACATTCTACTGTGCTACTGGTGAATTTCCATGAGCTGGACCTGGGGCACTGCAGCAAAACACCTGTTCCTATTGAAAATACAGAACCTTTGTGGGCAGTAATGCAATCACACTTCGGCTCACTTTCCAGGTTTTGAGGAGAAATCTGATTACCCACCCTGTGCATTCTCTCCCCGAACTGACTTCTACCCTAGCACTCTATAGCCTTTCTCTCCCATTTTCATGTAGTCTGGCCTCAGGTTTATGTCCAACTATATGGACTTGCCCCTCTAAACTGAGAGTTGACACGAATCACAGAATCATAGGTTTATGTTTTTGTTCAACCCTCTTCTTGGCATATCCTAGTTGCTAGAAGAAAAGAAGGGCAATGGGAGACAAGGGGAATTTTGGAAGGTCTTTAAAACTACAGAGATTCTAAGGATTAGGCAGACGCAGGAAGAAAAAGTGCACTAAAGAGGAGGGGAAAAGCAGCATTTTAGTACTCCAAGGATTCCTGTAGCCTAGTGTCCAAACTATTTACTCAGCACTCAGTCACAGCTCAGACGTCACTCATTGGCTAGAAACACTGAAATGCCGAAGCAGCCAGGCTGGCTCAACTTACACTTAGAAGGTTGCCTGCACATTTTGCTTTGTAACTTTCCTTCTGGGAGGGTCAAAAACTTCTTTTTTAAAATGTGAATGTTCAGAGTCTGTGCCCCCTTGTAGGCATGGGTTCTGGTACACTTGCACCAATTGCACCACCACAATTTAGCCCTGCAACCTCCTGCTCAGTGCAAAATCTGCAACAAAAATGGCTGTCCATCCTCTGCTTAAATACCTAAATTTAGACAAAATCTACTCCCCCAAAATGTCCATCCATTGGTTCTAGTCATATCTTCTGGAGCAAAAGATAACAGGTCTGCTCCATCTTCTGTGTGGCAGCCCTTCAGATATTTGAACACTACTATCATGTCTCCCCCCCATTCCCCCCTTCTCTTCTTGAGGCTTTGTCGTGGTGGTGCTGGGAAGATGTGGGAAATTCACTTTGTTCCAGTGAAAGGATTGTATGCTGTTTTGCACACCAAAGGGTACACAGCATATATGTCATTCTCAAAGTGAGGATATTGTCTCTTGCTTACCTTCCCCATTCCAGCATGAGCATGTCCCAGCTTGACGACAACAGGGAAAGCTGGAGTTGTGAGCTGAAAGGCAAAGGAAGAAATCAGTCCAGAACTGGTACATGACAAGCACCTTTTTCAATCTTAGGGCTCTCAATTGTGTTTCACACGCAGATATAACCACCACAATGTGGTAATATGACTAGTGGCTACAAAAAGAACAGGACTTTCAGTAAAGCACTTCTCTATAGTATTTCTCAATGTATGTTGAAAGGAAAATCATGTGCAGAGAGCATGTCCATATGGCTGACTTTCCACGCACTGATGTCCAACATATGCAGATTTTTCACGCAGCTAGAATTTCACTCAGCTCATCATGCACAGAGCCCCACAGACATTTCCCAATGCAATACCAACACAATTTATTGTGGAATTCTAAAATATATGCTAAATTAGCTGTCACCTGTCTACTGGCTGAGCTGCTGTGATACCATTGAATGTTCACACACTCTGACTTCTGAAGGAGGATCACCAGCCCTGTCATATGCAACAAGGATGAAATATCAACTGGACTAAGGGAAAAACATCCCAGGGGGCTTAGGGATATAAATAACTCTGCCAGTAGGAAGGGGTGCAGTATGAAGTTCACATATTGGCTCAGAACAATTAGCCATATCTCTGGCTACAGGTTTAGCAAAGTAAGGTGTGTGTGTGTGTGTGTGTGTGACCACAGATTTCTATGGATAGTTAAAGAGAGTTCATTGGAAACAAGATTTTTATTGGACTTTTCAGTAGAAGCAGCTTCTGAAAACAATTTGGAAATAAAGCCTTTTGCCCCTTATTTTTCCTGACTCACACTTTCTTCATTATATTCTTCTTCTTTAAGTCTCTGCAATTTTACCCCATACTGTACATGAAATTTTCCTTCTCTTCCTCCCCACAAACTGTTAGAGCACATTTTAAAATGAGAGCTATATGTCACCATCATCATCAGTTAAATTTATATACTGCCCTTCATATGAGGATTTTTACATACTAGGAACCATCCTCTAAACCTAATGAACTGGAAACAAGTCATTCCCATTTTTCCTGATGGAAGGCACCAACAGGATAGCAAAGGATGCACTAGTCTACATGTAGCTCAAATGAACAGTTCATAAAGCCATAGTGTGTTTTCTCTTTCTCTAATGAGGATGATGAGAAAGGCTGTGATTACTAGTAACGTTAATTCATCCATGCTTGCATAGTTTAAGACTAATGCTAAAAATAATTACAAGAACAAGAATGACTGATTCAGTGACTCATAAATGATCCTTCTACATATTTATCACTATTCCACAAAAACCCTACCACTTGCCACATGCAATACTCAACATGCAGACTATGTATGTTTACTCAGAAGTAACTCCCACCAAGGCACAGCACCTCACAGAGCCTCCTTAGACACCATCTCAACTCTGACTTCACCACCAGCCAGCCTTTCCCCTCCTCTACTCAGCTTTGGTTTGTTTAGCCTGATAAAGAGTCCTAGAGAACTTGAAAGCTTTCACACTATTTTGGGATGTGTCATCTGGCCTAATAAAGATGTTACCCAAATAATGTATGCTAAATGTAGTTAGCCAATCTCTCTCATATCCCAATACATTAATATGCAAAAGCATTTGCTAGACACAGGTAGGCGGGCCTCTGCCCTTAAATACTGCTGCTCACCCAGGAAGGGAAATAACAGCATTTTCATCTGTGAACCCAGGTGATTCAGATGGGCAGGGTACAAATAAAATCAAATCATCACCATCATGGCAACATGAGACTGGACTACACTGGAAATGTTTTTGAATGGCTCTTAAGAAGGAATTTTGGCAGATGCAGCTTGTTTTGCAGGTGTGAGAAAGACTGAACCTGAAAAAATTCCCTTTTCTACCCAACTGAGCTTCAGCTTTCTTTGAAGTTAGCCACGAAGATAAATACCAAAGCTTAGTGCAATGGAATCATTAAACAGTTAACATGTGATGATGCATTACCATTTATAGCTGATAAACCAGAACTTTCCAGGTGGAAAAATTGCTGTTGTTCCAATTATCAATTATCTCTAAGGAAAAGAACCTGGCATGACCTAAATATAGATGAGGGTTGTTATCTCCATCTGTGGCAGTTTTATATATAAACACATTTCAGTACATTGTTTTTTTGGGGACGTGTGTGCGTGTGTTGGCATGTTTCCTTTGCATCAAGAGATGTTGGGTAGTGGGAGGATGCTTATACAACTAACATGTCATATTTTCCTTGAGACCAGGCATACCTCCTGGATAGAAACATACATAGTAAGTACAGTTTGTGGACTCTGGTGGCACAATTTCAGCCCTGGTAGTCTGAAGCCTAGGAATGTGTGGCTACATGCAGGGCTGGATTAACCATTAAGCAAAATAAGCACGTGCTTAGGAGGTCTCAGGGTGCTTCACAGAATAAAATAAAGCTACAAAACTACAAAACACATAATCAAAATAAGAACAACTCAATAACACTCCCCCCAATGCATTTTAAAAGGACATAGGAATACATATGCATTTTGATAAGTTCTTTGAGCTGAAAATGCTATTACAAAATTTGGAGAGGTATAGAATTTAAAAGGAGACTTGGGTTCCAATTAGGTTCCATTAGACTAGGCAGTGCAGATTAGGTCAGTTCATATCATAATTCACAGAAATGGAATTCCTTAACTTCTTCCTCATACCTTGGGGTGCTGCTCATAGAACAGGCAATTCTGGCTAGCTCAGGTGTGGAAAACCAATGAAATGAGAAACGGCTGCCTATTTATTGCCCTATATCTGGGGTGGAAAACCTGCAACCCTTCGCATGTTGTTGGACTACAACTCCCATCTTCCCCGATTGTTGGCTACATTGGCTGGGACTGATGGGAGTTGGAAATCCAACAACATCCTTAAGTGGTATGGGTCCCCTTTGCACTCAGCATTAGGAACACTAAACACTGCCATATACTCAATCAGATGATGTGGCCTGTGGAAGTTGGTTCATTAGGCAGTGCCCCACCTAGGAAGGAGGATGGGGACAACCCACAGCTATAGATACGGTGGGAAATCTGTGGCCCTCCAGATGTTGCTGTACTACAATGCCACCCCCACTTCCGACTATTGGTCATGGTCTGATCCAGCAGGGCTCTGCTTATGCTCTTATGTTCTTAGAATGCCCAGGCAACATCTGATATAGCCATTCAGCCTGTCAGCTTCAGACAAAGTGAGATGAGGCAGCGAGACCTTCTCCACTGGTTTGGCTGGGACCAGAGGCAATTTGGCTCCAGCCTTCCCATAACTGCCTCCACAAGAAGGCATTCTACTTCGTCATTATGTATGAAACAAACGTGCATAGAATTTCAGTCTCAGTGATTGTTTGGCTATATAAACGCAGCAAAGGGATATGACAGCCACAAGAGTGAAGCTAGAATTGCTGGAACCAAGTGTGGTATATTTATATAACCTCAGTCACAATTCTCATGGGAGGGTGTTGAATATAATTAAGAGAGGGTATTGCAAGAGTTTAACCAGAACAAACATGTTTGTACTGAAATCATGGACAAAATAAACCAGTGAACTTCAGAGTATTTGTTTTGTTAAGATTTGCTTTCTTAAGAGAAACAGGAAAACAAACAGGATGAAATCATTTGAATTTTTCAAATTGCCTGCGTTGATCACGCAGACAGAGAACAGGGGGCTTGTGGATTAAGGAGTGAGGCTGTCACATCAGAGATGAATGAGCCGCTGTCGGTACAACTAAAGCAATGCAGTCAAGTCCCCAAACTTCAGTTCCACAAAATGACTTGTCATTTGAATATACAATGTTTCTTTCTATGACCAGTGTACGTATATAGTGCCAGCTCAAGACATTTACTGCTGGAAGCAGAGTCCCAATGCCCACGTCCATAGGGGGTATTAGGACTACAACTGGGGAGTGAGTGTGGTGTAACAGCTAAAAGTGTTTGACTAGGATCTGGAAGACCAGGCTTTGAATTCCTACTCAGCCAATGAAGCTCACGGGGAGATCAGTCACTGTCTCTCACAGGATTTTTTGAGCATAAAATGGGGAGGAGAGAACCACGTATACCACCTTGATCTCCTTGGAGGTAAATGCACAGAAATACAATGCATCACAGTGGGGTAGACTGCAACCAAGTGACCTGTATGCCTGCTCAGTCTGCTGTCCAGCTCCTAATTAACGTAAGAACAGCACAGCTGGATAAGGTCAATGGCCCATCTAGCCCAACATTCTGTTGCCAGGCAGATGCCTCTAGGAATGCTGAAAATAGGACCTGGGCACAACAGCAGCCTCCCCATTTGTGATTCTCTGCAAGTAGCATTCAGGTACATATTGTTGATGAACAACTTCAATGTCCCTGCTGCTCTCCTTTCTTCTTCCGGTTCTTTATCTTTAAACCGGACTTGACCTGAACAGCCCTTTAAATAGAAGACACCTTCAAATACTGTCCTCTCTAAAGTAGGTTACATGCCCACCCCAAACCTCACTCTGCTTCATGGCAGTGGGGTGCCCCCTTCTCCACACCACATATAGGGTAGAGTTTCCTGGATGGTTGACAACTTGCTACCTGACATACTAGCTTCTCTTTCTAACCGTTGACAGAACATGAGGATGTCTTTTGTTATTGAGTGGTATATCTGCATAGAAATCAAATGTTACTAATGTGTCCTACTAGATGGTGGGCCATTTGGTCAACATGGTAAACCACAAGTGTGGTTGATTCCTTAAAACACCCACCTAGCACTTTGATGATTGTTTTTCAACAGCAATTATGGCAACAATGTGGAGTCACTTGCATTCTGGAAGAAACAAACCACAGACCACAGGCCCCTGCTCACAATACGTGTTGTGGTTAGAGCATGCCATTGTAGTGGTTGGTGGAGTCCCAGGCTAGACACAGAGCTTTTAAACTTTCCCCTCTGACTTTCCAAGTTCTCGTCATTTTAACCAGCTTTTATATATGACTCAAGCGCCTTTCCCCAATGGTCAAATGAGAGCGAGACACAGTTCAGGTTCACTATAAAAGCTTTTTTTTTCTTTTTAAAAGTTTTTTCTTTTCATTTTGTCAGCATTTCAGCCATGAGAATTGTAAAAACAAATCCAGACGGGTAGAAGAACAGCAAAGAAATCATATATTCAAAGAGCTGCTCAGGCAGTGGTGAACTTGGGCCAATAAATCCCCAGCTGCCACCTGTCTAAACACAGGAATCTTTTTTAAAGGCAGTACTGAGGGCAGAGAAAAACGTATCATTTCTTCATGAGCAGAATTTGTGTGTAGAATAGACCATGATGAAAACATGTTGACTAAAAAACAAGCAGGGAATGTTGTTTAAAAATCAACAAACCTAAGGGCAGCTGTGCCAGCCCATAAGAAAAAACCCCCCATATTAGGGCAATATCATTATTAGGCTAACCAAAATGTGGCAAAGTAGTGTGAGAGCTTTTGAGTTCTGCAGAGCTTTTCATCAGGCTAGATGATAAGCAAAGAAAGGGGATAGGGAAAAACAGAAAAAAGGCTGGTAGTGAAGACTCATGTTTTCACAGCCAGCTAATCTCTCTCTCACCCACAGCCCTGCCAACCTCAAGCCTGATGAAGAGTTCTGGAGAACTCAAAAGATTGCACACTGTTCTGTGACATTTTAGTTGACCTAGTAAAGAAACAGCTTTATTTAAGCAGGTGAAGCAATAGTGTACTCGTGAATTTGAAGAGTAGGCATGCCCTCAAGGAGAATAAAAAAATGCAGACAGCTAGATATATCCTCAAACAGCAAAGAATAGAGCCAGGGCTTTCTCGGTTGCGGCTCCAATCTGGTGGAACGCTCTGTCACAAGAGACTAGGGCCCTGCGGGACCTGACATCTTTCTGCAAGGCCTGCAAGACAGAGTTGTTCCACCAGGCCTTTGGTCAGGGCCCAGCCTGACTCCCTCCTCTGGCAACCAGCACAGAACTTTGCTTAACGGTTGCCATTAATTTGATTTTAATTAATTTTTATAATGAAATGTTTTAGAATGTTGGATTATTTGATTGTTTGATTATTTGATTGTTGTTAGCCGCCCTGAGCCTGGCTTTGGCTGGGGAGGGCGGGATATAAATAAAATTTATTATTATTATTATTAATAGTACAGAGCTGAATACACAATTTATTAGGATCACCAGGCAGTCATATAATAGTGAGCTGCCAAAAGGGTAGTGTTGTGGTTAGCGTGCCGGACTCTGTCTGGGGAGATCTGGGTTCACATCCATGGTCACCACACTGGCAACCCCACTAGACTACAGAGCCTGTTGATGCAGGCAGGTCTTCCCTTGCTGGCAGATGACAACTAACAGGCAATAATAGCTCCCACTGATGTCCTGAGGCAAGGAAGTGGGGATGAACAGCTGGAACTCACCCAGCCCACAGGCGAGGCAAGTCATCCCTTGCTGCAGTTGCCATTACAGTATTAAAAAAAACAAAATAAAATAAAGGCTTGTCAAGACACTCACCAAACACTATCCCCCCACCCCACCCCTGCCCCTTACTGCAACCACTACCGTAACTAGAGTCATTATTTTCTTTCTTAAATAATTATGTTTGCACACTGAAGAGGACAGAGGCCGGGAATTGCAAGCAGCAGGAACTTGAGAAATTCTTTTGGGAATAACACACAGGTCTCCTTCTTTCCTTGGGCATGTCTGGGGTTGTACAGAGGAGGCTGTGGTCTGTTTAAATCCACTCCATCAGTCATTCCTGTCTATGGAGGGGGAGGGCAAATCCCCTCCTTTTACTGGAAAGTAAAAGGCGGGGGTCGGAGCTGATTTCATCTCTGAGGCAATGCTTCATCACACAAGACTAAATGAGACAAATGTGAACTAGCTGCTCTGCATGCAAGGCAGCAAAACATCTGTTTCTTTCTCCCTGTCGATGCTTTGCTTTTTCGAAGACAACCTGTACTAGGGTTGCCATACCTTGAAGAGCAAAAAAAGAGGACAGCCCAAGCCACTGCTAACCCAAGCCAGGGAAAGAGGCACGTGGGACAAACAAACAAACACACCCCAAATCCCGCACATTTCCTTTAAAATGTAAAAATCCCCCCCAGATGGGCATGTTGCTCCCCCCAAGAGTACATGCCTGGGATTTCCCGAATGTATGGCAACCCTTACCTGCACCTCCCATGGGAAAATATCTAATGGGTTTAGGCTGCAATCCTAAACTGTACACAGAATGATCTGGGAGTAACTTACATTGAACTCAATGGGTCTTACCTCTGATATGTATAGGATTGCACTGCTTGATACTGTTATTTCCTGTGGAACTTGGGCCTCGTTATGGTAATTTATATTCCCTAATTAATTGTGTGCTTTGCATCTGAAGGAAAACTTTTATAAGATTCAATACTGATAACCTCACCCCATTGCGTAAAGCTGGGAGCTAATCATGATTTTTGAACTGCCCCAAGCGTGTCTCATACCATAAATCAGATTCAAGTTGCATCAGGTAAATGAGTGTTTGCGACACCCCAACTGGATCCTTTTCTGGTTCTCTCTGAATATCGAAAATTGCTTCTGATGCATTGAATGGCTATTTAGAATAGGAGATGTGGTAAATCCCAATCAGGGTAATCATGCATCCCTAACAGAAACTGAGACAATTCAAGGATCTCTGCACATTTGGGTTTGAAGCCCCTTTTACCACTTAAGACACATTACCAAGAAGCAGTTTTAGTTGGCCAACCAAGGGAAGGAAGGACAGACAGCAAGGTACAGTACATCTTATTGTGGAAGGAGTCATAATATGGTTTACTTGCAAGAAGGCACTGGACTTTGTTGCATCTGGGTAGAGTCAGGAGTTCTCTGAGCCTGCTCTTGTTGAAGACAGACAACATAGTTCTTGCTTAGCTTCCTTACGGGTGGGTCCAATTCAGGTCTTCAAAGGAATTTTTGAGTAGGCTGTGAGCCCCAACTCCTGCAGTGTCCTGGTGCATGCCAGCCTTCCCCCTTGACCTCCAACCTTTGCAAACTGAGTGGGAAGATCTGAAGGGTGATTCTGAATGTCTCAGATGAGCATGCTTAGAATCCTCCCTGTAACTTGGAACTCTGCATTTAGAATTACCCTTCAGCCCTCCTGCTCAATGCCTTGGGTGGGCTTGGAGTGTTAGTACTGTCATGTAATCTAATGGGTTTGCTTTTGTTCTTGTTTTGATTATGTATTTTGCGTTTTTTATCTTGTATTTTTATGTTATGAACTGTCCTGAGATTTACAGATGAAGGGTAGTATACAAATTTAACTAATAAGAATAATAAAAATAATAAAGAATTCTACAATCTGACATATTGTGCTCCCTTGCAGCTACATCTTCTGCATCTTCATATTGGGTCTTTCCACCCAAACCCTTTTTCTGTATTGGTGACAGGAGCTCCCACAGCTCCATAATATAGATGCTAAGCATTAATATGCAGAACTGTTTTTTGCAGGGCCTCTTCTTTGGCTTGGTTCTCACAAGATAAGTGGTTTTTTTCTTTTAATTTTCATATTTTTTCACATACAGGAAGATTACAAGACGAACGATAAATTTCCTGGTCCAATTTGTTTTCCTGAATGAATGTTCCAAAATTGGATAAATAAAGTACGTTCCTTGGGAAATGATCAGAGCTTTTGTCCTTCCAATGCCCTTACTATATTTGTCACTTAGACTAATTCAGCAACCTGCCAAATTCTTAATATCCGACCATACATTCTTGGCGCTTCCAAACATTTCCATTTCATTGCTATTTCCATCCTTGCAATAGTCAATAAATTCATCATCTGTTCTATATTAGATTCCAGCACCGCCACTCCTGCCCAGTATCTTTTAAGGATCAAGTAGAAATATTGCATAAAACTGCTTTGCTGCATCAGACCAAGGTCAATATAGTCCAGCATTCCACTCTAGACAGCAGCCAGCTATATCTCTCTGAAAAGATGACTTGAAGATAGTATATTTACCCTGTTTAACTCCAGCATATAGTATTCAGGAGAAACTAGCTTTCCATTTCTGCTGCTTCATAAGACTGATGTATGAAAACAAACTAAAAACTAAGAGAACATAACCAGGGTCTTCCCTATCTAAGGCCTCAGACTCCTCCTCCTCCTCAGAGTCTGACCAGCCTCTCAGTGAGACTCAGGATATACCGTATTTTTCGCCCTATAGGACGCACCGTCCCATAAGGCGCACCTAGTTTTTTGGGGGGGAAATAAAGGGGAAAAAATTATTTTCCCCCCAGCCCGAGCTTCCCCTGACCCCAGCCCCCAGAACAGGCAACTCTCCGCAAGCTGTGGGAGCCCAGCGCCGGGCTCCCACGCCTTGCGGAGAGCTGCATGAAGCCTGGGTGTGCTGAGCTCAGCGCGCCCAGGCTTCAGCATGCAGGCAACTCTCCGCAAGCCGTGGGAGCCCGGCATGGGCTCCCACGGCTTGCGGAGAGCTGCGCAAAGCCTGGAGAGCGAGAGGGGTCGGTGCGCACTGACCCCTCTTGCTCTCCAGGCTTCAGCGAAAGCCTGCATTCGCCCCATAGGACGCACACACATTTTCCCCTTCATTTTTGGAGGGGAAAAAGTGCGTCCTATAGGGCGAAAAATACGGTATATGGACCAACTGTATGCTTCAGAATAAGACAGCTTCCTATGTAATTTCACCACAAGTGGATCAAATTTGTCCCCACTGTGCCACGTTTTCATGATGAATCCATTTTATGCCGTGGTGTTAAATCACTCATTATAATAACAAACACAGGTGGTAAATGCTACTGGGTATCTGTAACCAATAAAGTTGTGGCCTAAATTTGCCCTGTAACATTAACTTAATATCTGTGTCCTTGTGTCTTATTCACCAATGAGGGGGTGGTCTCGGGGGTCTCAACACGCAACCCTGAGTGCTCTCAATAGGAGAGAGAATAGAATCATAGAATTGTAAAGTTGGAAAGGCACCACAAGGGTCATCTAGTCCAACCCACTTCAATGAAGGAATCTTTTGTCCAACATGGAGGTTGAATCCATGACCCTGAGGTTAAGAGTCTTGAGCTTTAACAACAAAGTCTAAACTGCAACATGTTGTTTCAGCCTTCTCTTGTATTGCCTACTTTCAATCATGTAATAACTCTCCTTCATATTCAGAGATATTTAATACAATTAACTACTGATTAAAAGAAAATGGATAACCTCTCTGACAGCTGGGCATTATGGTTTGCAATTTTCAGAGGAGAAATCCTCAACTGTGCTGTGACTTTATCACATTTTGTTACCATGTCAAATTGTACATCCCAAGCAGACAACAGGATTCTGGAAGTAATGTGGTGTGAGAGGCTGTGGCAGCCTTTTCTCATGCTTGAATTGGAGATTTAAACAGTGGCAGCTGGTCCATTAGGGTAAATGGGGCACTACTCCACCAACATCAGTTTGCCCTTGGCCAACCACCAGTTGCCTCTCTTCTTAATTACAACCAACTGGGTTGGCGCTGTTTGTAATTAGGTCTGGCTTCACCTACTGTTGGCCTCCCTGCCTTCTGCACTACTGGTTGGTCCCAATGGACACCAGCCACCAATGGAATTCAAGGGTGTCATGAAAAGCTTAGAGGACATACCAGCCAGGAAGCTAGGCAAGCACTTTGCCGTCTCCCTTAAACAAGAAAGAACAGCAACAGGGAACTCCACCCAGATACCAATCAGTCCAGTGCCACCTTGTGCTTAACCCCCATAATGGCATTCTTTATTTACGCAAAAGGCAACGATTCACTGGTTTCAGGTTAAAAGAAGGCAAGTTGCCACTGGCTGCTCCAGTTTTCTAATTTTCCTGAAACACACAGTGAAGATAAAATCACCTTGGTAGCATTTTGAAAACTACAGAAGTGAAGTTGTATAAATACTTTAGGAAGAAGACAGCACTGCGTGTCCTTCAGTACTTGTTGTTTGAGGCAGGAGACACCAGGGTTGGTTTTTTCCATTGTTTGTGAACCCAAACAACACTTCTGTGTTGTTCTGTGACTGGAATGTTCTCGTCAGACCCTTTCCTCAGCTGATAGCTATCTGAGGGCATTTTTTTTTGTTTGAAGCAAAAATGTCCCATAGTAAAAGAGGCCTACAGACAAAAACTATCTCACCCTCTGTAAATAGTAGTAGGCGGACAGATTGTGCTGTTTGTGCGTTTGGACACCGCCTGGAATATATTTTCAATGCGGCATGTCTAGGCTGTTCTACAAATTCATAAATACTTTGTACCACAGTTCTAACAAATGAGGCTACTAGTCTGCATCACAAACATAAAGCAAGAATGTGTGGGGCCTCTAGTCAGGGGCACAGCCTTGAGCAGGAGGTGAAGAGGCTCAGTGTTTTCTGAAAGGCACATCCTCTGCCACAGAAACATTTTCTTGTAATCCCAGATGTGTGGGACTGGCTATGTTCATCACTGTTAAAGGGAAGGCTCTGCATGGGTGCTTTCTTCTTGATTTTTGTCCCGCATCTTATTATTCATTTTATTTAACAAAATGTATATTGCAGCCAAACCTTTAAATAGTTTGCAATAAAGCTAAGTGGTTTACAAGAAAGTCTAACAGTTCACAATCTTCCATGGTTAAGCCTTGATATGTGTCATGGACTGGCTGGATACAGATGAGTGGTGGGAGGCACCAGCTGGAGAAACCCCCAAAAGAAGAAGGCTCAGAGCCAGGGGATAGGTGGTGGGGCGACAATGAGTGGTCAGAGGGGGAAGAAGGAGCAAACTGGTAGGAGGAGGCGTCAGAAGCTGAAAAGTGAACAGGGTTTAGTGAGCAGAAGAGGCTGTGGCAGAGAGCAGTTCAGAAGCAGAGGTAGAAGCAGAGGCTGGAGAGGAGCGGGGCCAAGAGGCAGAGATGAGGCAGGCTACTGAAGAAGCCAGGGGTGTGTGTCTCCCCCTGCTGCTGTGACTAGTTCCCCTTTCCCCAGTCTCCCAGAACCCTCAGGTGTATGAAGAGGGTGGAGCAGAGACAGACAAGGAGCTGGAGTCTCTGATTACTTGGGAGGGACTTGAGGGAGGAGGAGCCTTAGAGAGCTGTAGAAAGGTGGGGACCTTCAGTTTCACAACTGCCTCACTGGGCCAAAACCTGCTGGGAGGAGTTGCTGTGCTCACTAGACCTGAGCTGCTTTGTTTCTTGGCCCCTTGTGAGTTATTGTTACCTGCTCCTGACAACTGCCTTGATAATATGGCTGAAACCCAGTTAGCATTGAAACCTGAGTAGCATTTCTGGGTTTAATTACAGGAAGGGATGGGTGAATTTGTCAACTTCATTTTATGTCTAGTTTCTCATTTTTTGCAGTTATCCACACTTCCATTTCAGTTTGCGTTTGCGTTTGAAAAAAGGCCTCACGAAAATTCACCAGCATTTTAGTGTGAATTTTGCCTAATATACACATTTTTTGTGAAACAATTTCCACATTATATTTTAAGTGCTATTTTTATGAATATGTTCATTTTAATGCATGCATTACCCAAGGACACAATTTTTGGCTGGAGAACTGCACTGCAAAATTCAGATGAGTGGAAATTACAAAGGATGCATTTCAGTTTGCGCATTGTTCCAGAAAGTGTCAATTAGGTAGGTTCACCTTTAAATGCGAACTGAATTTAAAATCTCTTTCATCCTTAATCTGCAGAAAAGTCAGGATCACAACCAAATTCCTACCAATAACCCTGCACTGACAATCAATATGTTGACAACAGATATCATGAGGAATATTGTTCCTTAGTTGAGATAGCAGTCTACAACACTGACAGAGCAGTCTTATCCATGCACTTGGAAGTAAGTCACACTTTGTCAATGTGGTTTACTTTCACCTAAGTTTGCACAAGTTTGCAGCTTTACGCATGAGCAGATCTACTGGCAGAGAGGCATGCTGCCATGCCATTTCAAAATGTAGACTGCAGTCGTTACTTCAGAGTAGATCTGATTTCAAACAGCAAGCTGGCATACCTTCTTATGATATGTCCTGCCTGCAAGTAAGCTCCTTGGACTGCTATTTGCATGTGGAGCCACCTGCTTGTGAGTAGAGAGGGCCCAGCCCATTAACATCAAAAACATATTGACATAGAAGACTGAAAGACAGCATGTTGCTAATGCTGTCAAGGGATGACTACTTCTGCTACTCGTTATCGGTTCTTGTATGGTTTCAGTTTCAAATGTTGACACTGAGCAGTTCCTTTGACATAGAGTAATAACTAAGGGCACAGTTGTAAGACCTGCTGCAGTCAAAGCCTGCCTCCTGTGCCAGCCAGTGTGGAAGGCTTGGGGCAGTAAAACTGCTGATTTCCCTGTGCCAGCTCTAGGCTGGTGCAGCAGAGATGGCCAAATAAACTCTACCACTGGTAGGTGGCCCTCCTCATCCCGTTTCCGGGTTTCAGCAGGGATAACTCCTAACTCTACTTTTGGCAGCTGCAGCATATACATTCATGGCAGACACCTCCCCCCAACCCTGTGAGTGGAAAGAGGAAAACCTCCACAACATTCTAACCTCTAACGTGATGGATCAGGGCTTATGATGGTTCTGTAAGGTGTTAATGTAAAACCAATTCTACATGTGGGCATTTAATTTCCTTTGGAAATGAAAGCGTTACAGCAAGCAACAAATAAGCATGTGTAAAAATGGCAGAGTTTGGCTGCTTAGTTATGCCAACCCCAGGTGCATAAAAATATAAATAAATATATTAAACTAGGTTTGAATTACAAAAAATATTAAAGTTTGTTGGGTTGAAGTTAGGGCTGGTTATACATTTGAGGATTATGAATATATTCATTTCAGTTTCTGAACGGAATAATTACGGGGTTTGGATGCATTTCCTGGGATAAATGCAAGCCAGAGGTTTGCTCTCATGCTTTACTACTACCGACAGCCTTTCAGGAAAGGACTGCAGCTCAGTATTGATGTATCTCCTTTTTATGGCAGTGCATTAGTAGCAGTACTAGTAAGGTAATTGCCTCAGACAACTGGTTTTGTGTATTATGAAAGTGGGGCAAATGGTATTTAATTGGATGCTGAAGGTTCCAGGTTCAATGTCTGGCATGTCCAGGTGGGACTGGAAATGTCTCTGGTCTGAAACCCTGGAGAACCACTCCTGGTCATTGTAGACCCTACTGAGCTAAAGTGACCAAGTATACGGCAGTTTCTATATCCTGAGCCTTTTCTGAACCAGCCCTGAGCCTGCAGCCAAATTGTGTTAGGTTTTTTTTTGTTGTTAACACAGACAACAGATCTCTGGATGATTGAAAGACAAGTTCAGGATTTACATTTTTTTTTGCAATCTCCGAGAGGAAGCTAAAGAGGAAATGTCTTTATAAGAAGAAACCAGACAAGAACAAAAGTAGCTATCTGAGAATCTAGCTCCATTTCTGCTATTGCTCTGCGAATGTCATCAGAAAAGCAACAACCTCCTCTCCTTTCCTTTTTTCTTGGCTCTCATTCTGTTTCCTGATGTATGCTCTACATTTTGCAGCTTACTGATGGGAACCAGAGACTTGATGAATTTAAATATCCAGGTGCAAACCAAGCAACCACTGAACTACAGTAACCTTCATTTCATGCTCATTATTCTCGTCCAACTTGGGAGTTTCAGCTGGTGGCCGGAGCTTTGCACTTGGAGTTGGGATGGTGAACTTGGTGTGTGCGTGTGTATTGGCTGATGACATTATCAGGCACCAGAGTTTTTGTGGGGGGTGGGGATGGGGAAAGAGTGGAAATGTAGACCACTGAATACACATCAGTATGAGCAAAGTGGTGCACTAGTCTGATTAGACTGGTGCATAGAATGTTTAGGTTGAAATAGGCTATGCAATATTGTCCTGCTTCTCTTGTGCTGCCACAGGTTTGCAGAAGAGAGAAGTGATTTCCTGATGTGTAATGCTTCCTTCTCCAATTCTGTTGCTCCAGAAGAAAGTAAACAAATGGAACGGTTATGGAAAGAGAAGGACTGCCCCATCATGCACTACACCTTATGATGATAAACAGACTGCTGAGTGACATGGAATAGAATTGAACTGTGACATATGCAAAGGAAGTGTATTGCTTCATAAGATTCCCCAAAAGAGCAGACATTGGCATATAAGAGACAGCCCATCATCCAGATTATGGCAGGTTTCCCATGGAAATTTCTTTCTTAATGAATGCATATTATGTAGCCCTTCCACTAACAGTTGTAGGGACAGCTAACAGCACTCTGTGTGTATGTTTTTGGGTTTTTTTTGGTGAAAATTACTATTATGTCTGGTAAGTTTTTGATGCAGGGTGTAAATAAAATTGATGTAGACATTGTCTTCCTTCTTAATTTGACATGAATCCCAATAGAGAAACATACTAGTGCCCAGGTAGGCAATTGTTTGTGTTCTTTAGAAGCTCAGATCTTAGCTTAAAAGCATTAGAAGTTTGTTCAGTTAGAGGGAAAAAACTGGAATGGAAAAAAACCCCATTTATTAGTTATGAAGGAAATTGAAAGTTTTACTAGAGACATGTTACATTTCTTCACATGCATTTAAGCCAACTTTCCCGAAATTTCTCAGTGTCCTTCCAGACGTTTGGTTTTTTGCATTCTTGTATTCTGCAACATGTGGTTGACACAATTATAGTGCATTAGTGGTGTATTTATTCCAGATAGTCCAAACATCATTTTGCTGTATTAATTGTTCTGTAATGCTTCCCCAATGTTATTGCATGATTGCCATCTGAAGGGGCACTCATGTGCTATGGAGCAACAAAAGTAGGGCCAATAAATAAATAAACAAACCTGGAACATTTGTAGATTAATGAAATTATGGAATTTTGGTAGGAAGTTACAGGACATACAGTGACTGGAAATGAAGCCGTATGTCTGCCTCAAAGCTTGTGCAGGTGCAGACAATATAGAAAGCATGACCACACATAATGCGTTCATGAGCACAATCATTACGAATGCACAATATAAAGGATTTCTGGAGGGGCCTTGAATCTGAGGATCACTGCTGCTGAAACAACACCCAAGTCCTGTCCTTATGGAAATGCCAACTTGAGCTCTGCCCAGCACTGTCCAAGGTACCAATGATGTGTTACATCTCTTGCACCAAAACTGTGGAAAATGACTGTGAAAAACAGAACACCTATTTAACTCAAGAGTTATCTCATCTTTTGTTGAGGTATTATAATCAGGGACTGCTATGGGTAACAATAAAGACAAAAAGAAAAGCAGCTGTAAGGAGAAAGAGTAGGTAGGTATAGAAGTAAAATTATCTCCAGGGACCTTACAGGAGGCCTGTGTGGCAGGATCAGTTGTTGAATTTATCACCCTCTGTACCCTGACCTCTGGTGGAGTTCTTCAAGCACAAAACAGAATAGATCTCTGTTCTTCAGCACTAATACAAAACAAAGTGTTTGCATGTGACACATTTGTTATAGCAAATATAGTCACCGTAGTTTGCAATCTAAAAATAAATGGACACACATATGTCTCCCATTTAGAAACAGGTTGGTATACAAGTTTGAACATTTGGATTTTTCTTTATTTTTTGCCAACAGAAGGTAGTTCAATAAATATTTTCTCACCTGGCGTGTCTCTCCCACCCCGACTCTCTCTCCTAAAACCAGCCCTCTGACAGCCATATTTGTTTTGCTTTTTTCATTGACCTGGTGGGAAAATTGCATCTGCTGATACAATGCTAATGCCACTTGTATCCTGACAACCTGAGACTCAAAGAACAAAGGAGCCCATAAACTTGTCCATAAACTTAAGTAAGATACTCACAGCTGGCGCAAGAGACCACTTAATACTGGATGCATGTAAGAGCTACACTTGAGCATCAGAACAAATAAACCTCCAGCTCAGTCTAACTAATTAGCTGTCTGCTAATTGATACCCCAAACACAGGGTGCATTCCTTGACCCATTACCTGGCACAATTTGTATAACATTCAGCCAACTAAGGGTAGAGTCCCCGTCATATCTAAGAGGCCAGAATGACTGCATTTTTCCTCCTCACACTTTGTGCTTGTAGAATTCAGCATGATTAGGTGACTGGTTTGCATCATGTTTTAGGCATGGCTGCACCCACCTTGTATGCTGTGTCTGCAGCGGGTATGATATTTCCATTACTGGAAAATGTAATGGGCAGCCAACAAAATCCAGTGAACCAAATCCTGGGAATGGTACTAAGCGCTTCAAGTTACCCTATTAAAAAAAGGGAACATGTACGTGAACAAGGCCTCAGATGTAATTCCAGATGGTTAGGTCTATGCTAGAAAAAAAAGAAAAGAAAATGAAGGATCAATGTGTTTCAAACATGTCATTGTGCTCATGGTGAGCTGGGGCAAAATGGTTATTTTGTGATCCTACTATGGATATACAAAACAGGTTACCTCCGCTCAGCTAAGCTGTAAAATCTAGCTTGCAACCAAAGGAGAAACAAGACAGGATAAATCACAGCTACATCCTCTGTTACAGCTATGGGGCTATGAAAAAGGTAGGGAAATTCTCCAGATTAGGACTTGGCAACTAGGAATGGGTGTGACCTTTTAGAATGCATCTATCTGAAGCTGGGGCCCTCCAGATGGAGTTGGACGCCAACTCCTCTAAGCCCCAGTCAGCATGACCCATGGTCAGGGATGATGGGAGCTGGAGTCCAACAACATATGGAAGGCTGCAGATTCCCTACCCCTGACATGGATTAAGGCAAGCATCCCCAAACTTGGCCCTCCAGCTGTTTCAGGACTACAACTCCCATCATCCCTAGCTAACAGGACCAGTGGCTAGGGATGGTGGGAATTGTAGTGGAATTGTAATCCCAAAACAGCTGGAGGTTTGGGGGTGCCTGGATTAAGGTAAGGGCTGCAGCTCAAAGGAAGAACACACACTGTCCCTACAAAAGATCCCAGGTTCAATTCCTGGTGTCACCCAGGTCAGTCTGGAAGAGACTCCTGCTTGAAACCCCAGTTATGGTAAGTACAAGGTAGACCAATGGTCTGACTCTGTATAAGGCAGCTTCCTATGCAAGTGCTCACTGTGTGGCACAAGCTTGCACTGCTCAATGGCTCTTAGCAGTGGTGGAGGGAGCCCAGTGGCTTGAGGCAGTAGGGTTGCCAGATAATAACCTGGAGAATGAGAGTCAGTTGCACTGATAAAACAGGAGACAAAAGTCACTTTAGCTGCTGCTAGGGTTTTCACTTCTGGTGCAATGGGACACTGTGAAGAGTGCCAGAGTGCACTGAAACACTATTATTACCTTCCTGCCACAGCACTACCTATTCATCTATATGCACTGGTATACTTTTGAACTGTTAGGTTGGCAGAAGCTGGGACAGAGCAACAGGAGCTCACCCGGTCATGTGGATTTGAACTGCCGACCTTCTGATCGGCAATCTCAAGAGGCTCAGTGGTTTAGACCACAGTGTCACCTGCGTCCATAAAAACAATTGTAATAAATTAATTGTGGACATAGGGAGGCAGAAAGGGTATCAAGCTGATTTTAGGTGTTATTGAACATAATTAAGACACCTTCACTTATTCTACCACTTGTTTCTCTTGCAGAGGGAGTTTGTTAATGAAAGTCACATTTTTTCTCTTAAAATAAAACACTGATTTTTTCCTTCTGGTAATCCTATCAGGTCCTCTCCCAGCTCCAGAGGTCTTGGTATGAGAAGGGTGACATCAGTCCATGGTGTCAGCCCTCTGAGTCACTCAGTCGGATTGCATGAGAACGATTTTTAAAAGCCACGAGAAAAGCACTTGGAGCAAGTCCGTAGGGTTTCAGCCCACAGCTTGCCTGCTGAGCGTACAGCCTCTGGAACCAGCCAAGGAATCCCTTACACAGGACGTGATTCAGTAACAGACAATAGAACTGCTTGCAGTGACTCACAAGGCCCCTTGTTTTCTCCGGAGATTGAGTAACAGTGATATGCCCCAAAACATGTGTTTCCCATCATTAAAGGAAACCTCAAACCTTACTCTTGTGGACTGTGGGAGTGTGTGCATGTGTGTGCTCACGTGCCAGGAGGAAAATAGCAGCAGCCCTGCATGCGGGTGGGGGGTGCTGTTTGTTCAGAAATGTGGGATTTGGGGTTTTACTGGAGAGGAGCAGTTTTAGATTGCACCTCACGTTGTCAAAGACACCACAGCAGCACATGGAGTTGTCGGCTCCATGTCATGTTGACATTCTCGGAAAACAAATTGGATGGAAATTCCTCTGTGCAATTACAGAATTGTAGGGCTGAAAATAAGCAAGACTCAAAAATAAGGCAAGGATGATGCCCCTGTACTACTTGAGTAGAAAACAACATCTTAGCAGGTTCAGCTTCTCTCATCACCATGGCAACAGAAGTGACATCTTTGGAAAGTTTTTCTTTCTCTGCAACTATTAGTAGTCACCACAGCTGCATCTTAGGGCTTGTCCCATGCCTAGAACGCATGGGCCTGAGCAGTTTTCCCTTTGCCCCTCCACTTCGCCAGGAAAAACTTGCTCTTCAGTGCTGAATCAGAGCAAACATCAATCCGTGGAAAACCTGATTGGCGTTTGCTCTGATTTAGCACTAAAGAGCTGGTTTTTCCCTGGGGAAAGCAATGAGACAAACAGAAGTCTGGATGTGCCCTCGGATTACATTCCGTTCATGTAATCACTTAGTGTGGCAGGATTCTGCACAACTAGATTAGCTTTTTATAAGATGATGGTGGGTTCTAGAGAGCGATAGTAGCCCTGATGTACAATGTCAGAGGTGCCTGCAGTTAAAACAACAACAACAAAATCCAAACGTTTCAGGACAGTGAGCTGGCATGGAACATACACTGCAGCTAAACACTGATCCATCTAGCTCAGTAACATTGACACCAGGTTGCAGGCGCTCTCCAGGGTTTCAGGCACCCTACCTGGAAATGCTGGGAGATTGCACCAGGCAGCTTCTGAATGCAAAGCAGATGCTGCCAGTGAGCTTATCTTCCCCAAGCTCTTAAGCCACTTAGCTCTAGAAGAAAACAGAAGAGTGCAAGGGTTCTGTGTCCTGAACCTCTGGCCTACCTGGTCAGTCCAAAGTTCAAAGTCTGAGGGTCAATCCACACAAGCAAAGTCCAAAATCCAACACAGTCCAGGGTCAATCCAAGTAGCCAAGCCTGAAGTCCAGCAGTCAAGATACAGTCCAGTCAAACCTAAAGCACAGTCCTTTGGAGACCCAGGAGCATCCAAGTCAGCTTCTATCAACATGAACAGTTGAGCAGACACAACACCTCAGCTCTGCTTCCTTTTCCTACTTTGCATGCTTACTGCAGCATCTAGGCTTGACAAGGCATGTGACCCTCACCTGTTCCACGCCTGCTCCAGCTGAGGAATCACATCCCTCCTCCCAGAGCTAGCAAGACCCACCTGGTCAGCAAGGCACCTGGGCTGTGGCCCTTGCTTGCCTTGGCCTTCTAGTGCACCCCTTCCACTGCTCCCTACATCTCTGAGCTTGCTGTGTTCATGAAGACAGGGGCCCCTCTGGCTCTGGTGATGGGTCCTGCTGCTCTGGTTCCTGTGCACTGACTCTCATCCACACACCATCCTCATCACCCTGTGAGTACTTCCTTCCCCATCCCCTGCTTGCCCTCTTGTGTCCCAGACCCAGCTACACCCTTCACCAGGGTCCTCTTCCTCCTCCCTGTCATCCTGCCGGATCATGACACCCAGACACAATGTAAATGGAGCTTCAGATTGGACCTCAATGGTAATATGGGATCACCTGTCCCTTAGCACTGCCAGGGTATACCAAAATGTGAGCTGAGATGTGCCTAGGAAAGGCTTGTGTCTTCCCCCAAAATAATTTTACTTGCCTTTGGGAAGAGGCTTGCCTGTCACTTTGATAACCATAACTGTGGCAATGAGTCACCAGGCTGCAGGTGGGGAAGGTGCTAGGCCAAAAGGAATAGGAAAGAAACTAGCAGAAGCTGCAGCTGCTATATGCCCTGTTTAATCTTTCAGCAGCTTAAAGCTATGGTGCAATATCTAGGTTGCATTTTAGTAAAATCGCAATAAAATACTTGGAAGAGTCTCTGTCTAAGTTTCAGGGCCACAAGCACAACTGGTTGCAGACCAAAGGGGGCCCTCAGCAAAGTGGATCTTCTCCCCTGCTAGTGACTGCCTGGCAATTTCATCCAGTGGCAGCAATGCTCTGAATAAAACTGAATGGCTGTTTCTCCAGATAGTACAGGGGGCCTTAGCAGCTGCCCATAGATGCTGAGTGCTGATGCTAGTCTGACCATGAGAAAGAGATGCTGGGCATGCTACATTTGTTACATTTGTAAAGGACAAGAAAACCCACTTGGACGAGGAGGTAATGATTATCCTGCCGATAACAGCCTTCTCTCTAGATGGAAATAAACACGACATGAACCCCAGACTGCAGTGGAAGCCATGAGTGATTTGCCTTGGAATCCAAGTGTCAGGTGTTGCAAAACAAGAGCAGATTTAGCCAGGATGCAGAGAGCCAACTGTGGTTAGGCAAGAGGAAGATGCTAGCCTAAATGAGCTAAGCTGCTTTTGCCCAACCAAAACAAGAGCTTGATCAGCAGCCTGGCAGTGTGTTCCTGCAGATTTAGGCAGAAGGAATGACATCACCTTCAGAAACCAGCCAACAGTATTAGCAATCACAATGCCCACCCTGTGCCAAAAGTACTTGATGTCTTGTGCATGACGCCCAAAGCATGAGGTAAAATATATTGTCTGGTTAGATGCAGAGACTGGCATACCAATTAATCAACAATTAACTTGAATCCATTTGATTCCATTCAAACATATTTTAAGATCATGACCTACACCAGCAATATGGTTTTAGGCTCACACATGTTTTGAATCACTGGGTATTTATAATATCTAACGTTAGATAATAATATCTAAAGCAAACCTCTGCTTTGAAGGTCATACTGCGTAATATTGAGGCAGAACTCCAAAATCAGAAAGGGCCTGGCAAGTGAGCTGCCCTTAAAAGCTAGACACATCTATTAAGATTACTGCAAAACTAGTGGCATCTAGCTTGTGGGAGGTACAAGGGACTTTGTCCTAAAAGTACTTAGCAAACAAATTGCAGTGGACTTCCTTAATAGGCTAAGGTGAAAAAGGTCTTGATCCACTC